ACTCGTTTCCCTTTGCTATTTTGCCACTGTGACGCTTTGATTTTTTTTCCTTCTTTCAAGTTTCTCTTTTTGTGTCAATGTTTAATTCATTTCATACCTGAATATGAAGAACGTTATGATGCTTCTTTCTTAATTTATCAAAGGTTGTTTCTCTATGGAGATCTTATAAATGCATATTGCTTTGTTGAAATCATGAGTTAATTAAGGTGGTCTGGGGATGCGTTACAGCGCTCATTACTCATATGTTACAAGGGTTAATAAGCTAATTTTCAAGTGTTTCATTAGGGAAGTCATCGAGAGATGAATTTATGTAGAGTTGCTAAATTTTAAAAGTTCAGAGATTTGTTAAATGTATAAAGAGTTTATGTTAGATTTGGAGAGAGTTTGTATATTCAGAAAATCAATCGAAATATTTTGTTGTAATAGATTTTGAAAATCTAAGGGTTTATAGGTAGTAAATCCATGTCCATGTTACATGAGTTAAATTGTATCAAATCCATGTCCTAATAACGATGATTTTAATGGATTCATGAAATCGTTAAAACATAAACTTTTTGAATAACAACTGATTTTGTAATAGTTCAGAGATTTGTTAAATGTATAAAGAGTTTATGTTAGATTTGGAGAGAGTTTGTATATTCAGAAAATCAATCGAAATATTTTGTTGTAATAGATTTTGAAAATCTAAGGGTTTATAGGTAGTAAATCCATGTCCATGTTACATGAGTTAAATTGTATCAAATCCATGTCCTAATAACGATGATTTTAATGGATTCATGAAATCGTTAAAACATAAACTTTTTGAATAACAACTGATTTTGTATGGATTTTAAAAATCACCAACCAATGACAACATATTTTAATAAGATTGTTAGAATTCATAAACCAATAACAAAAGTTTCTGAAAATTTTACGAATTCTTACAAATTCATCTATCAATAACCTCCACTTATACTTTTTATTCAAAATACATGTAATTTTTAAAAAAAATTTAAAATTCACCTAGGTTAATTGACCCACTTCATTGTGAGATTGTGAGCTGCCTCCGCCACTGATTAACCATCGATCTGGCTATCTTTGGCATTAATTGAAAGACATTCCAAATTTGGAATAGACAGTATGGTGGTTCACTAGATTTCATGGATCTCATGGGCCGTTCATCCGAGTTCGATTGGAACTCATAGTGTTCGTTGAATTAGGGAGAAGTTCACTCTGTAGTACTTCAGTGAGTTAGCTAACCGAATTAGCGGATAGGGTATATAAAAAAAACTCATGAGTTAGAGTCGTTTAAATAGCTTTAAGATTTCTGATGATTTTTTTGTTAAATTTTTTTTTGTCTCACTTTTTATTTGTTTGATTTTTTTTTATTTTTTTTTTTTTGATTTATTTACTTGTAGATATAAATAAGAAGAGTATTTTCTCTTCGTTGCGGTTGAATCAGTTTTATTATTGATGGTCCTCACGTGTAAACAATGTAATACAAACGTAAACAACAATTCACCACAGTCCACAGATAAATCACGCATAGAATCTTGAAAATGTAATTCTATTTTAGGGCAATTTAAAGGGTCTTTCTTTCCAAAGGGAGTGAGGGAGTTCCATATTTGTCGTTGAAAACGAGAGACTGAGATTTGGCTGCTACTTGTTTTGAAAGAAAGACATATATATACATATATCTTTTTAACAGAAAAAGAAAGACATATATCTATTTAATTTAATTACAGCTAGTGGACAGCTTCTGTGACATATATCTTTACAGATCAATCTTGATCTGAATCTTTGACTCTCTTTTTATTTTTATGGGGTTGTAACATCAACGTACATGGCTGACTTTTCTACCTACGCGTAAATATTATTTCATTATTCTCATAAAATCGAAGCTTCTAAGCAATATCTTCAACGTTACACATGATTGGAGAGGTGTGTAATTGTTTAGATTGGTAGTTTATTTGTTTAAGTTTGTAACTGAAATTTGCCTTTGTATATGTATTTAAGTTTTTAAACGTAGGATTTACGAATAGATATATAAAAATACGAATAAAAATGATGATCTATGTGAGACCCGTTTTGGGTTAGCCAAAGCCCAATAAGAACCCAAAACAAAAATTGTACATATGTATATACAAGTATCTTCAGCTTTAAAAAGAAACGTGAGAGAGCTTGTGAACCCTAAAGCAGCAGCCGCATTCTCAGTTTGATCCATCAAAAATCGTGCTAGTGTTTGATTGATATTGGAGAAGGAGATACGAAACTGTGGAGAAGTGAGGAAGGAGAAGGGTGAAAAAATCAGAATCAGAAACGGAACTTACGGGGAGATTTCCAGCTGTTTCGTGAGGTCTCAGAAGCTGATTTTGGTATCATCGGAAAGATCGTCTTCTCAGCTTTCTAAACCATCCGAGATCACGGTAATCCGATTTATATTCAGAGAGTTATGGTTATTTCGTTTTGGACGTCGGATCTGTTCTAAGGTTTCAGAGTTATTTTTCCAGATTCTAGTTGAGGTTTTGTGAATCGATTTCCCGACGATCCGTAAGTCACCAGGAGTCGATCTACATACGGTTTTGTAGATCTCGAACCCACGTTTCCAGATCTTCTTTCAGTGGTCCAATCAGAGGTATACTTCATCCGCAAATCAGCTCTAAAGTTTACGTAAATCCTCTGTTCCGTTTCAGAGAAATCTCAGTTTTCCAGTTTTGCTTCCAGTTTCTGCTTGAGGTTTTGGGGGAAGGATTCCGGTCGAACCCGAACGATTCAGACCAGATTGGTGGTAGATCCAGATAGAGGGAGTGTCAGAGAAGGCAAGGGAGTCGAAGTTGGTACCATAGGAGGTATACTCCCGCTTCCAAGTATCTAGCTTGTTGGACACGAAAGTTTGTTTCTGTTCAAACCTGAATCTGTTTCCGTGTTCTGCAAGTTTCAGGTTCAGTTTTCCTACAACAGTCTCAATCCGTTTTCAGCCAAATTCAGGTGAGGGTGTGATCTGTGGAAACATGATTTATATTCCTTCTATTATATTGCAAGATGCATGGCATATAGGCTTTAGATCTGATTGCTAGATATAGGTTCTGTGATGATATGTTTGATATTTATGGAATGAAATGATATGATATAGTGTGATGATATGATGAAATGTTATGGTATGATATGATATGATGTATGTATGAATAAGAGAGGAAGAATCGAGCTATGGGCCATGGTCTTCCCTCGAAACTGGACTGTGATGGGCCGACGGGTTACATGCAGGTCACGAACGGCTGACGAGCCCGGTATGGGAGTGTATGAGCTACGGCTGCCTCCAAGCATGAGGTTATGAGTTATCACGAGGATGACTGAACCTAAGGATGAATGTTACCTTGCATTATAGCAGGGGTATATGATTGCTAGTGTCTAGGTTTATATGTTTTGTTGATTGTGGTATAATGGTAGAAATGTTTATTATGTTTCGGTGGGCAGAAATGATCTCCTCATTGAGTAATTAATTACTCATCCCCCCTTTCCTCTTTTTCCTTTTTCAGGTGTGGATGGAGACCTCGAATAGTTGCTCAAACTTGTCTTGTTTCTTGGTGTTATTTTGGAACCGGGTTTTATTTATTTTATGCAACAAATGTTTTCATTTTATTAGTTGGTTTTCATGAGATTTTGTTGAATGATTTTAAGATCTTTAATAAGAATGGTTTTTAAGATAAGGTGTTTGGAAAATGAGGAATACGGGTGTTACAATCTAAATATCAAATATCCATATCTAAATATATAAGACATGATATCTTTAACTTTAAAAACAATTTTTTTTTGTTTTGTTTTAACTTTAAAAACAAAAATGAGATATCTTGTCTTGACATTTTCATGTATATCTGCGTTTCCGAATTTCTTAATGTACTATGTTTGATACTACATTACGTAATAAAAAATTGGACCAAGATTCTCTTCTTAATATAAGCCGGGATGTTCTTCCGATAAGATAACTCCACAAAACCACATGCTTTGTATTCAAGATTTTACGATACCAATATTTTAAGAGTTGCATTGTTGTTTACGTTTTGTACGACCATGTGTTTCAAATTCGTAGAAAACGACTTTTCGGTAGTCAATTAAAAGTTCGCTGTTTAGGATGGATGAAACTTTCGCTTATTTTTTTTTTGTCAACGATTAAAATTTACTTACGCAATTGAAAAATTTAGACATTGCGCAGATACAAACCGATGTTTCCAGTTCCGTTTAAGAATCGGTTACCAGCATAATATAATACATTTTAATTGTATTAATTATATGTGAGTCTCATAATCTTTTCAAGACTTTCTGTGGGCATGCATGACCATTGACCAAAAGGTTTCACAAAATCACAAGGCCGCCGATAGCTTATCCGATTTATATTTAGAAACCAAAACTGTTTAGATCGGATTAGTAGCCATCATCTTACAGAAATGATTATCAGCAAAGACAGTTAAAATGATGTTTTTTCAAAAAAAATAATAAGAATAGTTAAAATGACGACAATTAGAAAAAAATGGTTAAAAATACTATTTTCGCTGAAAACGCTCACAAATTTAGAACAAAAAGAAGATATTCGATTTTTTTGGCCAACAGAGGATAGATGTTTTAAGGCTTCTATAGATTATTTTCCACTACTTAATGATAATTTAACATAAATTTTAAGAAATATTGACCGAAAAATCAAATTTATTAAACTAGATTAATTTAGACGGAAAAATCAAATTTTAAAAAAATCCTATTCGTAAAAAAAAAAGATTGCATGGTTGCATTCAAATGGCATGAGCCTAAATTCATTGCATGAATTCAGAAACATGAGAATTTTGCATGCAAAAATGAATAATTCGGAGTCCTTTTCTCTTTAGTTTTACCATCAAATTCAAACTTCTTTCTCTTCTCCTTTTCGACTCATTGGTTTCTTCTTATATATTAGAGAAAGTCATACGGGAACTGTTGATATGAACGTCGAAAAAATGATAACACCAATATATAACCTTTTATGCATAGGATTCATGTTCCTCCTATGTTTCAGCTTTGGCTTTGGTCGCAACTTACAAGATATACTCGGTGCCACTGAAGTTACACCCAAACATGTCGAAGCAACCGCTCAGGTTACTAATTTCGAAGCTGAAGACATTATTCCAAGTAATATTGAGTTGGGAGAAGTTGGAAGTCAAGAGATGCACCACATTCTCATAGGAACTGGTCCGTATTCGACTCAACAAGACAATAAAAAGTTACCGAAGATTATAAGGGGTACCCTTTCCATCACATTCTCATTTCCTTTCATCAAGATTCCTTTTTCAGGTAAAGATTCTACAATAGTGGCCTCCATAAACAAACCCAATGAAGATAAGATCAAAGGCATTGTCATTACTCCAACGAAGAATCATGAGTTTGGTCTTTCCCCTGGCAAAGACGGTGTAGAGCTCGAATACAGCCAGCAAAAACCAGTCGTTAGAATCGAATATTGATGGCCTTGCCACTTTCTTGAGGGTTACGCTGAAGACTGAAGTTACTATAAATTGGCACATGGAATGTTTTACTATTACTTTTTTTTTTAATATAAAATGACTAAAATTATAAAAAAAAACTTTTTATACTTATATTTAACATTATATAAATATAATTTTTTTTACATGTATAAAATATAGAAGATAATTAGTCGGAAAACAAATTTCCGAATAACCTGAATTAATTTGCTAAGCGCAGAATTAGTAACACCATCATTTCTAGTTTAACATTTTCTTTTCACTGGGCAATGAAGACGATCTTGAAAGTGATTCTGTGGTTTCTGTCTGTAACCTGGACAAAGTTGGTGAGGATATTGAAGCACAAGGTCGCAAGAGCGGTGTTCCAACTATACTAGAAGTTTCATTAGCTACTGAGATAGAAGCATCACAGTTTTGAATACGTTTTAGCTCATGCTCAGTTCCTTGAGCTGGAGAGGTTTCAGGAACATCAAGCACTTGATGATCGTATTCTTCAAGAGATGCGATTGTGCTTGTTTCTGTTCGAATAGTAGAATCATCGCCATATAACCCATGCCTTCTTTTTCTTCTGGTTGCTTTTCCCCAACCGTTAATTGTCTCTCTTACCCTCTGAGGCAACAATGCTGCCTTGTAGTTTGTTCCCATCTAGAATTATAACAATACCTAACCTGTGAGTTTTGAGAACTATCGTAAGCAGAAGCTCCAAATTAAAGGTTCTCTTACCTGAGTGACAAGTGCATAGAGTGGCAATGTACTGTAGCTACATAGAAACTGTCCTGAAAACCTACAAAAAACATGGAAAGAAAATTATCAAAAACAGTAAGAAAACATACAACAGTTTCATATAGGTCATCATGGCTTAATCGAGAAAATTTGATTACCCTAGAATAAGTCGCAAGTAAACTAGTAAATGATTCCTAAGGAAGCAAGAGTTGTATCCAAATTGCCACTGAAGAAAAGAAACAAGAATACAATCATGTCAATATAAGAACACAATTTTAAAATGTAAGAATCTAATCAGTGGCCTAGGTCGTATCTATGCATGTGTAGGGTGTGTTTTTGCACAGGTCCCCAATAATCTAACAAAACAAAACTTGTGATTTTTAGGGCCCAATAATAAGGGATCTATTTTTCAAATATTAAAAAATATCCATAATTACTGTTGGCCAACCGTATAGCATGCATGTCATTTTTGCCATGCAAGCTATAAGATAATAGATACAAAAACTTACCCAGAACCAGAAGAACGAAGCCAACTCGAAAGCATTCTGTAGGAAGTCAGAATGCACAAAATATTATTTACTAAACCCAAAAAAACATTGCGAGTAGTAGAGGTTTCTAAGATTTTGAACACCTGAAACTGAATGAAGTGAATAAGGGATAAGAGTAGTTCTGGTTTCTTGAACCAGAAAAGTTCATCACGAGGTCTCAGCTTTACACCGGACGCATATTCTGTTATCCCAGCGTTCTCCAACACTAACGTTGCGATTACATGTTGCAACTTTGCACCAACGATAAGAACAAGCTGTTGGAAAAAAATAAGGGAGGCAAAAAGATATTATATGCGACTCAAAATCAAGAAAAGTAAATCAAACACGAAATGGAAAATTAATCTTTACTGTGATTGGAATGATCGCTATCCAGAAATAAAGATTTGATCCTGCATGTTAATGTCCAGAAGCTCTTAAAAACAACACAAAAGAGTAGAAAGAAATTCACAAGTACTTCGAATTATAATACTTAACTCTACGATTTAAATAGTGTGTGATTCATATGCATACCTTTTATGTTGAAAAGCATGAAACCAACTACAAAACCCCAAAGTGGCCCACTGCATGACATCATCAAAGAATATTATTCAGTCGAAATTATGTATCATCTATCCTCTACTCAACATGGTTTATATTAAATAAGTTACGGCTATTGACATGAAGGCAAGATAAGCTTGGAATAAGAGAGAATTTTTAATCTACAGTATAAAGTTTAGAAGGTGTACAAAATTATTTTTCTAAGGAGAAAATTGTAACTCACCTGACACCAACAATCTTTTGGAACTCCTCCTCCATAGAGCGGATCATATAGCCATGAAAATCGTATGTCAATGTTAGGTGATGGTTCTGTTTAAATAAAAATACGAAAGCATTATAATCCCCAATATATTAAAATCATCATTTTCAATAGTATCACAAATGTACATTTACTACATTAAGAAATAAGAAGATGCATTAACAAGGAAAATATAGTATAGTGGAAAGTGAAAACATTCAAATGACATAAGAGTATCACTCACCAAGATGAATCCCTTGCGGAGTGTAAGATAGTCAGGACGAACAACAGAGTGTCCAAATTGTCGGAAGAAACATATCTGTGAGAATAAAACTTTTCTAACTCAGCAATTGGAAACACAAAATGTATGTTTGGACATAAACTTGATAAACTAGTTTTTTAGATTTGTTTAAAGTATCAACTGTAAAAAATATCCGTATATAACATGTTTAGATTTCTTTTTGTTTGTGTTGCTAAATATGTTAAGATTTCTTAAGGAATCATAATTCTTACCACCCATATAAGTAATCTATTCTTGACCAGAGGAGCAGATGTATGATATTGGACAAATGTTGTTTGCCTACGAAATATCTTTTCACGTGCGACCACTGCCAAAAATATAATTATAAAAAGATATTCCATGTAAGCATGTACGATATGAAATCTACTTGGATAAATAGCATGTGATTTGTGAACATATATTAACATCTACTCTCACCAGTTAAGCGATCATTCGTATCCATATGAACCTCGTCTTCCCATATTCTCCAACTATGAATCTGGATTAGAAAAAAAAAGTTCAATTGAGATTTTATTATATTCGGAGTCTGTACACAATCAAAATAATTTGAGATGTATATCAGGAGAAGAATAAAACTCATAAATCTCGAAAGGAAAAAAAATTAAACTTGAGTAGAAAAAGAAACTAAAATTTGTATACTACCTTTACGATTGCAAGGAGCATCGTTAAGCAGCTGTAAGTTACATGTGTGACTGCCATTATAAATATGAAGCGATGCAATTGTTCCAGGCCTTCATATGAAACAAAAGGCTCATGTCCCTATTAAGTATACAATTTTATGTGTTTTTTACAAAAAAAAAAATTAATAAAAAGATTTCGGATTATTTATTTCTGTCACTAATGATAAACATTATAATATAACGAGATTAAAAGAAAACCTCGCTGCAAGTATTCTCGTTTACACCAACCAATCTTCTTCTCATGATGTGGAAAAATAGAGATTTTGTTAACCGACTCCGTTTGACAGATGAAATAGTACTTTCATGTTCCTCGTTAATCTCAGACCGGGTACATGGGAGAAATCTGTTGTTGTAGAAACTTGAAGAAACGCATATGTTAGCTATTGTGCTAGAGATTGCTGTAAGAAATAGCGATATGAATCCGAGCAGCATCAGCTCTGGAAAAACAAATAAAACACCATCTCAAAATCCAATGAATAATCAGGAAAAATATTACTAAAACAGATCATTAGCATTTTTAAACATATCTATCAACCAACCTTCTTTCATTTTCTCCAGTGCAGCAAATAAAGGTTTTCTCTTTGTCTTTTGCAACCACTGTGACAAAAAAACACAAAAGCTATAGAGAAAATCAAATGAAAATAGAATACCATTGTAAACGAAATTTCAAATCCTTAAATATTTTGAGATCAAAAGGCAAAATGGAACTCTACTAAACCAATGTTAAAATTAAAATGTATTTTCTCGTTAAAGGCCAAAATATAGAAACAAATACTATTTCAAGCTACTTACGTTACTTAGCCGGTGAATGGAACGCTCAACGATCAAAGAAACAAATACAAAGATAGTCAAAACTGTAGCAACGGACCAAGTTGGTGTTAAACCCAACGTCCTCTCTCTTGGTTCTGCTTCATAATTATTTTCTTCTCTCATTTCTGCGTCTTTCCTTTGTCTTTGTGTTTCCGGTTGAACTCTCACGATATACTTCTCGTGCAAGAAGTTTAAATTGGAAAATCCAGATAGATCATAATCCTGTATTTGAAATAATTAATCCTGTAGAAGAGTCGAGACAGAGAAAGATTTAAACAAAACAAGGAAATAATAAACACTGCGCGAACTTACGGGTACAGAGAAGCACGTGCAAGGTGAAGAAACGTCACATAAAGTGAGAAAGGAGGGTTTTCAAAGCAAAGGTTTAGTGAAGGCAAAAAGCTTGATATAGAAAAACTGAAAAACAAACATTTCGTTCTACTCTCGCAGAGATTGTATACCCGAATAAATTAGCTAAGCCAATAATGAATATTTGGTTAAATTAATTAAAAAAAGAATGTGGATTGACAGCACAGTTATAGGATCTTGAGGAATCTGATTGGAAACTACGCATTACGCAACTCAATAAATGCATGTGTTGAGCTTGATTCCCGTAATTCCCACAATTTTAAAGTCAAAGACAACTAGTATTATTAATTAATTAATGAGTAATAATAAATGTTTGAAAAAAAAACAACTAGTAACTCTGGATTCACCATAATTTTATATGATATTTGCTTCAATTAGGCCATCGTTGCTCCTTCATATGTTAATTTTTTTTCCGTAATGGCCAACTCGCGCGAATGTATCTATTAAATTACTTTTTAGACGTTACAAACTGGATTATTTGGTTTTTCTGTTAACTTCCTCTTAGTCATATACAACTTATAATATATATATATATATATATGTAATGAGGTATATGATAATGTCATTGGATATGTGAAGAAACATTATGGAATTACATGAAGATACATATTATAATTAATGTCATATATATGGGGTACATGAAGAAATATAGGTGCCACTAGGAAACAAATGATAATATGGTTGGATTGACTTATCACTCATAGTTTTGATAAAAGAAAAAACCCGAACATGATGGTGTAAATTTTTCATTATTATTAAAAGTCAACCCGACAAGTCAATAAGAAGCTGAAGGAATTGATTTTTTACTAAAATCTGAAATCTTTGAATTCGAATTAACGACCTCAAGCCCCAAGATTTAATAGTTTGATGTGATGTTTCTTTAGGGTACCTCAAATTCAAACTCCGGCACATAGATAATCCATGCAATTAAATCAAGAAACAAACAAATCATTATAACTATTTTGTTTGAATCAACAATATGTATGAATTTGAGACATTTTGTTCTTGGACTTTCCCATAAGACTCATGTTTTCGGTTCGGTAATTGATCATCTTCCACATTACACTTAAATTGCACAAAAGTTCATTTATATTCATTGTCTTATTTATTGGTATCTATCTCTCTTGTGGTTGAGAGTAAACAGATTAATTTGTAACTTGAATTGATTGGTTTCTTGATGCACAATTTCATTTTCTTCTCCTTATTATTATTTTTTTTTTTTCAAAAATTCTATCAACTTCATAAGTTGTAAATTCACTACCCAAACATGTCGGATTTTGTCTCTTATCATGAATCAATTTATATAACTGACTTGAGACATACTTTTTATACATACATGAAATAGTTTCAAAGAACTTTTTAGAGTTGTGGGAAAAATGTCATAAAAATCATGAGCTTTCAAATTTTGGCCAAAGAAAGCATGAATTTTCGAGAAGTCATCATAAACCCCAACCTTTTGTTGACTTTTATATTTAATCTTAAATTTTTGTTGACTAAGCCAAAATAGGCACATTGTCAAGTGAATTGACAATATGATTTAGTATTGTTAATTATCTCATCTTAAACTTGATTAAACTAATACGATATTGTTTATTTTCACTTAAATTCCAAAATTTGACCTCATAAACCCTAAAATTTCAATTAATTTTGCAGACTAAAGTTGAGTATGTTGTCTCGAATGAATGATTATGATGGTGATTTATATTTGGTTGAGAGCAAAATTAATAGATGCAAAATCAATTTCTAGAGGTCGTGAAATCGATTTGAGAATTTTGTTTACATAAACCGAGAGAAGAAAAGGCAAAATCGATTTGGGATTTTAGAATTTGTGAAGTTGATTTGGGATTTTAGAGTTTGTAAAGTTGATTAGGGGATTTAGAAAAAAATATTTTAGTTTAATAGAGTTAAAGATGGCCAATCAAGAATAATTGTCCAATCAAACCATCTTGTGTTTATTTTAGCTCAGTCAACACAAGTTTATGATTAAATATAAAAGTCAATAAAAAGTTGAGGTTTATTATGACTTTTCAAAAGTTCATGGTTTCTTTGGACACAGTTTGAAAGTTCATAATTTTTATGGCATTTTTTTTTTATTAGCAACTTGTAGGCTTTCTTATTAGCAACCAATGTCTGACACATGTGGCTACATCCTTGCACCTTTTGGAGAACCAAGTCCACAAATAAACCATAGTTGAGAGGAAAACCATATATACATAGCAGCCAAATTAATAGTGGTTCCCCTCTATTATGTGATGTCAACTATTATTTATTTTATTTTTGAACAAAAAAGACAACAATTATTAATAATAAAATAAAGAGTAAAAATGTATCAAAACCTAAATTTAAAAAACTAAACCAAAACCTAAATATATATAACTTTAAACCCAAAATATGAACCCAAAATTCAAAATTTAAACCTTAAATCCAAAAATCTAAACCTTAAACCTAGAAACTAAACCCAAAACCCAAATATATAACCCTAAACCCAAAAAACTAAACCCTAATTCAGAAAAAGAATCATAATCCTAAAATGTATACCCTAAATCCTAACTCCAAATTAAAGGAGAAAATAGTTTAAATCACACAAATTTTTTTTTATTTAACTAAAGGCTAATTTAGGTAATATTGTAGAAAATATTGATTGTATTCTAACCAAACAAACCATATGGTTATCAACTTAATTATGGTACTCAATATGATTATTGAGTTCAATATCCAAAAAACAACTAGCAAGAGGAATCATCATATTTTTCTGGTCTGGATCATATATACTCCCTTTTATTTAGTTACTGTTCTATGTTTTTCATGTTGTATTTCTAATTAATACATAATCTTGTTTGATTTTAATAAATAATAAGCTGAATAAAGATAAAACTGATATAATACGACAACTAAACTGAAACAAAACTCTAACACAACAACTAAAATGAAACAAATCAAATATGATATCTTATATATAATTAGGGAGTGCTCTCTCATCCTAAGCTATCCACATCAGCTTAATTTTGTGGAAATAATGGGTCCTATATTTAATGACAATAAAAAATGATAAATGACAAACATTAAAACTAAACTAAAATTAATAAATCAATTAATTTACACATTTCTGTTATTATATTTCCCTAAAATAAAATATATTATTTACAAAAATCCTAGAATATATTTCACATATAATAATAAAAATATTAACTAAGAAAAATTAATAGATATTATATGATTTATAAAATTTAAGAAACATTTTTCTACATAAATTTGAAAATTCAAAGTATATAAAGATAACTATAAATAAGATTTAAAATAATATATGAGACAACATAGATTTTCTAAGAGTTACAAATTAATAAAGATATTAAAAATTATAAGTTTATTGGTAAATGGATATAATTTTTTTGAAAAGGCTTATAATAGAAATAAAAAGAATCATTTTTCAATGTCAAATCAAGCTAAGAGCACGAAAAACGGCTCAGACGGCAAATGAAAATGTAGTTCAAAAAAGTATTATTGAAAATGTCAAACAAAAAATGGGAAAAAGCACAGCTCAAAAGCTGATTGAGGTGGTGGTTGAGTGTAGTTAAGAGGCGGACATGGTTCGGTGGATGCTGTTAATAAGAACTTTGACGAGTTGTTAGAAAATCAAAAGGTCGATGATTAGAGGAAGTACTAAGTTAACTGAACAACCATTTCTTCATACTAGAAAGATAATAATTATTCATGCAACTCGATACACGTCACTGGATATAAAATGTCATATTGAACATTTTTAATGTGAGTAGTTGGATTAAATCAAATGTAAGGAGTGAAAAGGTCTCGATTCGAGCATTATTGAACAAAAATGGTGATATTGTTCCTCCATTGATCAAGGATCTCAATTCGACATCCTGTTCCGCCGATTCATTATGTAATCACCAAAAAATAACATAAAACCATCATAATTTAAATTAACGAATACAAAAAAAAAAAACACAAATGTTTTTGCAAAATCCCGCGCTTGCGCGGGCCTTCATTTCCTAGTTTGCTTCAATTAGGCCAATATGTAACTCCTTCATCTGTTAAAATGTTTTTCGTAATGGCCAACTAGCACGAATATATCTATTAAATTGTGTTTTAGACGTTACAAAACCGGATTAATTGTTTTTTTCTATTAACTTCCTCTTTTTTTTTTGCTAAATTGTAAATATTTCATTATAAAATGAAAAGTTTGGTTTTACAAATTGTGTGAACAAAATGCAAAAACCTTATACATGGTCCCATGGCAAAAAAGTTTAAAAAACATGGAAGCATAAACAACCGGTACTAAGTTTAGCTATGACGGCCAAGACAAAGTAGCGATACAAAGCCTGCTTGCTAACTCAAGGAATAATTGGAGACGGTGTTCACCAGAAGACAGATTTGCAACTTGAAATAAGATAGATATCACCATCTTAACTGTATGGAAGCTATTTCACAGGTAGCCCGAGCAAAGAGCTATTACTCCAAGGGGCTAGAGAAGGCTCGAACAATGACTGTCCTCAACATCTCGGTATCGACGCTCAACCAGCCAAGCCTAGGCTCCAACCCCAGGTCGGAACTACACTAACCACTAAGATTAAATGAGCTCACTCACTCTCCCAAGATTCTTCCCCGATGTCGGTGAGCACAAAGCACAGCCACATCACAGTCCCAACAGTCTTACTATCTCCTCCAACAGCTTAGAAAAAACGAATCCACCACAGTTTTCTTCGGCGGCTCCGTGTAGGCGTCGTCTCTTTAGCTCCACCACGCGTGACGACGGATGTGGTTGGGGTTGAAATTAAGTCGGCGTTGGTGTCTGTCGCGTCGCCATGCACCAAGGGTACTCGAGGACGGTCCCTGGGGCAGGTAGCGAAATGTTTCTGTGGTCTCCTCTTGCTGCTCTGTAGCCAGCGTAAGTGGCTCTCCAATTCTTCACGGTCATTTGGGTTCGTCGGTGGTGAGGTTTTGGTCGGATTGGTTTTTGCGTGTGGCTGAATCGTGGTGGTTCTCCATTAGCGGCAGTGGGTGACTGTGGGAATTGTCGCTGGTGTCGTTGCAGGATCCGGTAGGAGGTCAGAGCTCCTTCCTTCCGGTGAAAATCGGCTCCCTTATTTGCTTCCGAGGTGGCTCCTTTTCTCTCCACTGATTAGGTCGTAATTTGCTAGTTAATATTAACTTCCTCTTATTCATATATATAACGAGGCATATGATAATGTCATTGGATATTTGAAGAAGCATCATGGAATTACATGAGATCCCTAATATATTAAAAGAGAAAACACTATAAAATAAACCTTTGTCTCATGTGTTATTAACAGAAATGCCATGCTGATGTGTCAACACCAGGTTCACTTTCAAGGTTAGTTTTAATTAAGACAAACATTACTAGACTAATTACATGTTATGCCATTCATATTTGGTTAGAGAATGAAATATATATGATTAATTTAGTCAGAAAAATAATTATTAATGAAAATTATTTTCTTTCAGTTTCCTTATTTGGTAATGACGAAAATTTATTTATTAGTCAATCAATCAGTAAAATATGGAAAGTTTTATTCAATTGTATTATATTAATTGTTTAAAAATTAATTTATTCATCTATCATTTTTGTTTAGCTTTACTTTCAAGAATAAATTATATCATCACATCAAAATATTTAAAAAAAGAAAATTAGTTTTTTTCTACATATGCTATGGTTTGAATTTTTAAAAATGAAGCAAATCTCTAAAAATGTTAAATGTCCCACATGATTATATTTTGGGATAATAGTTCAAAAACCTATTATAAAATAGGATCCAAATAATGATCAACCATAATCACAAATAGGAAAGAAAAATTTACCATGTTTGGAAATCTTTAAAATTTCTTTTATTCGATTTAATTTGATTCTTTAATTGAATTAAATAATTAAATCGTATTTTTTAATATTTTGGTTTGATCAAAATTTTAAACGTAATAAATTCTAATAACTTATCATATAAGTTAAATTATTTTAGTTATTTAAAATTGATAAAAACATAAAATATATATGCCATTTTATATTTATCAAAATATAAAATTATTTTAAATGTATTAAAATTTAATATATATGTGGGTTCGGAAAGGGAGAAACTGTTGTTAAAGCAAATGTTAGATTACCACACTGTAAACGATGACAAAAATCAAACCAGGCTAAAAAAATATGCATCACTCAAAATTTCGTCTAATGTAAATTGACATTTTTTTAATTGTCTAACACTCTATGTTCCTAAAATTGTATGTAAATAGACATCTTTTAATAAAATCAAATTGAGAAAATATCACCCCGTGCAAGGCGCGGGTCAAACTCTAGTACATATTATAATGTCATGTGGTATTACATGTAGAAATGTAGGTGCCACTAGGAAACAAATGATAATATGGTTGGATTGATCACTTATCACTAGTTTTGATAAAAGCAAAAAACCGAACATGCAATGTAAATTTTTCATTATTATTAAAAGTCAACCTGACAAGACAATAAGAAGCTGGAGCCTGGAGGAAGCGATTTTGTACTTTTGTACTGTTTGATCAGTAGAGATCACAAATTCTTTTATAAAAAGCGGATCCATCAAAACTGTATTAAACGGTTAACAATAATTGTAATTGTGTATATATCCAAATTTGAATAGATTTCCAATTGTCGTATTTCTTCATTTTTTTGCCGCATTTTATGGATAGGAAATGACATGCATGTTAGAAGGCGACACTGCGAGTGCGAGGACATGTGATCACTCCAGTTAAGAAAAAAAAAAAAAATTCAAGCCAATGCTCGGATATTCACTTTCGTTGCGTTTTCTTGGTCCTTTAATCACTACTGGCCCGAGTTTTGTTTCATGGAATAGTTGTTGTATAGTCATGCAAACCACTACAACAATATTTCCTCTGATTTCATTTCACTCACACGAAAATGTGAATCAATTCTCACTAAATATCACTACTCTTTAAATTGTTATCTCAGTAATAACTTCCAAAAAGTGAACTTCGACTCTAACAATCAACTCAACTCCCTTCTCAACATGCACTACTCTATGTCTCTGAGTCTCTCTAACTTTAACAGTCGGAGAATTACAAATTGCAATCATACTTGCAAACACACAACCTTTTTATTATCATACACCAAAATCCAAAAAAGAAAGACACTCGAAAGTCAAAGGTGCATCAAGCTTGATGGGCCTACAAACTCTCAAGTTCAAAATTAGAAACTCTCAAGTTTCGTGTTCGTCTAAAAAGTCAAAGTCAGCCTTTAAGAAGACGAAACTCTAGTGAAAGAGAAGGTTCGACGTGTTCTTGGCCAATTACTATTATACACGTGTCAAACTCTCCATTCACCATGTGTACGTCCTTTGAGCTCTTCGCATTTCAATCTCTCTCTCAACCAAACTCTGCAGCGATTGAGGAGCAAAAAAAAAACAAAACAAGGATCTCTCTTTGAAGTTATCGCCATGGTTCTCCGATCAGTAAATCTATGGACGACGCTTTTACTCCTCGGAATCTTATCGCGCGTGTCTCAATCTCTCCACTTCGAATTGCAGTCGGGTCGAACAAAATGTATATCGGAGGACATCAAAAGCAATTCGATGACCGTCGGGAAATACACCGTCGTTAACCCTAACGAAGCTCATCCTTCGCCTCCGTCTCACAAGATCTCCATCAGGGTACTCTAAAAAAGATCCCTTTTTTTCGATTTCTGGATTGTGAATTTGTAGCTTTTGTTTGATGTCGATTTATATATACACAGGTGACATCGAGTTACGGGAACACGTATCATCACGCGGAGGATGTGCAATCGGGGAATTTCGCGTTCACGGCGGTGGAAGCCGGAGATTACATGGCTTGTTTCACTGCCGCCGATCATAACCCTGCGGTGACATTGAGTGTCGATTTGGATTGGAGATCAGGTATTCATTCTAAGGAATGGAGTACTTTAGCCAAGAAGAGCCAAGTCGAAGTGAGTTTAATGAACGCTTTTTCTTCTTCTCTAAATCAAATTTCTTTCATCATTTTGCTGGTGATAGAAGTTGATGATTTGCACTGAAATTGTAAATGTTCAAAAGCTCAAATTGTAGAGCCTCGGTATTTAAATTGAATAGGTTTAAAGAGTAGCTTTTTTTTTGTGTTGAACAATGTTTGATGTTCTTCTTATGCTTGTGTGTTGTGTTCGTTTGTATAAAGGTCATGGAGTTTGAGGTAAAGAAGCTGATTGAAACCGTCAGCTCTATTCATGAAGAGATGTTTTATCTCAGAGACAGGTAATGAAGATTGAAAGTTTCCTGTTTTATTTTGCCTTGAATCATCATGATGTACAAAGGTGAAGAATTTTTCTTTTCTTTTTGTCTCATCAGGGAGGAAGAGATGCAAAACTTGAACAGGTCTACAAACTCGAAAATGGCGTGGTTGGGTTTCCTGTCTCTGTTCGTATGCTTAGGAGTTGCAGGAATGCAGTTTTTGCACTTGAAGACGTTTTTGGAGAAGAAGAAAGTCATCTAAAGATGGTTAGAATAAACCGCTAATTCCACTCTTTTTCTTTTTTTTTTTCCAACTCAAAGGAATCTTCTTTTTCCATGAGTTTTGTACATTTAGATCTTTGGCTTGAGCATGTACTCTCTCTCAACTAGAAATCATCAAATGAATGTGAAAGTTTTGCCCTTTTTGCAGTTTCTTGCACCAGATAGAAAACCAAAGCATATTTTTTCATAGATTTGTAGTAAAATTTCTTAAGTTTCCTGGAATTCGTAACAATTAACAAGACTCTGATGTGTAGAGAGAAATGCAGTAACAAGCTGCTTCAAATTTATGAAACTTTGACAGATAGGGAATATATTGCAGAGGCAGTAGCGTCATTGATCCTATAATGTGTTGAGACACCACATCTCAGGGTTTCTTCTTTGGAAGTAGAGTCAAGTCTCAAACAGAGTTTACTTAGCTGCAGAACTTAAGCACCAGACTAACTTCATCTTCCCAAAAGAGTTCCAACACAAACGACTCGTTTATCTTTACGCCATAGCTTCACAGAAATATCTCCAGCCTTTTCCAAATCGCAGGATTCCTGTTTTGTTTTCCTGCAAAAGATCCACCACCTGTTTTACTCCATCTTCACCCAACAGAGTTATCTTCCTTGACTTGTTAAGTCCATTTGCCCGCGTGAAACTCAGCGGAAGAGACTGCGCAAAGATTTGATGTTTAGACCCAATAAAAGAATAATTGACCAAAGGGACACAACCTTGAGGCAGAGAGTTGTTTATGAATCTTACCAGTTTATAGTTTCTAACAGCGCCTGGTGTAGGAGTTAACCTCACAAACTGGTCTTACCTATATGAAGATGAAGCTTTGCGTCTCCAAGCTTTTCTCTGAGACGCTCTTCTGAGACGTTCGGTGTAAGAGAAATTCTTCTTTTTCTCAATCTCCAAGACGCTCTTCTCCTCTTCACTTTCTTGTGATTCACTACTATCATCTCCCCTATCTTCTTGACACTCTAATGGCCTTTTTCCCCTGTTTGAAAGGCACAAAGAGAGAACGGGCTTTTCCCCTGTTTGAACCAGTTTAATCTTGAAGGAATCTCCAGCTTTGATCCTGTTTATTCGGCAGAAAGTTGTCCAGCTTGGTCCTATATATGTATGTTTTTTTGATTCGTAGTGCCTCAAAGCTAAAGTCCATCTTCTTCCCAGTTCGTTCTTTAAAACTATCTCACTGCATCCTTTTTCCAGACCATTTTCAGCCACAAACGTCCTTGAAAGATACTACAAAACGCCACATTATATACACGGAGTCAAAACACACGATGCATGTCAATATAGTAATCAAGAAATAACATTTTAAGTGTCAATGATCCAAAGTTTTTGTATTCACCAGTTTATCCGTTATTAGGCCAGAAGAAGAGACAGTTCCCACAAATAAGAATGTTGTAATGATAATTTTGGAACTGATTCTGGTCTATGTTCTTGACTATATGAAGATGAAGCTCCGCATCTTGAGAATTTCTTCTTTTTCTCCACCTCCTCTGAGACGCTCTTGTCTCCAAGACTCTCCTCTTCACTTTCTTGGGATTCTCTACTATCATCTCCACTGCTGGTATTTGAGGAGAGTGGACTTACATCATCACTACCTTCTGGACACTCTAATGGCGTCTTTTCACCGTTGGAAGGACACAGAGAGAGAACAGGCTTTTCCCCTGTTTTGACCAGTTGAAACATTAAGGAATCTCCAGCTTTGATCCCGTTTACTTGGCAGAAACTGGTCCAGCCTCGTTTGATGTAAGTATATCTGTATGATTCGTAGTGTTTCAGCACTAAAGTCCAACGTCCTCCCCATCCATTCTTTAAGACTATCTCACTGAGTCCTTTGTCCAGACCATTTGCAGTCACAAACCTCCTTGGAGGAGTCTACAATAACACAAATCAAGAAACGATCCTTTTGTAAGGAAGGAATGTGTGAAACTACAGTTTGAGTGTAAGATAGTGAGAATGAAAGTATTCACCAGTCTATCAGCTTCCAGGCTTGAAGGAGTGACAGATACATCCAAACAAGACTGGTCTGATTCTGACTATGGTTCTGATTCTGATTCTGACTCTGGTTTATCTTCTGCATGGCACAAACGGATGATGGGTGGTCCAGTTTTTTGGACTAGTTTGAATGTGTACGTAGTGACCTTGTTTCATCCTATTTGCAGCGCAGAAGCTTCTCCAACCAGATCTGGCATAAGTCTGCATGCATGCTTCGCTGTGTTTCAAATCTAAGTTCCATGCTCTTCCTTGTTCGTTTTCAAAAACTATTTTCTCACCATTCATTTTGTGCAGACCGTTTGGCCTGGCGAAACTCTGTGGTAGATACTGAAAATAAACACATTTTTTTTTGGACTTTACTATTATGTATGCAAATAAATCAGAGAATGCGGAGATGCAAGAGACAACGATGCTGCTAAGCAAAGAAGCAATTTGTTCAATGAAAGCTACACAAATTTAAAGTGTGTTGTAGTTAACGTAGGTCATTGCTTAAAAGGCATGGACGGAACGGAAGCATCACCCAAACTCTTTCGACTAGTTCAATGTTGCATGCATTTTAACGTAACTCAAACAAAAGAATGCATAATAATGATATGAAAACAACTACTGGACTACTGGTAGTAAACCAACTTAGATGAAGAAAAATATATAAATAAAGTTTGTTTTTTTCTTTTTTTCTTAGTACTTTCTATAAATAAAGCATATAGTATTTAATATTACAATGCCAAAAGTCCTCTGGACTTGGTAATAAAATAAAATAAAAAGGTAATAATAATACAGGACTGCGTAAAAAAAAGGTGGAAATTGAAACACACGAGAATGAAGGTGAAAGATGCGCCACATGAACGTTATTTTGGCAGTCCGCTTTTTATCCGTAACAACAACAATGCGTGCTGCGTTTATTCAGCACCACATGCGCAGGAGGTTCCTCTTGACTACAAGAACAGATATCTCCACGTCTAGTTTACATTGTTCGAGCAGACGAAGACGATTCTGTGTTGAGCAACAAGTCAATAAAAAAAATTCGAAATAATTAAAAATAAAAGGCAAACATGTTAGTCATTGTTACCTCGTCATCGAAATCTTCTGTCGTCTCTTCCTTCACCTGGCTGAGTTTCTTTTCAAGCTCTCTTATTGCCTCATCAACCTAACAAGAACCAAATTGATACTACTTATCTAAACAAATAATTTAATGACTGAACCTTTGCGACATCTTCAACACTTGGTTGATAACTCTTGAGCTCCAATATTGTCTCCTTGTTATTTTCCCCAGCCATGAGGCGTGTAACCTAATCAAGGGCAAAGTCACATAAAGATAAACGTAAATATTTCGAGTATTTTTTGCTAGCTAGTAAGCTTCTTGTTACCTCTTCCCGAATGGTACTAGCCTTTGCACCCAAATTGGCCAGGACCTGAGCAGCTAAACTTTCTTCATGACTAACAATACCAAGCAGAAGATGTCCTGATCCAATATAGTTATGACCTAGCAAGCAAGCAACAGAACATTGTAAGTAAGAAGAGAAACCCTAAATTAAAACACATTTTTGGAGTAATAAATTAAAAACCCACCAAGTTTCCGAGCTTCTTGGTATGACAACTTGAGCGTGTGCAAAGCAGTGTCGGTAAATCGGATATCCATTGGCGTGTTTCCAGTCTTCCTTTTAGGCTTCAGACCCGCCCAGATCTTACTGGGTCTATCGACTATTCTGTCAGCTTCCACACACACAGCTTCTGGGGTGATTCCCATGGAGTCAAGAACCTTTGCGGCAATGGCTGCTTCGGGGCCAACTAGTACTAGGCCAGCTAGTATTTTATCACTCCCGACAGCAATGTGGCATTGCCTGTCGGTTTCCTCTTCCGACAGCATTACGGCCTTCATTGCTTCCTCACTAAACCGTTCAAACAGCCTCCTTAGGAACTCACTCGACGGTATACATTTGAATATGCCCAGCTTGGCTCGACATTCACGGTATCCAACAGACAAGGGCGGCTTCCGATGCTTAAGTAAAAATAAATCAGGCGATAGAGACCTGCCAGTTGACAAGGGACTAGATTTATTAGACCAAAATAAGCTACATATATATATATATATATATATATATATATATATATATATATATATATATATATATATAACCATCGTTATGCATGGTTCTACTATTCTAGGGTCAAAACCATAAACGCAACTAGGTTGATCCAAAGCGAAGCTATATATACGTACAGAACCATAGAGAGCTTACCTTGACAGAGGATCCACTCGAATCCCAGACATAGCGACCTAGAAAGTGAGACTCTTTCTTGGAATGTCGGCCGTCGGAGAAAAGCGAAAAGCGAGGCGCTTATTCTTCTCGGTCTCAGGGAAGAAGATAATGTTGGATATTTAAGTGAATAAGGTGTTACAACATGGACCAAGGTGTTCCAACATGGTGCGAACAGTTACCTTTGGTTCAATCATTAAACGAACGGTTGCAAACGTTTCGTTGAGGCCTTATGAGAACTTTATAAGTTCTGTTGTCTCTCTGAGACAAGGGACAGAAGAAAATTCGAGATCTACAGAGATAGATCTGATTCATAAAAGCAACAAAAGTAAAAACATACAAGATCTCTTCTTGTTACTCTTTGATCTTAAGCCTAGACAAAGAGTGGACGTGATTGTCTTATCCTGCGAGGGATTTCGTGTAACCCAAGATTGTATAGGGTCGAAATACTCTTTAGGAAACTGTTTCGTACAGGATTCAATCACAATCCGATACCCAAACTTTTCTCTCTGAAACACAGTTTTCATTGTTCCAACACCCTGCGCTCTGTTCCTACACCACGAAACAGAGGAGATAAACCAACAGATAAGAGGGGGAATCACAAATCTCACTTGGCCCATTTAAGTTTACCAAACGGCCCCGTAAGTTCTCATTTGCTTTCATTTTCGAATTTTTTTGGCTTTCCAATAGAAAATGAAATCACATAAACGTAAATCCAATTTTGAATTGGGTTTTGAAAAGAAGAGAGTACGAGGTGAGTGTGGAAGTCGGGAAGAAGAGGCTGGAAGAACTGGGGGTTGCTCGGAGACTGAAGAGTTTGATCCGCCATTGTCGTCGACACACCTCAAGGGAAAACCTCAATAAGTCACTGCAAATTTTATATCCAGAACAGAGAGAATAACAGAAATCTTACATATGGTGGTATCTTGTTTCATGTAAAGGGGAGAAGTTTATGACAGAGGTTAATATTTTAAAAGGCACTTGTCTTCTTCGTCTTGAATTTCTCGAGGTGAACATCGATTGTGAATAATAGTTTCGAGTTAGTGACTGTTGTTTCTTTTTTCCCTCTTTTTCAGAAACCATTATCAGAAAGAGAGGTTGTCTTTTTCCTCTGCTTTTTAGAGGCGTTGATCTTCGTGAAGAATATGCACAAAAATCTAGCCAAAGACAGGTAACAAAATGACAACACAAGACCGAGAAATTCTTATCACTGAGTTTACAAGTTTGAAGCTTTTACGGTAATTGTACGCTATGAGAGATATTAACAAGAATGGGTTATATAAATGCCTTGTAGATGACGCTATCCATTGCTCACGTATTTTCTCTTCTTCTCAGTGCTCTAGAAACAGTATGTTTTTACTTTGTAAAAAAAAACAATTATGTAGTTTTACTGTTTTGACAATCTCAAAGGAGACAAGAGGAATGTTGTCAAATAGTAACAAATTACAAGTCTTATTCCATCAGTATTTGGATGGTTGTTAAACCATTTTGTATTAGTTTTTCCCACAGATGCTACTACAAATTACTTTATTACCACAACATTTTTTAATCCAAAATGTAGTTTTCACAAGCAATCCTTTATTCTGACCTTTTAATCTCACAAACCTCTTTATTAACATAAAAAAACTCTTAACAAATTACTTTACATAGATTAGTACTAAAGTTCTAAAGTTTCCTGGAATTCATAACAATTTACAAGACTCCAGCGATATACAGAAGCTGCTTCACACTGCAGAGGCAGTAGCGTCACTGTTCCTGTAATGTGTTGAGAGTTGAGAGACCACATCACAGGGTTTTCTTCTCTGGAAGTAGAGTAAAGTCTCAAACAGAGTTTACTTTTCTGCAGAACTTAAGCACCGGACTAACTTCATCCTCCCTAAGGAATTCCAACACAAAAGACTCGTACATCTTTACGCCATTAGCTTCACAGAATTCTCTCCAGCCTTTCCCAAACCGTATGATTCCACTACTTTCTTCCTGCAGAAGATCCACCACCTGTTTCACTCCATCTTGACTCAAGAGAGTTATCTTCCCTGGCTTGTGGATGCCATTCGCACGCGTGAAACTCCGTGGAAGACTCTGCGCAAAGATTTGTTTTAGACACACAAAAAAAAAAGAATAATAGCCCAAGGGACAATCTTGAGGCACAAGGTAGTTGTTTATGAACTCACCAGTTTATAGCTTTTAAAAACGGACGGTGTAAGAGTTAACCTCACAAACTGGTCTTGGCTATATGAGGATGAAGCTCTGCATCTTGAGAAATTCTTCTTTTTCTCCATCTCCAAGCATTCCTCTGAGACGCTTTTGTCTCCAAGACTCTCCTCTTCGCTTTCTTGTCTTCTGTTACTATCATCTCCGCTATCTTCTGGACACTCTAATGGCGTTTTGTCAATGTTGTAGTGATAGAAAGTGAGGACAGGCATTTTCCCGGTTTCAACCAGTTTAATCATGAAGGGATCTCCAGCTTTGATCTTGTTTATTCGGCAGAAAGCTGTCCAGCCTGGTCCGGTAAATGTTTGGTATATTGATTCGTAGTGCCTCAAAGCTAAAGTCCATCTTCTTCCCCGTTCGTTCTTTAAAACTATCTCACTGCATCCTTTTTCCAGACCATTTTGAGCCACAAACGTCCTTGGAAAATACTACAAAACGCCACATTATATGCACACACGATGCATATCAATATACTAATCAAGAAATAACATTTAAAGTTTTAAGTAAAGAAATGTTTGTATTCACCAGTTTATCATATTCCAGGCTAGGAGTGACAACTCCCACATAAAAAGAATGGTGTAATGAAGATTCTGGATCTGATTCAGGTCTATCTTCTTGACTATATGAAGATGAAGCTCTGTATCTCGAGCAATACTTGTTTTTCTTCACCTCTAAGCATTCCTCTGAGACGCTCTTGTCTCCAAGACTCTCCTCTTCACTTTCTTGGGATTCTCTACTATCATCCTCACTGCTAGTATCTGAGGAGAGTGGACTTACATCATCGGTACCTTCTGGACACTCTAATGGAGTCTTTTCACGATTGGAAGGACAGAGAGAGAGAACAGGCTTTTCCCCTGTTTCAACCAGTTGAAACATTAAGGAATCTCCAGCTTTGATCCCGTTTACTTGGCAGAAATTGGTCCAGCCTCGTTTGATATAAGTACATTTGTATGATTCGTAGTGTTTCAGCACTAAATTCCAACGTCCTCCCCATCCATTCTTTAAGACTATCTCACCGATTTCTTTGTCCAGACCATTTGCAGTCACAAACCTCCTTGGAAGAGTCTACAATAACGCCACATTTATTACACAAATCAAGAAACGATCCTTTTGTAAGGAAGGAATGTGTGAAACTACAGTTTGAGTGTAAGATAGTGAGAGTGAAAGTATTCACCAGTCTATCAGCTTCCAGGCTTGAAGGAGTGACAGATACATCAAAACAAGACTGGTCTGATTCTGACTCTGAGTCTGGTTTATCTTCTGCACGGCACAAACGGATGATGGGTGGTCCAGATTTTTGGACTAGTTTGAATGTGTAGTGACCTTGTTTCATCCCATTATCAGCGCAGAAGCTTCTCCAACCAGATCTGGCATAAGTCTGCATGCATGCTTCGCTGTGTTTCAAATCTAAGTTCCATGCTCTTCCTTGTTCGTTTTCAAAAACTATTTTCTCACCGTTCATCTTGTGCAGACCGTTTGGCCTGGCGAAACTCTGTGGTAAATACTGAAAAAATCACATCACAGAGTTAGTTTAATGGTGTCTCTCTCAAACTAACCCATTTTTAGATTTAAGCCAATTGTAATGAGCGTTTTCGCTTAAACTAACCAGACGGTCACTATTTAGGCTCGAGGCAGAGACATTTGCCACAAAACGAGAATGATCTGATGAAGAATCTTCTTTTTCCGTTCTTGGATTCTTCTTCACTCTCGTTCTTGAACTGTTTCCTGTAACTAAGAGTAGAATAAAAGAATCTTAGTTTTGCTTCTTTGTTACAGACTTTTTAGTATATTTCATAGATAAAAAGTTTACCAATGTTGTTGGTCTGATCATCACTATCATCAGTGTCATTGATGTTGTTGTGAGATGATGTATATTGAATCTCGCAGCAACTTGGTCCTAGAGCTGTGACGTGAAACACCAAATCTCCTTCATGTCTGAAAACGGTGATGTCACCGATTCTGAGATCATGAGCGACTGCAAAATCTTTCCAGCCGTCGGTGAGTTTCAAGCCGTCCATCTTCACTGTCCAAGTTTCATCCGACGCATCTGATCTCAGCAGCGCAGTCTTGTTCTGGTCGTTTCTTCCTTCGACGTACTTGGAGAAGAAAGCTACAGGAATGTTCTGCAGCAACATGCAACAAAATTTAAACAATGATGAATCATTTTATGGATATTCTGGTCTAAGACAAGAGAAAAGAACAGAGTACGAGGTGTTAGAATGATGATGAGAGAAGAACACATTTGTGTGTAGGAAGAAGTATATTAACTCTCATAAGAACTGATTTACATGATAGACATATTTATACAGTGGGAAATGATATTCACAATTAACCTAGTTTCCTAATGTAGTCATATACGAATATGAAGTTATAATTACAAATATCTTCAATGATATCATGGATCATTCTAGATCCTTCTATATGCCCCCTCAAGCTCAAGGGAGTAATGGAGATGTGCGAGATTAGCGCCTTGAGATTGATCGGTGAAGTAGACTTGCTTTGAAAACCATTCGGGGACGTAGATGCGACGGAAGATGGAGCGATGGACATGGATGGTGGAGTAGAGAGAATTAGATCTTGAAGAGCTGCTAAGGAAGGAGATGATATTGAAGATCTTTTGTGATGCATCCTTCTCTGGCTGAGTTGCAGCAAGGCTTGGAATTTGAAGCAAGGAGAAAGCTTCTCCGTGGAGAAGATTTTTTGTTTTTTTTGTTTTTTTTTTTAATAGAAAGAAGATGAAAATAAGAAGATGAAAGAAAATAATAATAGAGAAGTAGAAAGAGATAGAGAGCTTGAAATAGAATAAAAACTTTTTTTTGTTTTTTTTTTTTTTAAAGAAACTCTAAGGTTTTGAGAAGCACATGGCTTGAGTTGAGAAGAGTGAGTCATTCTCAGAAAATGATTCAGAGGTTCATAATGAACTTGAATTTGGAAGCATATAGCTTAAACATAAAATAAAAATATTGAAATAAAAGGAGAGAGTTTGATTCAGAGGTCTATAATAGACTTGAATGAAAGAAGCACATGGTTTAGAAAAGATGAAGAAAAGAGAGTTTGATTGTTAGATCAAAACTCTTGAGCATAACCTGCTCTGATACCATGTTAGAATGATGATGAGAGAAGAACACATTTGTGTGTAGGAAGAAGTATATTAACTCTCATAAGAACTGATTTACATGATAGACATATTTATACAGTGGGAAATGATATTCACAATTAACCTAGTTTCCTAATGTAGTCATATACGAATATGAAGTTATAATTACAAATATCTTCAATGATATCATGGATCATTCTAGATCCTTCTATACGAGGTGAGTGTGGAAGTCTGGAAGAAGAGGCTGGAAGAAATGTGGGTTGGTCGGAGACTGAAGAGGTTGATCCGCCATTGTCGACACACACCTGAAGAGAAATCTCAATAAATCACGGATTTTTTTTTATATCTAGACAGAAATCTTATGGTGGATTCGTGTTTTCATAAAGATGAGAACTTTATGAGAAAAGAGGTTCATATTTTAAAAAGACTTGTCTTCTTCGTCTTGAATTTCTCGAGGTGGACATCGATGGTGAATAATACTTTCGAGTTTGTTACTTTGTATCTTTATTTTTTTTTCCACCTTTTCCAGAAACTTTTATCGTGTTAATCAACACAATGTTTTTTTACTTCTCAGAAACCACTTTGAGAAAGAGAGGTTGTCTTTTTCCTCTGTTTTTTTAGAGGCGTTGATCTTCGTGAAGAATCTGCACATGGATCTATAGCCAAAAACAGGTAACAATATGACAACACAATACCGATAAATTCTTAATCTGAGTTTACAAGTTTGAAGCTTTTACTGTAATTGTAAGGTATATGAGATATTACAAGAATGGGTTATATATATGCCTTGTACATTACGCTATCCTTTGCTCACGTATTTGCTCTTCTTTTTAGTGCTCTAGAAACAGTACACTTTACTTTGTAAAACAAAAACAATTATTTGAATTATGTAGTTTTATTGTTTTGACAATCTCTATACAACTAAGTCTCAAAAGAAACAAGAGAAATGTTGTCAAATAGTAGCAAACTACAAGTCTTAATCCATCAATATTTTGATGATTCTTAAACCATTTTGTATTAGTTTTTCCCACATAAGCTAATACAAAATATTTTTTATCCAAAATGTAATTTTCACAATCTTTGTATCAAATAGTATTAAAGTCCAAAAGTTCCTCCTCATTCATTCATTAGCAGAACTATCTCACTGAATCCTTTATTCTGATCTTTTAAGCTCACAAACCTCTTTAGAAAAAAGCAACCCCTATACAAAATACTGGAAACAAATTAAAGACAAGTTTATGAATCGTTTTAAAAAGTGGAAAAAAAAAACCATATGCATTATTTTTAGTAGTTGAATAGTTTAAATTTGTATTTCGATAATTGGAGAAACTAACAAAAACTAGTTGAAGTGTTTTGACAAAGAAATCGGTTGACCTTTGATAATTGTTAGAACTTAGACGTGTATTACATTGATGTGTCTTGTTAGTGTTTGTTATCTTACATTACAACCGTTCAATAGTTACTTGTTTGGATAGCCTGCTATTTAAAAAGTTAAAGCCAATAAATTTTACGTCAAAACGCTTTAGATTTCTATTTCTTACAAGTCTACGAGTAGTTTTCTCTTTATGTAGATATACCCATAAATGGCAATGCAAATTTTATTATCCCACCTAACGTTTTAAAGAATTTTTAAGATGTCTTAATTATCTTTTTTGTAAGTAAGCCTCTTCGGTTATCAATTGTTCACATGCCTAGGTTGGTCCCCTCCCTTATTAGTTACTACTCTCATCTCATGCGTATTAACTTTTTATTACCGAATCTGCAAATTCTGTTGGTTTTGCAGCTGTGAACAATTATTGTTTACTTTAATTAATGTAATGATCTCTTAAATGTTACAAGATAAATATATGGTTTCATCTCAACTCAAGACACTTGTTTTTCTTACTCAAGTGTTCAGTCGTCCAAATTGATGGCTTGTGTCCTCTTCGGATTCCTTGCTGCAACCATACTCCTCGTGCTCCTCTTTTATCCGCCGGACACACCAGAGGTTACTCTCGCCTCCCTCACAGTGACGAAGTTCAACTTCACCGGAGATCATATCTCCGGCAACTTCAATATCCAGTTTCAATCCTTAAACCCTAACTTAGGGACTGATTTCTTCTACAAAGACGTTGATTGCTCAGTTTACTACGGCAAGCACCGTCTGGCCTCGACCGTGCTCTCGGGCTTTGCACAAAAGGAGAGAGAGACGAAGCTAATCAACGCCACCGTCCATCTCACGCAAGGGACCACTGCCAAAGGAATCGGCAATGACTTGACCATTTTCAGTGTCTCACAGTTCGATGTGACGCTGACTAGTCTCATAGAATGGGAACCGTGGAGCTTCTATTACCTCAGGTTTTCATGCGATGACGTGGCAGTGGGTTTCCTGGCTACAACTGGTGGCCACGGCAAGATGATCGGTCCGGCGAGGAAGTGCCAGGTGTCAAAAATTTCTGAATCTTCTTTTTAAATAGAAGAATATATTTCGCTACGAGCATGTAAAGAGACTTGGGAATATATTTCTTAATCGAATGAATGTTTAAAAAGTATCGCCACTTCAACACAAACAACGTACTTTGGAATACACGAGTAAAACATTTGGGTCCATTTGAAACATCATATTCATATATACACACACAATGACACACACAATCACGATGAATTATTACTTTTGAGTATGTTAGTGAGAAAGCTTGAATGAGATGATCAATATGATGGCGAGAATGAGAGCCACGATTACCGAAGTAACGATCCATTTGTTCCTTGTCATTCTTCTTGACATAGCCGTCAACACTTTCTTGCTCTTGTCAATGGCGTCATCTACACCATGAAGCTGTGACACAAAACACAAAAAAAGTTGAGAGCTTTGCTCATTGGCGCTGACATAAAACCAAAACCAAACCTAAACAATTCAGCTGAAATTATTGGAAATTACTGCAACGGTTACCTTGGTGTGAGCGTGAAGGAGGGTTTGGCGTTGCTGACCAAGATCTTGAAGAATTGAGACGCCAAGCTCTTCTGTCTCCAGCATGGTTCTTCTACTCTCCCTGATCCTGTCGCTTGATTGGTCAAGCCTCTCCATTGACATTGCCATTCTCCCTCTCTGATCAGCTGCTACCTGGATTAAGTTTGCAGGAAGAAACAAAAGCAAAAGTGACACGAATCAATCAAAGACAAAGAGATGAGTAATGGCTAAACCGTAGAAACAACTAAACAGATGCGATTTCAAGACTGTTAGGAGTTTACTGCATGAGGATCGGCCATTCCGGATTCCATGAGCTCTTCACGTGTAGATTGTTGGTTAGCATCTGGGGAAGAGACTCGTTTGAATTCCTTCTTCAGTTGGTTCAGATCAGACTTGTATTCTCTTAGTTTAGAAAGACACACAGCTTTAGCACTCGGCTGCAAACTTCTTGCCTCAAGATCCATTTTCCGGATCTACCACCACACACAAAAAGAAACAGAAACGCATTGATTTAGATAAAAAAAACAAAAGACATAAATAAAGAGAAGAGAAGGATATTCACATTAAGCAGCAAAAATGGTAATATACCAAGACATCAGCTTCGTCTATTCCAGACTTAATCTCACCAATTTTCCCCTTCTTCTCTTCTGCAAAAGCACATTACAATTCATCAAACCTCTACTAGTGTAACAAATTTGAGCATATTTATGCACTGTAGCTCCAAGAAAGACTGATCGATTCAGTGTTATGAATTGATCAAACTGAATAATCTTTGAGCTAATAAGGTTTTTCTTTCATCTTCAGTCTCAACAATTACTTGATCCCTCAACAAAACTATGTGTCCCAATCCAAGCAGTGTGATTACATCATGATACATCTAATCTCAACATTCCTAGATGCCATAGAACTCGTCAGATCGTAAACAAGTCAAAGAGAATTGGTAAAGAAATCATCCACCCAGCTAATTTTCGCAGCTCAAAAGCTCCAATTCCCCCAAATTCGAGAGAATTTAGACGAACATATTCGACACATACGCAGGAAAATAGAGATTGGATTCCTATAATCAGGGAAATCTGAAGGTCGGATTCAAGATAAACTCAGGATCCGAAGAAATTTGTACCTCCGTCGGAGAGAAGCGATGTAGAATGACATTTTCTGGAGAGATTGGTTGAGAGCTCGCAGTACTGACGCTCGTACCCTTCAAATACGTCGCTCATCCTTCTTCTTTCTTCACCAAATGGTTTCGATCTCAAATTGGAAAAATCAAGAAATTTTCTGTTCAAGCGGATCCTTCGTTTGATTGGATCGGATCTCGAAGCAGGTTCAAAACAGTTCCTCTTTGCTTAAAGAAATCGAACAACTGTTCTTCTTCCTCTGATAATTTTTGCGACACCAAGGAACAACCCAAAGCGGTGCGTTTCATATGTCACGTGTGAGCCACCGTGTAATTAACTCACGCCGCGTGAGCAATACCATTTTGTACAAAACTAAAATTTATATCAAGGAAAAAGAATTTGTTTTCTAGACGAATCATGCATGGTTACGAGTTACGACTTACACATGCACATTTGATCAGACCAACTTCGCATAAATCTGTTTACTAAAAGCCATAGAATCAGAGATATCTCCACCAGTGTCTAAAGGCGAAAGAATATTCACAGGCGACCATTACCAAGTCTCTGCAGTGTCATGTTCGAGGCAGACTCGAAAGATCTAGCTCACCTCTTCAGCTCTTATATGGGTTTCAGAACAGTCGAGAGCTGATTACGATGTTGGAATTGTTGGCTGATTACGATGCTCTAGTTTCCTACTTTTGAGTCTATGAAGAGATACAATAGCTTCCTCCATCTTCAGGCACACTTCTTTCTTCTTCAAGAGGTCAACGACAATGTTTTCTTGAAAGCTAACGTCTTTGAAAGTTGATTATCTGCAGCTTGCAATATATCATGAATTATACTACGACTAGTTTGTGTGTTTCCAAAAGTTCTCTTCACATGTTCTTCTCAGGGATAGAAGCAATGCCAATATGAACACGATGGAGTCTGTGTAGCTAAACATTGGGTCAGCTAATCACAATGAAAAGCTTTCTTTAACCAAAGACAAGACGACAACTGAAACTGCAACCAACTCAATGCAAAGCAAGATCACTTCTTTTCTTGGGGAGAATATTCATTACGCATCGTAAGAAAAAGGCAAATCTTAAGTGTCACTGTGTCAGGAACCTACCACATACTAGGCTGAAACTGAGCTCACAGATTAGTATATCCGCTAACCTATTTGGACTCTTTAACAGTCTCAAGAAACCATCTACACTGCCCGGGCTAGAGACCTTAGAGGCTAAGCGAGTCCCACTAGAGTAAAGATGGGGCAACAATCACAGATTCTCAAATGATATTAAAAGAACCAACAGATATTACAGAAATTCCAAGTGCCTTGTTCGTTTACATCCACATTCATCTACTCAGAAAGCTTTATTCTACAAGGTAAGATCCACAGGGAAATCGAGCTCTTATAGCTCACTCTTAACCTTCGCATCCCCATTTGGTAACACATTTTGCGATTGAGCCAGCCGTTTTGCTTCCTGATTTTCATGAAAATCAACAGTAGCATATTAAGGAACATGTACAGACAATCACAAATAGAAAAAACGAAGCAATGTTAAACAAACTTACAGCTGCAGAATTAGCACGGATTTCTCTGTAGTCATCAACTTCATCAGGAAAAGTCTGTTCAAGCTCCTCCAGGATATGCTTTCTCAAATCCTGTAAGCAATAGAAACAAAAAGTTAAATGAGAAACAGAGAAAAAAACCATACCCAGATTGATAATCAGCAGGAAACGTTTTAACCTTAAAAGCATCAGTCTTGCCCTTGGTAACTTGATTTCTGGCAATGCAGCTATTAAGAACATCCCTTGTAAACTCGTCAGGATTCTTCCCATTATCAATCAAGCTAATACAAAGATGCAAAAAAACATCAGTAACAAACATAAGAAAGCAAGCAAAAGTACCCTCAACTACATTCATTCTTAAGGAAAAAGAAAAGCTCTCACTTAAGAACCTCCATGGGGACTTGAATGTTGCATTTCTCGGACAACTTAGCCATGCTATCCAGCTCCACCACTACAGAATTGCTGCACACATAACAGAAAACAAAGAAAATTTGTTTCTCTCTCTCTTTGGTGAATGCCAAAAAAATCAAGAAAGAGTAGAAGAGGATGTTACAGGCGCTGGAGGAGATGGAGCTGAGAAGCGGGTGTGAAAGAAGTGATGGTAAGGTCTAACTGATGAAGAAGCCCCAGAGTTTTCTGAATAGAGTTTATGACTTGGTTCAGATTCTCCTTTGAATCGTCAACAGCAGCAGCTGCTGCTGCAATGCCATCATTCGTTTGGTATCTCATCGTGCCATTGCTCCCACCAATCCCTGCGCCTGTGTTCTGTGCTGGTTCCATCACACCTGACACAGAAAATCCATCCGACTGATCAGTCATTGTGAATTTAACGAGATGAAGTAGTACGAATATTGATCTCAGACCTGATTCGAACAAAGTGACGACTCGAATTGCAACTTGGATCTCAAATTAAAACAACTTTGAACCAATTGGGAGTGGATTTTTTTGTATCAAATTGAAATCACGAGGAGACTGAACCTCTATATAGAATGCGAACGAAAATCAAAGGATAACAGTAACCACTGGCGTGAATCGAGATCCGCAACTTACCCTACAACGGAGAGGTGTCGATTCCTCGGATGAATTAGGTTTTCCTCCGAGCCTAAGATGTGTGATTACGATGCTATGAAGAAGAAGAGGATATGGGGTTAGTTACGCCAAAGATGAAGAGTTTTACAGGACTTTTGGCGAGAGAGGAGACGACGGAAGCCGATGATGATGATATCGGAGAGCAATTCGCGTACCCTAAAGTTTTAATTTTTAAATATGGACACTTAAAATTGTTGACGTGGCATTTTCAGGTTAGTTAAGTTCATTCCAGTCATACACTTTGCTCATCACACTGATTTGGTTGTATCTTGTATCAATGATCTCGCTTAAAAGTTAAAAACCTTTTTAATCCAGATTTCGCCTAATGAAGAACTGGTCGGTTGTGGAAGGTGACAAGAGTCGTTTAATCAAAAAACGGTTAAATCCACAAGACGAACAGTTTTGAGTTTGATCCACTGGAGAAAGAAGAATTAGTATTACAGCAAGGTAGTTGTCTTTTTCCACGCATCATAAACTTTATAGAATCAAAACACTAGGTAGGATAAGAGAAAACATTCTCAGATGTGTATCCTTTTTTCTCATGATCACAAAGTAGTAATACTAATACATACGTTGTCTCCGGGATGATGAAGATGAATTCTCTTCAGGAAGATTGAGTATCTGCTGAATCTGGAAATGAGCCTGCAAAAGTTTTTACACAGTGATTTTTCTATTCTGATTCAACCTCACAATTTCAGTAACTTGAACTTACCAGTTTGATGCGCCCTTTGATCTGCGTAATAACACCAGTAACCTCTTCTAATTGTCTGTAACAGAAAAAAAGACAAAACCACCATTTCTAGTATCAACAACATTCAGTCACAATAATGCATTTCACAAGACAACTCATACGTCATATACAATGATTCAACCATGTTTCCCCTCGAATTTACCGAGAAGCAAACATCAAAAAAAAAAAAAACAAAAAAAAATTGTTTCTGCCCACTTTTTTGTGTGTACATTAACATAATTTTGAAAACTTTGAGAAACGCAGAGCATGAGAGAAGAAAAGCAACAATGTGAAGCAAAAACAAAAAGGAAAGTGTCAACATACTTTTTAATTCTTTCCTCTCTCTGTGTAATATAGTCAAGAGCTTCTTGCCGCGTGAACTCCACATAAAAGCCAAGCCCTACATCCATGAATATGTGCCTTGTATCTGGCCTGAACTCAGACACAAGTGTAAACGAAATCAGAAGCATGCTTGGTAGATATAACCACCAATTTCAGTCAATACATTACTAGCATCTCTAACATACACAACACAGTGAAAATACACTAGTTCAAATTAAATGCACAAGAGTTTGTGTTATTGTGAAAATGCATTAAGCTCTGTATGGAGGAGACAGTGTATCAGACTTCCCAGATAATGACTTGGCTAAGATGAAACGAAAATAAGCAGAGAGTGACGTACACTTCAGCCTGCATGTAAACTTCTGAGCCGAGGTTGACCATTGTTTTGAGACTATTTACACCATTTTTCTCCAGAGTTTCTAGGTTTTTGCGCAGGTCAGAGCTGGAGTGGGAGTAACCGTTAAGGAAACAAGAATTCCCAACCTAATTAGAGCTAACTAGAACATTACAGTATCGTGAACGGCTAAAACCAAGAACGGTTCCTCTGGATTACAAGAAACTAAGAACCAAGTGAAAAAAAATCTGAATGGTAATGGAATCGATCATCTTTACTGGGGCTAAGACAAGGGAGAAACTAACAAAATATCTAGGATCAACCCAAGGAAATGTAGAATTCGAGACGCAAGAGTCTTTCAAATACAAAAGGATACAATACTTTTTGTTCTTCAAAGATCTTGTCCCTGCAAAACCAACAAATGCAGAGACGACTATGAGTAAACAATAAAACAAGAGACTACAAACGAATAGCATGCAAGGAAGACAGCCTAACATAACCCTACAAGACTCTACCATCTACATACACTTTAACATCATAAACAAAATATAAAATTCTGGACATGAAAAGGAGATAAATTTGAATACCGTGAAGCAGTTATGTGTACAAGCTTCTGCTTTAAACCTTTATCGATAATTTCCTCCAGCAACTGCAAGTCCTTTTGACGTCCCTCGTCCATTACTGCAACATGGACAAAACATATCAAGCAAGAGGCTCTTTTACAAAAAAACAAAGGGATAGGAGCATACCAACAATCCAAAAACCCAAAAAAAAAAAAGTCAAAATTCTTGCTTATCTACTCAGTAATTGCTAGAGATTCAGTACAGAGATGGTGTGGATTGCAAAACAGTAAGACAGTGGTAATGGGTGGTGACAAAATCTGAAAACAGAACAGAACAGAACAGAAACATAGAAGAGAGGTAGCAACTGCAAAAGAACCAAAACCAGAGAAAGAATGGATTCGTCTATAGCGACACTACGCTTAACACATTGTTGTTTGATAGAATCAGTCTTGAATAAGTGTGCAGAGACTTGAGTTGAGTTGTTCGTTTTTCAAAATCAAAAGTCACCTAACAAACACTGCTTAAATAGAAGCCAGGAGAGCTGAAAACATTCACCTAGACAGAAATCCTAGTCGATAATCGACAATAATCAGAAGAAACAAAAAATTGAGATACAGAGAACAGCAAAGGTCCAAGAGGATTCGACTCACGGGCAAGATGATGATAAAGGTCTATACACGACGAGACTGAACGACGGTGATGCAGTTGTGACAGTGATGTTAAACGACGGCGAAGGCGACTGGCGACGGTGAGGGGAGACGAAGGATGATTTAATATTTCCGTGTTTTACAATTGTGAACCGGAACATCAAGTCCTTTGAAATATACTTAATTTGCAAAAAAGACCCACCTACTTTTAAAACTTACTATTTTACGTCGAATGTTTTCACACAATCAAACTGACACTCCAAAGTCCAAATACAACAAACAATCTAACAAATGGGAGCAGAATTAAGAACGAACTTGGCTGCAATCATCTTCAGATCATAAAAAATTAAAAATCATGCTATTATATAACGAAAACCTTCAAAATGCATACAATGTTTTTAAACAAGAATAAAACGAAGCCTACAATGCTCATAAAGAATGTTCAAGCAAAACCCATTGATATACATCTTTCTTCTTCTTCTTCATCCAAAAACCATTACTAAGTATCCAAAACTGCAACGGTTTCCATGATAGCCTGAGTTTCTTCTCTCGAAGCATCCATACTATAATAAACCCGGCAGCTGAAATAGAACACAGCACCCATCATCGAATCCACAAGCGTCACAAACGAATACATAAACACCAGAAGAGGCCCTTCCCATAGCCTCGAAGACCCATCTCCATAACTCACTTTCTTCACTCTGTGATCAAACAGTCCTTCCACAAACGCCAACCCTAAAGTCGACCCAAGAAATATCAGCAAACCAACCTGAATCTGCCCTTTGACCAGATCACTAGCTCTCATCAACGCTCCAACCCCTGAAACATCCTCAAGCACCGAGATCACCACCGCCGTGTTGCAGATTATGATCGCGTTTGCGAACACCACAGAGAACGCTAAACCAACCAAGATGGCTCCGTAAGCGTTGAAGTCCGGAGAGAATCCGAGAACGTAAAAGGAACTGCAGATTGCTACTAGAAGAACGCAGAAGAAAGTGAAGCAGCCAACGATGAGAACGCAGATCCAGAGGTAAGTGAGCACGACTCGTCTCCAGAGCTTCTGCAACGCGACCAAGAACTTGCTTATCTCGACTTTCTCTTTCGAGTAAGTGCAGTCCACAGAGTAAACCACAGCTACTCTCGACAAGAGAGAGACGGTGATGAACAGAGGGAAACACATTGCGGAGGAGACGGCGGTCTCGGCGAATTTCTGGCAAGAGTGTTTGACGAGCGGCTGCAGAGGGAGGCCGCTCGATTTCGCTACCAGGAGGAGCTTCACTGTGAGTTTGTTCACCAGCGATTGATCGGTTAAGAAGTTTGGTAAGATGAGAGCAGAGACGGGGCAGATCAAAACGGCGGCGGTTAACATGAAAGCGCCGAGATTGTACCGGAGGATCCGAACGGATTCTCTCAGGATCTCTAACGCGTTCGAAGAGTGGAATCGCTGCTTGTGGCTGCTGTGTGGTTTTAGCTCCGGTTTCCTCAATACGAGATTCGTCTCCGTCTCCATTTTTTGTTCCGAGTGAAGTGGGTTTTTTGTCAGTTGAGTTTGAGGTTACATACCGTAAAAATCCTGAATTTCAGAAGCAGCGGGATGAAATTGAAGATCTTTCAGATAACCCAGATTAGCAGATTGCCTACATAGGAAGAAAGAAATCGAATTTGAGTGGAGTGGAATCATTTGACCTCATCGCCACGTTCAAAGCATAAAAGCTATGGAATTTCAGCTAAAAAGTGGTGATTGAAAGGAAAGGGTACGCACAGTATAGTGTGAGCTTGGATGTGTTGGAGCCGGGTTCGGATCCTATACCTCAATAAACAAGGAAATGACGGATCTTGGACGAGAGATCTCGGCAGTGTTATCTACGTTCCTATGATAACGTAAGAAGAAAAAAAGTGTTTTTTAGTTCTCAAACCAAACAAAAAAAAAGACAATTTGTCGGTGGCACCCAGAAGCCACCGTGCATCTGTCCCCTCGCACCGAAGATAATCCAACGGAGGTTATCTTCTCCTCTCCCGCACCAACTTGAAGCTAAACCGGAAATTTAACTGAAACCTAGGAATACTAAACCGAAACCCGGTTTGGAAAAATCAAAACTCGAAGGATTTGTGTATGGGAGCCATGGATCGTTGAGCTGAGTAGAAGCAGGATCACCAATACAAAGTCACATTGTAAGAGGTCTCTAACTAAGAGTAGAGATTGACAAGTGCCAAACCATAGGATGGTTGTGTGCCCTTTAGAAGCAGATAAAATAGATCCGTTTCAGAAATAACGTCCCTTTTCAAAACACAAAGAAGTAAACCAAGTAATTTTTTGAGGGGAAGCATTTTTCGGCTAATTTGTATTGAATAGGATGTTTGGGCTCTTTGTAATATTACACATGTTATGGGTTACAATGAAAATTGGCTGACAAATGCAAATATCAATGGAAAACATATTTTTGCCATCATCATGAAACTATGCACAAATCAAATGATATGTGTTATCTGCATTGTTTTGTCAGCAGCTGAAAGGTTGTAAAATCCAAGAGGTGCATTCTTCTAAGAGTTTAAACTTCTGGCGCTTTGCGATATCCAAGAAAATCTCCATCCTCTTGAGGAACTCAGGCCCGCTCTCCTTGCACCTAAAAGATCCAGCGCACTCGCACTGCTCTGTCAAATGAGCCGCTTTCACCTGATTGCACCTACTGCAAACTAGATCCTGCATGTGGTACATTCTCTCTCTCTGTCTCACCATCTGGAGAAGACTATTCTCCATCTCCTCTCTGTCATATATCTTCCCACATTGTGAATCTACACAGCACCATTCCTTCTCTGTTAATAGAGCTGGATCTCTGCATATATCTAGGTCTCTGTACGCGTCACAGTTGCTGCAACAAAATAACAAAACTCGGTAAATACATTTCAGCTGTCTTACTGCTTACCCTCTGTCCTACAATTTGGTCAAGTAATACCTGCAAGCCACATTAGGTAAGATGAAGGATGGCCCGGGATCAAGAAAGTCGACTTCAGCAGCAAATTCTTTTACGCTTATGTACTTCAACAGATTCTTTCTCATTACCTACAGAGAAGAGATGGCGTCAGCAAGATTGTAGGTCTAGAGAACAAAGAGATTAGAAGACAATATAGTTAACACTCATCTGAAAAGACATCCAACTTTAATGGTAAACATAGTTTCAAGACTAGTGTTTCCTTAATGAACTCGGTAACAAAGAGGTTTACAACCATAAAGATAAACAAAGCTTCATTGGAATGTTTTGTAGCTAAGAAAATCTATTCAGAGGGACTATGACTACTTTATATGATTGTCCATCAGAACTAGAATTCGGTAAAGAGGGAAAGGGATGAGTGAAGTATGTACCAGAACATCTTGCAGGACGTTTTGGTCAAGAGCCAGAACAGCACATATAGTCTGAATAAATTCTAATGTGTAATCTCCTTTGGGGGCTTGACCAGAAGCCTGAGATGCAGCTGAAACGTTTATCTCCTTCATGTGTGACCTGATATCACCGACTTTTTTAACAAGCATATTAATGAAGTTGGATCGTATCTGCATAAAAGAAAATAGAAAGAAAAAATGAGGAGACAAGCTTAAGAGGGAATGAAAAACTAAATCAACCGAATTGGATTGAAGACTACCTGTTCCCTTAGAAATTCTACCATTTGTGCCTCTAGACTCTCTGAACTGCCTTTTTTTTTCTCTAAAGCAAATTTCCAGGGGTCAAATATAAACTTGGCAACGATTATGATGAAATCCTTCTGCAAAGATAGATGAAATGCATGAGTATCTAAGACAAAAATGATCCAGGTGTTTTTCATTCCGCTAGATGAACATCGGATCCGTCTGCAAACCTGAATATACTCGGGTAAAAGTCTTGCAATGCTCCACTTTGGTTCAATAGTCACTTCTTCAGGTGAAATTTCATCATTGGTAGCTCGGATGCCAGCGTAGTTATACTGAAATGTTGAAGAAAAGTTATATCTCGATGAGAAAGGAAAAGTATCTAAACCCTAAACCCTAAACCCTAAACCCTAAACCCTAAACCCTAAACCCTAAACCCTAAACCCTAAACCCTAAACCCTAAACCCTAAACCAAAGGTGTGGAAGTACAAGCCTTAAGAAATCCAACCTGGTCCATGAAAAGCAACGAGTGCCAATAGTGAGCCGGCTCGAGCAAGATCAACTCAAAGATATCACTGTTGGTGGCAAAGCATAAAAACCAGTGACAGGAAAGTGAGTACAATCAATTAGAGATTTAGAGCCGTAGACGTATATACTAGGCAAGAAAGAAACCAACCTATTCCCCACCGCTGTGAGCAAGCTTTCACAATAAGCCTTAGCAGTAGACAGATCAAATTTCCCAGTGTCGATAACGACCTTTGAGAAGTCTGCATATATTATTATAGCACCCAATCTCCGCAAATCAGTCAAAAGCAGAGCAAACACCTTTTGCATGACCTACAATATTGATGAAAACCGCAAGATGTCAAATGGATTTAGAAAACTAAAAGCACATACAAAAATCAAGATCCTAAGCCTGCTTTGGGACTATAGGTTATGACAGGCATACTGCAGCGAGGAGATACAATTTGTAAGGTATAGATATGATAAGCGAGTTGATTTGGAACGATTTAGACAGAAAAGTAAGGACGAAATAATATACAGTTTGCTGAATTAACCACACCCGATGTCATTTACCTTGTGTAGCATGAGATGAAGAGCTGGATCATGGAGCTTCGAGCAAGGGCTACAGTATGAAATTACAGATTGGTATTTTATGAGTCAAGAGTAAAGTGAATATGTTACAGGATGTGGCATAATCATACCTGCAGAGCCACCAAGACAAACGTTGCAAAATGGAATCAGCATATATATTGCCAGACTTGAGCACATCAGTCAAGCAATTCCGAATCAATTGTTTTAGGACACGAAATGCTTGAGCAGATCCAGTGGTCTCATCAAAACTGGTGTTATCGTTTGAACTACTTCCTTTAGAATTCACATCCTGTTCAAATCCCAAAAAGACGCCTCCTTCCATTTCACTCACCAGGTTGCTTTTCAGAAGGGCATTAACAGCCAAGTTATGGATCTGCACGATGCATATTAATTAGAAACAAAGAAAGTCCAAAAATCCTGACGATCAAGGAAAACAAGTTTCTGACCTTTATCTCTACAGACACTTTTCTATACGCTCCAGGGAATACCAAACTCGTCTGTTGCACCTGTATTAAAGAAGCATCCAAGTTATCACCTCGATAGTGTCCCGCAAGAAAAAAACCAAGGAGATGGGCGAAGACTATGAAAAAGTCCAGAAACCAAAAGGCAAAACAGAAAAATCATTTGATGGCATACCTCATCAGCAAAGAATGTCTCTTCATTGTTTATACCTCCAAGGTCTGGAACACCATTATCTGACACCCAAAGAACCTGTTATACGAAAGAAAATTCAATGATATGAAAAGCTGATCCTTCTCTTAAATGCAAATTAGGCACTTCTAAAAGAAAAAGAAAATCACAATCAGTGATATGGAGATAATAGCCTTTTTGCCAAGGTTTCTGGAATATAGTTTTCAAGCGGTAGGCACAGAGCAAAGGCAAACATTGTAGTAACTATTAAAACACTTGGAAGCTAGGTAGAAAGTCGAAGAAAGAACCTGCTGCTGGTCACGGAGTGCCCTGGACAGGAAGATATCTACGGTGAATGTTAACCAATCATGTCCAAAATTCCCCAGAGGTACCTAGTCAGTTTCATAAGAAATGTTAATAAATTCACAAAAGCAATAATAAGAAGAACTATGTTTCCGCTTTACAAACATAACCTACATGGGCGTATCTTGACTGGGCAATCCTCCGATCCAACCACTGAAACGCTGCAGCACAACGGAACATTGCTATTTTTGCTGCTGGACGTTGCCAGGAGACAGGCTATGCATCAAAACCACACCCAAACATACATAATTATCATTATTTGACCGAATTCACGTCTATCATAAGAGAAAAGTAGCCAGATGGTTGATCAGTTAAGCAACCTGATAGCTATTTTCATCACGGTTGAAGGGGATCCTCACACATGGGAAATCATCCAGGGCCTTTATACCTTCCTTTATGGAGTTAAAGTCAGGGCATTCGATGACTGCAACAGTCGGTCCACAATTTTCTTCTCTGGAAAAAAAGACACAATCGGAGTAGTCAAACTAGAGTGGGATGAACTGACATGACCTTCTAAGAAAGTTCAAAATCCATCATTGTTGCACCAGACATTCCAGTTCCTTTTGTTTTATTTTTATCATTAAGTTTTAGAATTTATCCAATTAAGAAGAAAAAAAAACTAGTTCACGCAGGAGAAAATTAGATAGGAAAAAGCAAGCCCAACTGATCATCATTAGAAGAAAACTATGGGATAAACAAGGCAAGGAAACATAAAACAGGCTGCACTACTGTAGTTAGGAAAAGGAGTTACCTGTATTCACTTATCCCTTTTTGTATAATCTTCTTCGCAGCTTCGGGATTGTCAACATAGTCCACCTGATGATTAGCATTTAGAGAAGTTAAAAAAAATACAAAATTGTTTTTACAGGGGTTGTAGGTAATGATTTTAGAGCTTACCTGGAAAAGGATACTATCCGAAGACAATGACTCGAGTGACAACTCTTGGCAACTATCTCTAAACTGTCTCTCTAGGGCAGATGGTAATAATTCCTTGTCACCATAAGGATTAACTACAACGGCAGACATAAGCTTTGATGCTTGACAATATAAAACATACATAGCACGTCCTCTTGAGGTGCTGCAAACAAGGAAACCGTGAGATAAGATATTCCGGAATGGATAAGGAACCAAATAACAGTCCCCAAAAAAATAGACTAATTTGTGAAAGCAACAGAGTTCATATATGATTCTACGAATACACCTACAACATTGTGACAAAGAATAGCCCTAATAAAAATATGCAATCAAGAAACGTCCTTCCAACTTAAATTGCATGAAGTAGAGCTCACTTCCATCAGAAAAGGAGCCGCCATATCACTTAAAAGAATGGAACTCTACCTGTTATACAAGTAAACAAGTGGAATTGAACGCTCCAAGTAGTGACATTCAGTTGTAGTCTTCATATGAAGTTCACCAACTTTCCATCCATCTTGTGTGCTACGGTGCTTTGCCGTGTTATCAATTTTGCATACACATCCAATCTGACATATAGCACTAAACTCCAGAGGCACCTTAGTTTCATATATGCCCTGCCAAAGTCAAATATGAGATTAGCAAGCACAAACATGCTATTCACTTTATGCAAAAAAAACGTCACATGCATGATTACCAACAAGTTGACCTGGTGATTATCTGGCTGTGTGTCTTAGTAAGCACTAGAACATAAGTTAAATTCCCATCGAGCTAATAACTTGTTGGGTACAATTCACATTTCATTCAAATAACCATAACCTAGATGAATATAGCTACCCATCGTTTGCGAATTTCATTTCCACAATTTTCCTTAATCAGGATACTTGATGCAGCTACTTTTACACGGGCAGACAATTTTAAAGCAGACAAAATTCAGACTCTCAGGCACCAGGTACAAGTTGTCTACTCACCAAAACAAAATGCTACCAGAAATTACAGAATTAATCGTTAACCAAACCAAGGAAAAATTCTTAACATTTACGGGATGTGATGGGTATCCGATAAAAGGTTGGGGTTCTGATGGCACTTGATTTTATTAATTTTATCAAATACTCACCTCAATTTCGGGGTCGGAAAGAAGCGCTGCAAGCTTTTTGCTTTCTTCTTTAAATTGAACTTCCTGAATACTAACCTGTAAAGAATGGAACAAAATTATAACTAACTAGAAGGAATAGAAGGGGCAAGATGTGTAGTTGCAAAAGACATGCCTCAATCAAATTATAACTTGGCCTTCCATGAGGAAGAATCTTGCTGACACACTTTCCCGGGAAATTTCCAGCTATGGGAGCTTTGGAATTAATGTAAAACACTCTTGGGATCGTCAATGGGATCTTAAGCATCAATCCTTTCACAACCACCCAAGCAAAAAATTCCCCACTCTGTGGACTTGGGACCAGCTGTATTATCTAAAAAAGTAGGAAACACAACATTACACATTTGCAAAATTTTAGCCAAACATATAATACAATGAGGTCACTGTGCACACCTGCCAATGTGAACTAGTCAAAGCTTCTTCAGGCCTTCTGAAGTATGAACCTACACCTCCTCTTCCCTGACGGACGTTGTCATTTATCTCGTGAGCATCAATCTGGTTTGAAGATTTTAAATCACCCAACCTACAAGGAGAAGGGATACACAGTCAACAAGTTAGAAAACTTTCAAAAGCAGTGGATGTTATATAGAACTACATTTTGTTCCAAATCAAAACCTTCTTAAAATGAACTTCATGACAGTAAACGCATTTACGAAATATTACCTTCGTTTTTTCTTCTTCTCTAGAGTTACTTTCCATTTTCTCTTTTTCAGGTCAAGCCATCCTCGGTAATCTGCGTTCTTGTCAATGTTCTGAAGTAAGACATCATGAGTCTCTTGCTGCTCGCGTTCAGACTGTTTTTTATTGACTTCATAAGAACGCGCAATTGGCTTTGGCCCCTTTTCGGAAGACCTGTTTTGTTTGCCAAAATCCTCAATATCTTCCACATTATCTTGAGTCGCAGGACGTTTTGTGTCATCTTTGTTAGCTGGGCTGAACATATCATCTAGTTTTCTCTGGTGAAATGTGTCATCTTTCTCACGGACCTTTTTATGGAGCCAATCAGGGTGACGCACCCTAGGTACGGGATTTGCCACCTATAAAAGTCACATAATTCGTTAGATATTTATAGAAAGAACATCAAGCGAAACCAAAAAAAAGTGAGAATAGTCACAATGAACCTTCTGCATCGCAGCAGGAATGGTAATAACTTTTTGGATAGCTGAATGAAGGCGCTGTTTGTAATAGGACCAGTCAATAATTAAACGAATTCCAACGTCTGATGATGTCTTGCACCATTTTCGCAGATAAAAATTCATTATTCCTGTAAAGGTTAAAGAATTACATCAATTTAAACGTTGAAGAACGCAACAATACATAATCACATCAACTAACAGAATGTTTACCAGGATCGGTTCCAAATATGGCAACAGGAACAGCACGCTCGCTTACAGGTGTCCCCTAATCATGAAAAGCTGTTAAGTCGTAAGAGTTGAAAAAGACTACGAACAGTGTGAATGAGACACTGCACTAAAATGGTTGAGAAAGATGCTTAAAAATAATATAAAAAATTGAGATGTAAGCAACATTCCTAAGACAGAGATTATAAATATGAGACAACACTATAAGAGCTCCAACAGCAGATATTGTTAGTACAACATCCATCAGGAATTATGGAAGAAGATATGTGAATCAGTCATTTTTTCATGAGACCTAACTATTTGGTTTTCCTGGCCTGGTCAGGTTGGAAATGGATGACCTTTTGAAGTAACCAAGTTCTAATTATTCGTGAGTAGATGTCAAAGTGGGAGGACCAAAGTCCTAAGAAGTTTCAAGTTTGTACCTTTGGTTCACAAGCAACGATGTATTGGCAACGCAATCCTTTATCTTTGACCATTGCATCACCTAGAAAATCAGCCAGGCGTTTTGCTGTGGTCACTGCACATGACTTTTGATCACCATACTCTGCTAACGATTTACTCATTGTGCTTGATTCTGATATATACTCTAGCAGTTCACTATCGGCAATATCTTTTCCTTGATTCTGAATAAAAATGTGAAGGGAACATATGAGAAAAATGAGAATTTGGCAGAACCTAATGCTCAGTAAACAATTTAATCAACTAAAAAAAGAACAAGAAACGAGATATTTGACAAACATCGAGTAGGTCAAGCCACCGATTTGCAACGGCTGCAACAGCAGAATAACACTCTTCAAGAGTTGATCCATGGAGGAATTTGTCAAAAAGCTCAGCCTGTTGAGAAAGGAAAGACAAAAAAAATTTATGATTTATTTCAGTGCCTGACATGTCCATAAAGTGTAAGAGTAAAGAAAAAAAAAAGAGTGTAGAAGTAAAAGAACAAGCTAAGCCAATCTCTAATATTTCGAGATACTAAACATACATATCCAGTAAGACTGCCTATTTCCGAGGATGCTGGGTGTCTACCAAATCATGGACATCTTACTACATTACGCAGTCGATAATTATAATAAGCTTAAGTTTACACAAGAATCCAATAAATAGGATGTAAATGTTCAAACAAAGCAAATGTAACAAAAATCTTTTTCGTACAGCAGAGATTTTATTAATCATTTCACTATGAACAGTAAATGTAGAAAGATTAACTCTTCATACTTGCTAAATGGCCACCTGATCAAGCAAGCTAAAAACCACCGGTATTTTCCTTAACAGAGAATTATTTTGGCAAAGACATCAGAATTACAACCTTAAAATTTATAACTTCTGCTAGAAAGAGATTCTAGTACAATCAAGCGAAATACACTCAATTGCAATGACCTTAAATATAGATGAACCAACAATTAGATGAATCATGACAACAAGAAAAGGAAAGGACACCTGGAAAAGTTTAATGAGTTTCAGCTCCCCTCTACGCTTGATCTCAAATCCCTTGAGTTCTGCTAAGGTTCCGTCATGATTGAAAACAGCATAACGCTTCTTAATTAAGATTCCTTCTTCTTTTGATGCAGGAATAATCATTGCCTGAACGGAGGTGATTACAAAATATATTTTACTGGGCAGCAATCAAAGAGCAGCACACGTAAAAAGTCATAACGTTTAGGCATACCTTGTACGGTCCATCCACTTCAAATTCAATTGAGCATTCACTATGTGACTTATATGTCTTGCGTATAGGATCTACAAGAGTCTGTTCCAAAACAAATGATCAAAGGGAAAATAGAAACTGAACACAAAGCAAAATGCTTTCAAAACCTAAAATAGGTTTCTTAAGTCAACTGTTTTTTTAAGACTGAACACAAAGGCTACTTTGAAGTAAGTCATAGCTCGGCATACCTGATATTGATCGTTTGTATTATTCTTCGCCACGTCAACATTAAGCATTACACACGGATAAGAGATCGTGAATTTTTTCATGTCTCTGAAATAAACAAAAACCATTAGTAGTTTACTTAAGGTTAACGTCTTGAGAACCACAATAAAATGTAGTCCTCCTTACAATAAATATGGAAATAAGAACTCTGTTAAATACACAAAAATTGCTATTTATTATATAAAAAAATATAGACAAGGAAGTTAACACGGAGACATGTTAATCATTGGGATTGCAAATCTTACATCGTTTTAAAAGTGAAGTTCTCAGGAAAAGATCCAGGGAGAACACACCATATACCATCTGTATCCAGCTCAAGTGGTTTCCCAATTCGCTCAATAAGCAAACGGGCATTCTGGATGATTTTGGCTCCAGTATAGGTAACTACACCAGCCATTTCCATGGAGTACCATCTTGCACCCCTGAAATTGGTTTCCAGTAAAGCGTTGAGTCAACCAAAAAAGGAACAGACACTGAGAGTATAGCCAAATTTCAGGCTCTTTGCGAGAAATCAGACTCACTTTCGCATGACATATCCATAGAAGGAATTAAGAATACACTTATGAGCTAGCTGCAAGGAATCGTAAACCACTACCATGTCCTGTTGCAAAACTTTAATGTCAATAACTATCTAAAAGGAGTTTCGGAGATCATCTATGAGCAACTATATAAGATATCGTACCTGTGCTTCCTGGATCTTGATTGAATTGCCACTTGCCTTGGCCTCTGACAACTTTCCCTTCCATACCTTGTTAAGTGTTTTGTATTCATACCTCCTATCTCGAAAGCTTTAGTTACATGCAAGCAACAAATGAAAAGTAATTAGGACTTGGCTAAAATTTTCATCATCATAAATTTTTCCTCTGGCCCCGTGGGGAAGGAGGATAAGAGTGTCGGATCTCGGGATGGAGGTCAAGAATCCACCGACCCAGTAGGGGATCTAGATCCCTTACCATGTTTCACAAATGGTAAAGGCTAATAATACAAACAGAGTTTCTACCGAGAACAGAATTGGGAAAACAAAAGCCACGCACCTTCGAACAGTGTCCACATAAAACGGATTTTCTCTCATGCATATCCCAGCATCACGAACTTCAGTGATTGGCTTGTCAAGTACACGTCTATATGCCTAGCAGAAGCAGAATGACTTGCCATTATACATTGACCGAGTGAGGAAAATATTATTATTCTCGAGAGAAGAGAGAGAGTGAAAGAGAAAGAATACCTTTTGAGAATATTTTTTCAGTCGTTCTTTTAGTCTTGATTGTTGTTCCACCTTTGGCAGATCAAGGAAAGATTTTGAAGACTGGATACTTGCACCAGCGTCAACAAATTCAGACGCAATCTGCTTCTTCAGATGGTAATAATCACTGCCAAAATTATTTGGAATAAAGTTACGAACTTGAGACTAGACCAAAGAGGTTTATATCCATAGTTAGCTGAAATGATAAATAAGTTAAACCTCTTCTTTGCCATGAATGTCACCCCACGCCAGACCCAATCAAGTTTTCGAAGACAGGTCTTTCCCGGGAGGTTGAAATCACATGCTGTGCAAACCTCATTCGTAACTATTGATGGTGGCTGACAATTAAGAGGAAACTATCCCTTAGCATAGTATTTCTGTGGGGCTTCATAACTTTAAAAGTGATGGTTGCGATTATTGTGAATATGGAACACCACTATTTAGCTGATGTTTGATATATATTGATTTGCAATTGCAGATCTCAATATATAATCCCGAAATAAGTTAGAAAAAAGCAAACGAAGATTTGACATACCTGAAGCCTGTTTGTTAAGATGATATTTGGATACATCGCTGCGACATCAAGGTGATAAATAAGAGGCCCCTCTTCTCGTATAGGGTCATCTCGCAACTTCTCGAGCTGCAGGACCAATGAAACAGCCAAACCATTACAGAACTAAGTTAACACAAAGGGAAACAGTTCATAAAACTATCAAATTTTATGTTATGCTTTACAATAAATATCCAAGCATGCAGTGCCTAGTTGGTGAAAACTACTGTAGAGTGTAGATGAAGGATGCTTGATAGACATATTTCTTCTGGAGGCCCAAACAGTAAAGGACTATGTTCTTTCCACAAACACTACTAGGATTACTCTACATGAGAGAAGGCTCACAGATATGAGATTAGCATGTATAAGAGTGTACAACACACTCTCAGAATAAACCTGTATGCAGTGTCAGCCATTGAAAGAGGCAAGCAAAACAACAAGATGACAAGAAACAAGGGAATAAGCAGTAAATCACCATATCTAATTCAGAAGAGGAATCCATTACCTTTTCCTTGATTTCGTCCATCACTTCATCATAGTTGGAAATTGAATCCATTCTCATTTTCCCTTCTACAGTGATAGCATATTCCAAATCCCGACCAAGGTTATCAATCAGTTGCTGGCAATCAAAGCGTCCAATATTAGCTAGGTACAAATAATAAACTATGATATAATAGGAAGAAATTTGTTTGAGGCATCCATTACCGAGTGTATAGAAACATTATATTGAACAAGTATAGAGCAGATAACTTGCCTGGTATGCCGATGTGTCGAGCTTAAAATTGGTTGGAATGTCAGATCTGAAAACACCACTTTCGAGGCACTCTACATGGCCACCTATATATGTCTCGCTTTCAAGAAGTCGATCCTGGTAGAACTTCTCAGGGTCAGCTTGGTTTTTGTTGGGACATACAACATTTGCCTTGTAAGCCTGTACTAAGAATGGAAGACTTCCAATTAATAGAATGTGACACACAGTAAGGATCGCTAAAGACCTGGTAGTAGACAGGAAGTCACCTCAACCATCAGAAGCATTTCACAAAGGGTGCCACTCCCTTTACGTAAAACCTCATCAGGGACCATTGGGATGATAGTTGCGAGAGAAAAAATGAACGGATGGACATATGTCATGTATAGGTAATAAGTTGCAACAGCATCAGAGACAGAGTAGGAGGCCATTGTCTGCGAGATGATTCCCAACATAAAACAGAAATAAGACATAACCACCCAATTCCATGTGACATCTTGCAAGTACTACAGCATAATAGCATATACTATAAAAATCCACAATTTCTTGAAGTTTTCAGTCATAAGTCATAACATCTATGTCAGCTGCTAAATTTTGTGTGCTGATAAGACATTAAGTTGCACATGCGCAGGAGCACATGTCTGCAAAACTCCAAGCGGCAACTATACTTGATTAAGTATCATCAACTGTTACTTTAACCCATCACAGCGCCATAAAACAACTAGCTCCAATTCTAAAAAACTTATATCATTTGGTAATAACATGATTAATCTCTCAGCAATACCTGTGGCTTTTCTTTTGCAAACTGAACCATGTCCTCTGGGTTCACTTCCACCGGATCATAACCCAGTTTTGCCTTTGTAACAGCCTGGTATTAAAATAACTCAAAATCATAATATGAATTCCTTCACAAAAGGAATATATGACAACAAAAGATAGATCATTGCAAGAGAAAAAAGTAGAACGAACCTTCAGACCATGGCTTCCCTGAGGAAGATAGCTATCACGTTTCACCCAAGCAAAACAGTCCAAATGGCAAACGAATTTAGCTCGACATTCACCTTGATTTTGATCACAACGGAATCCCAACTCCTGCAATCACAAGGATAGAAAAAAAAAAAAAAGCACATCAGAAAATTGTAGAATTACATTTGAGACCACATTATGCTCTGCAAAGAGGAAATATAGGAAATGGAGTGTAAGATACAGAGAAATATAGGAAAAAGGAAAAAAGCAAGAAACTAGAGTAATGGAGATTTTTGAAACAGAGCTGAGAATAGAACCAAGGCTCGAGAGATGAGCGGCACCTAACCAACTCTCAGAAGACTTCGGTATTCAAACGCAAAACACATGCCACTCAATATTTGAAAGATGAAAAATTTCTGTTTCATGTTTCATGGAAGGAGACAAACAATATGTAGAGGCATGCATCCTGGCAATGGTCTAGGAAGCGCTAGAGGAGGATTACTAGTCAATTTGCAGAGGCACATTCAAAAGTTCACAATAGAATGTAAGTGACTTTTATTACAACTTTTCAGACAGAGTTTCTAAGTAGATCATATAATTCCTTTCAGACACTTGGACAAATGAAATTTTAACAATTCCACAATGAGGGGAACATGTTGCGTACCTCATTCATTTTTATCCCATGATGGGATGCTCTCCGTTCTATAAATGGCCAGTCGAAAAAGTCACCATTGTATGTAACGTAAATACCAGGTTTCAACTCTTGCATATGGGAAAACCATTTTCGAAGGAGTTCAACCTACAAGATCAAACCAAGAAAGTAGCTCGCCTGTAAGCACACCTATATGTCTGATATAATCCTATAATCAGGAGCTAATTTACCTCGTCCTTGACGTTAAAAACTTTGAAATATCCCTCAAACTCTGGTTTGGGTGTATACTCCAGATCTTCAACGTCATCGCCAACACACTGATATAAAGTGAAAAATACTATGTGTATAATCAAACAAGATTGAATTGGTCCAAATATATAAAGGAAGGATAGAGATGAGACATCAACTAGAAATGATATATGCAATGATAAAGTTTAACAAATCAGATTTGATGTGTTACTTTAGTCTACAAACAGTCTTAATGTCACATCATACAAAATTGGTTAGTCAAACCAGGATTATTTTATATGGATTGTTTATGATTTCTCTAGGATTAAAAGTGCAATGCATAAGTAAAGAAACACTCTAATTCTGAGGTTTTCCTGTACTGAATGCTTGACATAATAATATAGCAGCTTATCTCCGTTAATTATCTGGAAACTAACCCTATTCATCATGCAAGAATCATCATCTATTAGATCATATCCAACACAGAACAATGTATATAGCAGCTACCTCTCTGTTAATAATTAGAAAACCTTGCCCATCGACCATGTAGGATATCATCATAACTTGATCATATTCAGCATCCGGAAACTTTAACGGAAGCTTTGTTGTCTCTATATCGAATGCACAAACACGAACTTCTGCGCGTTGGAGAAGATCTGTCCTCCTCTCTAGTTTGACATCGGTGCTGGATATACTGACATTGTACCACTGCCCACTACGCACATCTGGACACCAAGGAAAAGTCCTGAGTTTTACAATTTTAAGGACTAAACAGAAATTTTAGTTTGACTGAGCAGGTTACCTTGATCAATTGCAAATCGAACGTGATAAGGAACATCGTATTCCCGGAGGTCGACAATATAGTCTAAGCAATCTTGAAGACGTTGTTCTCTGCATTCCAAGATTTTGTTTTAAAAAAAGACCATGGTATCTATAAAACGTGATACGAAAGAATACAGTTTATGAAGTAAAATTTGAAAAGCACCACAACTTTTAAGTAAATTTAAAGAACAAAAGTACATAGTTTTACCGTTTTCCAGCCAATATGGATTCGTATGCTTCAAGTGCATCAAATTTTGCCTGGTTTCGTTCGACGATATGCAACAGATCCCTCTTGACTTCCATCAATTGCTGCACAGTATCAAATGATACTTTAAGGTATTTTTTTTGCAGGCCAGATAGATGGTTTTTCTGCACATGAACATACAAAAATTAAGAAACTCGAATAGGTAGGTCACAGAAAAAAATTTAGAAATCTGCAAGATTTCAGTATATTGATGCAAGATCGCTTTTAGACTTATTAATGTAAGACATCTGCTCCGGTTTTGAAGTTACGAGAAGAGGATTTATAACCGAAGGTTCTTGGCAAATAAGAAAAAATGCATTTTAATATGATCTATAGAAATGAAACGAATCTACTAGCAAATTGCCCAAATCACATAATCAGGAAGTCAGCCTTCAACTAATTAAAACAAGTAAAGCTTTAGTGACTTACGAGATCAAGATCCTCTTTCTCAACAATCTCAATATCAGCAACTTGTCTTTCATATCGGCGTCTCAAGTAGGCTTCCACTTCCAATTCCATATTTTCCTGTAATTTGGCATTGCAGATTTTTATTTACATACATGAGTGGAATTCAAGGAGCATTCAGATGATGTAAGAGAGAAAGAACCATACTTTCGTGGCTGCGTAGAAGTAAGGGCGGAACTTGTACTTAGTCTTGAAAGAAGACCCGTCCTGCAAAAATAATCCTCACAAGTCAGTTAACATTTAGAAGAAATGTTCACCAGCTTAGACATATAAATGAACACATACAAAAGCTCACCTGAGTAGCAAAGTAAAGGTCGACACAGCTATAGGTTTTCCCAGTATCTGGATCTTCCCAAGATGACTGCAAAACATAGTAATCAGTGAAAATAAATCCAAGGCCAGAGTTTGTATTCAGGAGAAGCCAAATTAATTAGGAAAATTCACTAATCAAACCCATTTTCTAGCAAATGAGGTGAACCTTATAGCAATTCACAAATGATAACGAGACTGTGGCATCCCTAGAATCCTAAATTCTCGCGATTATCGGAGACTTACTGATGCGAAAGTGAGTAGCCATCCGAGGCGCGTTTCACCTTCGGAGAAGAGCCCAAATCCGAGTTTGGCTTCGAGCTTATCTTCGGCAGTGTTCACTACTTTCTGCATATTCGATCTCCGCGAGTCCTTCCGGTCCCATCTTCCGCTCATTTTTGCTTAAGGAGACAAGAGCAGAGCGAGTGTCAAGTGATCGAAACTCGATGGAAGAAGAAGAAGAAGAAAGCTCAGGTCGTCTTCATCGATACGCTGGGACAACTTTCTCTCTCTCTGTCTCTCAGATTCGAAGACTCACTGGAAGGTGGTGACAGAGGTTTTAGACACGACGAGAGTGAACGACGGCGACTGGCGACGGTGAGAGACGGAGGGAGACAAAGAATGATTTTGATATTTCCGTGTGGTTTTACAATTTTTAATAACGCATTGTGAACCGGGTTTGCAAGAAGAGTATTGATTTAACATCAAGTCCCTAGAAATATTATTAATTTGCAATAAAGGCCATCTATTTTGTTTCTGATAAAGTCAGCCACATCACCATCAAAGAGCAGTACACGAGAGCATAAAAGTAAGCCGCGAAACCGATTGAAATCGGAAACGGAAGAAACACCGATCGGATTAACGAAGCAGAAAGATAAATCCCAGAATCAGTACAATCGAGGTAACGAGCTACTGCGTCATACAATTATTCAATCTATCTCTATTCTCATCTCTTCTTCATTGTCTTCCTCTTTCTTCCTTGTCAACTCATACACTAGACACGCCGTTGACCACTAAAGACGAGAGCTACAGAGACACAATGGAGCTGAATCTCCCTGAGAGTCGGAGCAGATCAATTCGTTGCATTGTGAAACTTGGTTTGTGCTTTGATCCCAATTCCTCTCTCTCTCTCTCTCTTCACATCCATGCTCGATCGGCATTTTAGTTTGTTTTTTCTTATGAATTTCCAAATGGGTTTGATGCTGATTTGATTTTATCAATCCGGAAAACGAGCAACTACTCCAAAAGATAACTTTTTTTGCCTGTCTAAAATTATTATATGTGATAGGAGGTGCGGCGATTACACGGAAGAACGAGCTGGAGAAGATTGACGATGAGAATCTAGAGATCGTGGCGTGCCAGTTACGCCAGGCTATGACGGAAGGTGCAGTTCCGAGCAAGGTTATTGGAATGGATTGGAGCAAGAGACCTGGAAGCTCTGAGCTTTCTTGTGATATTGATGATTTGGAGGATCAGGACTCTACTGAGTTTAGCAAATTTGTTGTGGTTCACGGCGCAGGTTACTTGTCTCCTTGATTGATTCTGCTCAAAGCACATATTCGATTACTTCTTAAAGATCATTGAGACTTAACACTGTGACCTGCTTCTGCGTGATTAGGTTCCTTTGGACACTTTCAGGCCAGCAGATCCGGTGTTCACAAAGGAGGACTTGAGAAACCTATTGTCAAAGCTGGTTTCGTGGCTACTCGCATATCGGTCTAATACTCTTACTTGAGCTTCTGTCAAAGCTGGTTCTCTTACTTAAGCTTAGTCTTGTGAGTTGTTCTGATTCTTCATCTTTCTACTCCTTTGCGTTGCAGGTCACAAATCTTAATCTTGAAATTGTAAGAGCACTTGCCCGAGGTACCTCTCTCATGGTTATGCTCGTTTTCTCCTCTGAAACTATGTCTTGCTGAGAGTAAAAGAAGCCAAATTTAATGCTTTTTTGCAGAGGGCATTCCCACAATAGGCATGTCTCCATTTTCATGTGGTTGGTCAACCTCCAAAAGAGACGTAAGAGCCAACTGAAAACTTTTTTTTCTTTTTCCCTTTACAGAATTTCCTGATCTTGAGCCATCTTTGGTTCAACTCTAATGAGACTGCTATTTATTTGGATTAGGTGGCTTCTGCGGATCTATCAACCGTGGCTAAAACAATAGACTCGGGATTTGTCCCTGTAAGTTTTGAAGTCCCACCACTGCCATTACGTCTATCTTTCTTTCCCAAAGTCTCTTTGACCGTAATGCTTGTCCTGGCCAGGTTCTCCATGGAGATGCAGTGCTAGACAATATACTGGTAATAGGCTCTCCCCTGACTATACCAAACATGTGACTAGATCATGCTGATAACTAACTCTTGTCCTCAACAGGGCTGCACAATACTGAGTGGTGATGTTATCATCCGTCATCTTGCAGATCATTTGAAGCCGGAATATGTTGTCTTCCTCGTATCCTTTTGATGCCAGAAGAAATTAATACATTGTCTCTCCCTCTTCCTGTTCTTTGTTATCTAATTAACTCTCTACAAAGACAGATGTACTAGGTGTCTACGATCGACCACCTTCAGAGCCTGATGCTGTGCTTTTGAAAGAGATCGGTTAGTTTCAAACTTTACTGTTTTCTTTTTAAAAAATGCTTTTTCAAGTCTTGGCCTAATCGGTAACCATTCATGCAGCTGTTGGAGAAGATGGAAGCTGGAAGGTTGTGAATCCAGTGTTGGAGCACACAGACAAGAAAGGTAACAAAAATAAACTATGCAGTTAGTATAATTCTAATGGTGTGTTCAGTTTAAAAGCTCTCTGATTCTGGAATCAAACAGTTCAAACCTCTGTTGCGGCCCACGATACAACTGGAGGAATGGAAACGAAGATAGCAGAAGCTGCTATGATTGCAAAACTTGGAGTCGATGTTTACATTGTCAAGGCTGCGACGACTCATTCACAGAGAGCTCTCAACGGCGAATTGAGAGATAGTGTTCCTGAAGATTGGTTTGGTACTATCATCAGATTCTCAAAGTAGAAGGATACCCGAGACGAACACTAATTCCAACTTTTCAAGAAAGAAAACATTGACCATTTCTTGCTAATGTTGTTTGTGTTCATAACCAGACTTTGTGCATGGACCAGTGTCGTGTAATGTTATAAATTTTCAGTTTAATGGTTCCAACCATGTTTGTGGCATCTTCATTATGCTTATTAATAATTCCACATTTAACAATGGATTATGTTATACAACTTTACATGTTCTGAATTCAGAGTATGAATCGAGATAGAAATTAGAGAAAAAAACAGAGCTGTGAAAGAGAGAACCAACTTCGCTCTAGGCTCCTGGTAAAGAACATCAACTTCGATGTATTACGAAGGAATGAGAATGACAAATAAAATCTAATTCAGTCAAAAGCCGTTTTTAAGTTTCATTTCAGAGATATCGTGTGTAATGGTAAACAACTTTGGTGAATAACAAAATGAACCATAAAATAGGTTTTAGAATGACATCTCATAGGAAAACTTTCCCTATTCCAACACAAACTTTTCAACAATCCAAAACCAATAGATATGGTCGTCTTTCAACAAGAAACACACACAAATGGTCTAAATTAGATAAAGAAAGGGCAAAAAAAATAAAAACATGTTTTGTTCTTATAACATTGACTTCTGGGGGTAATAAATATTATCCTCTGTGTAAAGAGAATGATATTTCGTTTACTTGCCACCACCAACTTCCTTGACGGCACAGATCTGCTCCTCTCCCATTGAAGACATGACAGAGACCACAACATCCTTTCCCTCCTCGAATCCACTCTTCATCTGCATTTACACACAAAAAGTCTTTCAATAACACAAAATTTTAAAGATGAATCAAGTCAATGAGTATGTAAGTGTATGAAAAGACAAGAAATTCACCAGAGCAGCGAGACTGTCATCGGTGGGAAGCTTGAGATCATCCTTGGTGCCACCACTGTCGGTCAAAAGGCTAACCTGTATTGTGAAAATAAAAAAAAAAATACTAAATTCAAACATGTCCAGGAAGATGAAATACAAATATGCAGTAATGAGGAAAGTGAGTATGAAGACGTACAAAGCCATCCTCAGAGATATCAATCAACTGGTAATCAACACGGTTCACATGGGGCACCTGGCAAAAGAAACAAACAAATCATGGATCAGATCATAAACCTTATGGAACTATCTCTAATGAAATCTATACCAAAGTTAGTTAGCGACTTACATCACAATTGTGGGAAGAGGGAACAATATCCTCGAGCTTCTTAGCAGTGAAGATATCAATGGCAACAAAGTGACACTTTGCGTGACCGTGCTTGCCAGTCTTCGAAGTCGAAACCTCAACAACCTACAATCCAAAAAAGACCAACGAGATCAAAATCAAATCAAATAAAAAAATCTCCAATAGGTATTAGATCATATCAAACAAATGATTCATTTGAAGTTCCCTGATTACAAACAATCTATGTTTAAATCAATCTATGTTTAGATCCATTTCCCAATAAAAGAGCACTATACGAGCATAGAAGAAAGCCACGGAACCGATTGAAATCAGAAACGGAAGAGATAAGATTCATCACACTTTTTCTAAACACCGATCTGATTAACGAAGCAGAGAGATAAATCCCAGAATCAATACAATCGAGGTAACGAGCTACTGCGTCATACAATATTTCAATCTAAAACAGAGAATCAAATCCGAGACCAAAGAGCTATACACAAAACAAAGATCTAGAATCAGGATATCTAGATCGAGAGCGAGGTTCTAAATGATGCAAACATAAACAAACAATAGAAAGGGAGAGAGATGAGGAAATCGGAATCAGACCTTGCAGGGACGGCCCTTGATAACGATGTGACCACCTTTACGGATGTTACCGGCCTGCTGAGGGTAGGTCTTGGAAGCTCCGGCGTCACTGGACTCGAAGTGGTGCTCTTCGTCCGACATGTTTCAACGGATTGGGAAGCGAGCGAGCGAGCGAGAGATGAGATTGATTCGAAGAAAGAGCGATGGGATTGAAGACCTAAGAGAGAGAAGCGAGCGAGTGATGTGAATTTTTATAGGGAGGAGACGAGGGGAAGGAGAGGCCCTTTCTAGGGTTGCTGGATCATTTATCCTCTTTCTCAACCGTCCGATTAGAATCTCTGGACCATCCAGATTTAACCATTTTATCTTCTCTGTTGCATCATCGCGTGCAAACCACGCGGCCCCACACTAGCTTGCGGCGTCTTATTGCTCATACAAATTCCTTTTTTTCTTTTTTCTTTTAATAATAAAATGGAACTTTTCTAGAATCAAAAGGCCAAATTTAACACAAGAAGGTTGGACTTTTCAATTTTTTTCATTATACTATATACAAACATCATTTTCCTTTCGTTGTGACAAATCTACTTGCTAAGCTTAACGTGTGTGCGTGAGTAATTTAGTGTTGGAATCAAATTTTTAAGCCAAATGGGCTGAATAAAATTGTGGACAAGTGTGAAAAGAAATGGGCTTAGGCTCATGTAAAATTAATGAGAAAGTTAAGTGAGTTAAATGAAGGAGCACTTCATTTGTCCCAAATTGGAAAAAAGGAATAATGTCAAGAATAAATCTTCCAGAAACTTCTAGAAAGATTGAGTTCAGTTTCTGTTTGATAAACAAGAAATTAATAATGGAATTCTTCCTTATCCCTTAATGGAATTATTCATTATCCTTTAATGGAATTATTCCTTATCTCTTTTGGTAAACATCAAAAAAGGATATTTCCTCCTTGGAGAGCAAGTCTCCTATCACCTATAAATAAAGGGCCTCACCCCTCTCATTATTGATTCACCAATTCATTCAAAACATAAATCCAACACTCAGCAAATCTCTCACATCTCTTCCTTTCTTCTCTAAAAGTAAGTCTCGAGAGTATAGCGTAGTTATTTAGTTCGCATATTCTGTAGTTGGGTGTTGCAACTATAGTCTCACACAGTTGTATCCTGGGATTCAAAAGTCTCATCAAACCGCCACACTGCGGGAGATTTATTGAGTTAAGGAAAGAGATAAAATCTCGCCTCTGTGTATTCGTCTGTTTTCAATCGGATTTCTTACTATATATTATTATTATATAAGAATTTCATTCGTATTTTTCAATCTGGATTTTCGCGGTCCTACAGTCTTAACTCAATAAATCCGATCCTTCCTTATCGCCTGAATCGGATTGGAATATAGCGAAACAGTTTTTTCTTATATGATATTATAAAACGGTTTTCTTATAGATCTGAAACAGTTCTGCGAAAGCTTCTAGCTATTCAGCAGAAAGTTTCGATCTCAAAAAAGACGAATATCATTACTTGATAAAACGATTTACGCGACAGCTTCCAGCAGGATCGCGAAACGTTTTTTCAACTCTATTATATCTGATCTCTGATCTAATATAACGTTTAAGAGCAAGTCTCTGTGAACTTAGCGAATTATTTTCGCACCCCCACAATACTGACAAAATCTGTCTTTGTGATACAGATCCATAATGTCTGGTACTGCTAATGGAACCAACGGGACTGCTGGGGATCAGCCTGCGGCTAATGTCACGGGTCAACTGGCTGCACTCGCTGCACCAACTTTGCCTAGTAACATAAGCGCAGCACTTACGCCTGACAAATTCGATGGCACGAATTTCAAGCAGTGGCAACAGAAGATGCACTTCTTCCTTACCACGCTGAACCTGGCAAAATATCTTGTTGAGACAAAGCCTGAGGTGCCTGCTACTCAAGAGGCAAACCCAGATCCACGAGTACACATGACTCTGGAGAACTGGAACAAGGAGATTTCCTGTGCAAAGGTTACATTCAAAGTCGCCTGGTGGATCAACTGTTCAATGTGTACAGTGAGGTCAAAACATCCAAGGAGCTGTGGGAAGCCTTGGATAAGAAGTACAAGACGTTCAATGTGGGCTCAGGAAAATTTGCTGCTGCAAAATTTCTCAACTTCGTAATGGTGGACTCAAAACCCATCATGGACCAAGTGCATGACCTGCAGATGATACTCCAAGAGATATCAGATGAAGGGATGAAGATCTGTGAGACTTTCACAGTGAATTGCTTCATTGAGAAGTTACCCCCTGGATGGGCAGACTTCAAGAACTATCTTGCCTTCAAGCAAAAGGCATTGACTTTGGCCAACTTGGTTTCCAGGCTGCAGAATGAGTCACTGAAGCGTGAAAAAGCTGAAACCAGTTCAGACTCATGATGCAAATGTGGCTGAATTTCGCAACAAACCTAAAGGCAGGTTTAACCCCAACAAGGGTCACTCAACAAGGTTGCTAATCAGGCTCCACGGGCTTTAAGAAACAGGCCCAAGCCCACCAATTCCCAAAGAAGAAATCTGGATTCTCAGGGAAGTGCAATCACTGTGGCAAGGTTGGACATCGCGGAGCCGATTGTCGCAGCAAGGCCAAGGAGAAAAACCAAGCCAACTTGACAGAGGATCTGACATGGTGGCTGTTGTTACAGAAGCCAACATGGTTGAAGAGAATCCGGCACTATGGTGGTATGACACTGGTGCTACCACACACATCTGCATTGACAGACAGATGTTCAGCACATACCAGAAAAGCAAGGGAGATGATCGTCTGCTGATGGGAAATGTGTCCCACTCCAAGATTGAAGGCACTGGAAAGGTGGTCCTGAAGATGACATCTGGAAGAGAGCTCACACTCAACAATGTGAAGCATGTTCCAGACATGAGGAAGAATCTGATTTCTGGCACTCTGATGAGCAAGCATGGATTCGCCATCAACTTTGAGTCTGACCAGCTGATTCTCAGGAAACATGGTGTTTTTATAGGAAAAGGTTTTGTTAAGGATGGACTGATTAAGATGTGTGTATCTCCAGTCCAAAGAAACATGTTGTACCTGTTTCCAATGATTTGATTAATAAGAAACCAGTTACTTATTTGGTTGAGTCTTCTAATATTTGGCATGAAAGATTAGGACATGTAAATTATAAGTCCATTGAAAGACTTATGAATTTGAACCTAATTCCGAAAAGCAAAATAAGCAAAGACAAATGTGAGATATGTGTAATTGTTGTACCTGTTTCCAATGATTTGATTAATAAGAAACCAGTTGCTTATTTGGTTGAGTCTTCTAATATTTGGCATGAAAGATTAGGCCATGTAAATTATAAGTCCATTGAAAGACTGATGAATTTGGACCTAATTCCGAAATGCAAAATAAACAAAGACAAATGTGAGATATGTGTACAAGCAAAACTCACCAAAACACCATCTCCTCATGTCGAAAGAACAACTGAACCTCTGGGCCTAATACACACAGATTTGTGCGACTTGAAGTATGTACAAACCAGAGGGGGTAAAAAGTATTTTGTGACATTCATAGATGATTGTACAAGATACTGCTACGTCTACTTGCTGCGTAGTAAAGTGAAGTTTTGGAAAAATTCAAGGAATACAAAACTGAAGTTGAAAACCAACTGGGAAAAACCATCAAAATGGTTAGAGTGATAGAGGAGGCGAGTATGATGGACCCTTCAATGCTTTCTGTCAGGAGAAAGGCATCATACATCAGACCACTGCTCCCTATTCACCAGAATCTAACGGAGTTTCAGAAAGAAAGAATCGAACTCTGAAAGAGATGATGAATGCAATGTTGCAGGAATCTGGGCTACCGCAGAATCTGTGGGGGGAAGCTCTGCTAGCCACAAACTATATCCTCAACAAAATACCACACAAAGTAACTGGCAAAACGCCATATGAGCTTTGGAAAGGTTCAGCACCTTCTTACAAATACTTGAAAGTGTGGGGGTGCTTAGCAAAAGTTCAAGTACCACCTCCTAAGAAGGTTTCGATTGGGCCTAAAACAGTGGACTGTATTTTCATTGGATATGCGCACAACAGTAGTGCTTATCGGTTTCTGGTGCACAAGTCAGATATACCAGATATCCATGCAAATACAATTATTGAATCAAGGAATGTGTCATTCTTTGAGAATATCTTTCCATGTAAAGATAGACAGAAGCTGAAGCGAACTCATGACGCAATTGTGCCTGCAAATGAGACTAGTACATCTGGTACTTCAGTAACTGAAGCAGAAGAAAATGAGGTTGAACCTAGGCGTAGCAAGAGAGCTCGTAAGGAAAAATCATTTGGTGATGAATACTTAGTGGTATTTCTCTGTGAGAATGAGCCAAGGACATATTCTGAAGCCATGTCTACACCAGAAGCAGACTTATGGAAAGAAGCTGTAAACAGTGAAATGGATTCTATTCTGCAGAACCATACTTACATAATCACTGATTTACCTCCAGGTTTAAGGCACTAGGGTGTAGATGGATATTTAAAACGAAGCTCAAAACTGATGGAGCTATTGATAAATACAAGGCAAGACTTGTGGTGCAAGGATTCAGACAAGTTGAAGGTCTAGACTTCTTTGACACTTATTCTCCAGTGACGAGAATAACTTCAATCAGAATATTGATAGCTATTGCATCTTTGAGAGACCTGGAAATCCATCAGATGGATGTTAAAACAGCTTTCCTTAATGGTGATTTAGAAGAGGAAATCTACATGAAACAACCTGAAGGTTTTGTGACACCAGGTCAAGAACACAAAGTTTGTAAACTTGTGAAATCGCTGTATGGACTGAAACAAGCTCCAAAGCAATGGCATGAAAAATTTGACCACGTGATGATGTCAAATGGATTCAGCATCAATGAATGTGACAAATGCATTTACGTCAAGAACACTCCCAGTGGGTACGTTTTGCTGTGCTTATATGTTGACGACATGCTCATCATGGGCAGTAACAAGGATATAATCCAACAAACCAAGAACATGCTTAAGAGTCAGTTTGACATGAAAGACATGGGTCTTGCGGACGTTATTCTTGGTATTAAGATCACAAGGACTTCTGAGGGAATCACCTTATCTCAGGAGCATTATGCTGAAAAGATACTTGAGCGGTTCAAGAAGTATTCGAATGGAACTGCGAAAACTCCAGTGGATACGCAATTGCACTTGACTAAAAACTCTGGTGAAGGAGTGTCACAAGTTGAGTATGCAAGGATAATTGGAAGTCTGATGTACTTAACCAATTGTACCAGGCCTGACTTAGCGCATGCAGTGAATGTATTAAGCCGCTACACAAGCAATCCTGGTCATACACACTGGAAAGCCATAACAAGAGTGTTAAATTATGTGAGACACACTAAAAGTTATGGATTGCACTATGGTAAAGAACCTGCAGTCTTGGAAGGATACAGTGATGCTAACTGGATATCGGACTCAAAGAACTCAAAATCCACAAGTGGATATGTCTTTACACTAGGAGGTGCAGCAATATCTTGGAAATCTTCCAAACAAACTCTACTGGCAAGATCAACAATGGAATCTGAGTTCATCGCTTTAGACAAAGCAGCAGAGGAAGCAGAGTGGCTTCGGAATTTCTTGGAAGATATTCCTATGTGGGAGAAACCAGTACCGGCACTGCGTGTACACTGTGATAGCCAGTCGGCTATAGCCCGGGCACTGAACACTCTCTATAATGGTAAATCTCGTCATATCAGGAGACGACATAAAACCATTAGACACTTGATCACAACCGGTGTAATCTCGGTCGATTACATTAAGTCAGCTGATAATCTAGCGGATCCGTTTACAAAAGGTTTGACAAGAGATCAAGTTTTGAAATCATCTAAGGGAATGGGTCTTTTGCCTATGACAAAAGAGGATGTTTGATGGACACCCAACCTTCGCGATTGGAGATCCCAAAAGGCTGGTTCAAAGGGACAACTAAATCAAACAGAATCTGTTTACAGCACTGCAAGACAATATGTCTGAGCCCAGCTCCCAAAATGATGCACAGTGCTTCCTGTAAGTTTAAAGGATAAGCGTTGCTTTTAATGATATGAGTAGCTTTCATATATACAAGGAGTACTAACAGGATACTTTTCTTATATGACAGGAGCTCAATGAAATCACCTAGTGAGTGTGAAATGCGGCCGTTTCTAGGAGGATGAAGTCAGGCTATATTCTCTAAGTTCACTCATGATCAACCAGGAAAAGTTCAAGGCCACAATGAACGCAATAGAGAACTAAGTTCTACGAGGAAATGAAGCTGGGTTATAGCTGTTGTCTCGGTTTACATAAACATCCGGGTGGTTCAAGACATCGTGTTCACCTCCTGGCTAAGTAAACCCGACAGTTATTAACAGTGATTAGTTCAAGGCTGAAACATGCTACTACATCATATACAGTTAATTTTCGCTTATACTCTCGTAAAGTCCTTCTGTCAGTCTCTAGAGTCTGCATTATAGTCTTTCGAGTTAGTAGAGTCTGCATATGTTTTAGAGTCATTTCTATTCATGTGGGGGATTGTTGGAACCAAATTTTTAAGCCAAATGGGCTGAATAAAATTGTGGACAAGTGTGAAAAGAAATGGGCTTAGGCTCATGTAAAATTAATGAGAAAGTTAAGTGAGTTAAATGAAGGAGCACTTCATTTGTCCCAAATTGGAAAAAGGAATAATGTCAAGAATAAATCTTCCAGAAACTTCTAGAAAGATTGAGTTCAGTTTCTGTTTGATAAACAAGAAATTAATAATGGAATTCTTCCTTATCCCTTAATGGAATTATTCATTATCCTTTAATGGAATTATTCCTTATCTCTTTTGGTAAACATCAAAAAAGGATATTTCCTCCTTGGAGAGCAAGTCTCCTATCACCTATAAATAAAGGGCCTCACCCCTCTCATTATTTATTCACCAATTCATTCAATCATTGATTCAAAATCAAACACTCCAGCAAATCTCTCACATCTCTTCCTTTCTTCTCTAAAAGTAAGTCTCGAGAGTATAGCGTAGTTATTTAGTTCGCATATTCTGTAGTTGGGTGTTGCAACTATAGTCTCACACAGTTGTATCCTGGGATTCAAAAGTCTCATCAAAACCGCCACACTGCGGGAGATTTATTGAGTTAAGGAAAGAGATAAAATCTCGCCTCTGTGTATTCGTCTGTTTTCAATCGGATTTCTTACTATATATTATTATTATATAAGAATTTCATTCGTATTTTTCAATCTAGATTTTCGCGGTCTTACATTTAGTAACCACACATTTGGAGTTATTCTTCTGCTCATTTGTCATTAAACCTCTGTATGAAGTAGTATGGACACTTGAGGAGAATCTATATAACCTGCGAGATATACAATACAAGTGTTTGTTAGAAATGCTTTTTAGTGATGAAATGAAAAATACAGAACAGAGCAAATATAAAAACTGACTTCTCTTTAGCTTCTTGATAAGTGTAGCTTGATGGAATACACAAGAGATCTCTAGCTTTGGTTAAATGTCAACGATTTGGGTATTTTGGAAGCTGGATGAAGCAAGAAAGACGAGAGATTCATATAGTTATCAAGAAGTAGTCGAAGCAAAAGGGTAAGAGACAAGAAAAGCTTCTTTAGTTGCCTCAGAGAGACGTGTTTCTACTTAGAGCATCTCATACGATAAACGTACCCCATCATTGTCCCCACTAACAAAAAGCTCCATTGGCACTGTTTGTGGCAAGAACACCAAGTCATGAATCCGAATTCCTAAAATAGATGATGAATAGAGCTGATCACATGGCCTTGTTTACAGATGAATGATAAAGTCCTCCGTATCTAGACTTTAGACGACAACTGAATCTGAACGTGTATCTATCTGCCAAGGATGAGTGAAAAATGGAGAAGTTACAAAATGATCATTTTCAATATTTCAATATTTTTTTCCCCACAGCTCACTCCAAATCATGATGACTACTACCTAATGTCACTTGAGCGTGATGTATTGTGGGAAATCTAAGGAAGCCTAATGTCTTCCTGTCCAAAACTTATGAGGTGTTTTTCATCTCAAGACACATTTCACCGAAGCAGCCGTACTTCGAATTCAAAACAGTCACTTCGAGCTTTTGTGATTACCATTGGAAAATGGGCTAATGAACTTGATCTCTTACGGCCCATTTTCTTTCTGAATGTTACTCCTCATTTAAATTTTGGCAATTAATTTTTTCTTTAAAATTGAAGGGATTTTCTTTTTACATTAAAGCTCATAATCTTGTAAGCGAAAGCAGAGGAAGCTCTTAATCTAAATCTACATGAATAAGCAAAGGCATGCGAAGTTAAATCAATGCTTAACTTCTAACTAAACTTTTGCAATGCTAATGCCTTTTGCTCTACGAACCAAGCTTGGATGATCTTCTATCCCACATTTGGCCATTTATAATCTAACAAGATATTGGACCAAGTTCAAGAAGAGAAACCCACAACCGATCCGAGTACATAAATGGCCAAAAGCGGAGTATATAATAACAATGAGTGCGTTACGAGGACTGTTACGGACAAGGCTGATAATATCAAGCCCTCGAATCAATCTTAGAGTAATACTGGTGAATAAACAATTATTTTTACGTTCCTACATTATCTCCGTGAAATTGATGTCCGCATTTAAAGACACAGAGAGAATCTAAGGTAAAAATAGTATGGTAGATTTCAAATTTAGCTGTTTCATACGGACTTTAATCATTTATGACCCTAGAAGAAGACGATACATCATTTGTAATTCAAAAGTCTTTCAATACAAAGAAGACTTCGCAGTCCACAGTATTTGAATTTGGTTAAGAGGAAAAAACTACAACATTTACTGATTTTTTTCATTGAAATGTTGATTTTTCGGGTCATCATTAACCATTAAGATTTAGAGACATAAAAAGTTTATATACATTATTTTACCCCCAAAAAAAATACTTTTATTTCAAAAACTCCATAATTTTTTTTTTAACTGTAAATAAACACACTTAATGACATATCTAGTCTGCAATTTACAATCATAAGGCAACCAAATTAAAACAGGCGTAGGAAACCAGAAAAATGTAAAAATGATTAGCTCATGAGAAAGGGAAAAAAAAAAGCAGGGAAGAGACCGAGTGTTGACAAAATATCATGTCACTGTTATTAGAAGCGTCCTTCATTTCTGTTTTTATTTTATTTTATTTTGACAAAACACCAAATCCGAGAAATCAATTAAAAAAAGAATATAAAAGCTCTAATTCTCTTATTTGCTGCATTCGCCAAAGAATCTGTGAGAGAGAGAGAGAGAGAGAGAGAGTTGGCCCAACGGATCGAAGAAGACGGCCTGAGCTTTATTCTTCTTCTTCTTCCATCGAGTTTCGATCATTTGACGCTCGACTCTTCTCTTGTTTAAACCGTTGTCACTTTTCGATTTTCTATTTCCTGATTAAAACTCGGTATTCATTTTTTTTAGTGAATCTCGGGAGCACTTTTATTCCTTTTTTTTTTTAATTTATTGTTTCATTTCTCGATAACCTGTCGCCGATTTTGGAGTGAGAGTGTTTCCTAATATCCAGGATTAAAGATTTTCTCTGTTCAAAGTGCGATCAGATGATGTGGGTCTGAGGTAAAATCTCTATCACCGATTTTTATATTCACATTTTTTCTAATTCTTCTGGTTGGTTTGCCATTTCTGTCTCATAATTTTTTTATTATAATTGTTTGATGAATTAGGTTAGTCATTTAAAGTCAATCGATTTCCAGAATCGATTACAGTGTTCATTTGTATAGTGAATCTATCTGATTCTTCGTCACTTTAATTTTTATGTCATTTCGCGTAATTGTTTGTTTGGTATGGGGATTAGTTTGCGTGTAATCTGGGTTTTCAGTGAGGATTCAGATTATTTAAAAGATGAATTTAGCTCTATTGTGCAGAATCTAGCTTTAGATTCGATGATCTCTAAAACCCAAATCATCTCATAAATTTTTTATTTTTTATTTTCCTGGGATATGCTGTTTCACGTGCATCGATATCTTGTTTGCGAATTTCTGTGATTGTAGTTGTATAATACTTTTCAATTAAAGCTGCACGAGTTGTGTTTATAGAGGAATGGGAGCAACAGTGCACTGTGAAAGCTTTTTGCCCAGACATTCCTCAATGAGAGATCTCAGTGAAGATGATTTTAATAGTTGCAGTTTGTCGTCTGTGTATTGTGGTGGTGATGCAAACTTGCGGTATGGGGATTATCAGAACGAGAGAGATTTCATGAAACAGAAAATGCTTGAACAAGAGAATGTATTTAAGAATCAGGTATGTTAGTGTTACTACGTTCTTGAGTTTTATCTCCTCAAAAGGTTTCGTTTTGATTTCTTCCTGTTTGTTTTGTGTATTGATCATTCGCAGGTGCATGAGCTTCACCGTTTGTACAGAACGCAGAGGAATTTGGTAGATGAAGTGAAAGGAAAGGACTTTAACGAAGATATGAACCTGAGTGATTATACATCTGGAAATGCAAGTAAAAGTCAGCTTCCTGGGTTTCTCTTAGCAAACTCAACATATGGAGGAGGAAGCAGCTCTCAAGCTTGCAACGGTCGTTTGCGAAATGGGGTTAGCTTAAAAGATGGGGACGTGTTCGAGGTTAAACCTGTCAAGGGGAGGAGAAGAATGATTGATCTTCAACTCCCAGCTGATGCGTATCTTGATACGGATGACACTGGTGATGCCGATGAGATTACAATCTTCCCTCCATACAAACGGTCAACCTCTCTTCGGAGCAATTCTTCAGGATCTTGCTTGGATGTGAAGAACTCAAATGGCTTAGCTGACTTGAATGAGCCACTCAAATGGCAAGACTCGGAACCTGTTTCGCTGTCCAGGGATATGTATTCTCACTATGGAAGAAACAATGCAGATGTTAAAGGTCAGTGGTTGGGAAAAAATACAAGTCAAAATGGATGGATGGTCCTTGGAGCAGGTGAGATTTTCTTAATAAGTAGCTCGTTACATTTGATATCTACATGTTTTATAAGTGAATATATGTCACATTAGTCTCTTATGTGATGGTTTGAATTGTGCGCTGATCCAATATGTAGCCATTTTTTATCTATCTTCTAGCTCTAAAATGTTTTCATGTGGCTGTGTCTTTGCAGGGCACGAGGGAAACACTCAGAGAGGCCCACTGCAACTGCCTTCCCATTCTGTACAAACATTTTCTAACAATGCATTTCAACCTCAGAGCTACCATACAAGTGATCATAGCAAGGTGAAATTCTCCGGGGAAAGATCATATCATGAGCCGGAAGTTCGTTCAAAGAATCCCCAAGCTTCTTATGGTAGCTACGTGGAATCAAGTGTGACATCTAATGCTCCAAGATCACACAATGACCACCGCCCTGACTTTGTCAGACCATGGAGCAATTGGTCTTCATCATGGGAGAACCCTAGGAGCAGCTCACATCAGACATCTTACCCAGTTCAGACGAATCCCTACATGAATTTCGTCTCACATGCAAGAACAGATTCAAGTTTTGAGATGAGAAGCCGTGTCTCTAACGGGCTTTATCAAGGATTCTCTTCAGGTTCAAAGGAGCCCGTCTTTAATTCCCCATCAGCCGGCTTTAAACCAAACGCTTCTTTAGGTGAGGTAGTGAAGCACCAGAGTTTTGAAAGCCTAAAAAAGCAGGAATGCTCGGCTGGTTTGCCCTGGCTAAAACCTAAGCCCCCTTGCAGGAGTGAAATATCCAATGGCTTATTCGATTTGAATGCTTCTGCAAATCAATTCATGGATGGAACTGACACAGAGGACGACGTGAATAGTGTTTCTCATCAGAAGGGTTTGAGGTCTGCTTCACTCTCTAATAATGCCAACATGGGAAAACTTGAAATGAGCAGCAACCCACAGAGTAGTAGAGAAGTTATTGCGTGCCCAATCTTTGAGAAGCATCCTATTTGCAAAGAGGAGCATACGTCTTTGATCTCTCATTGTCAACAGAAGGAAGTAAATCACTTTGTAAAGCGAGAGCTCGATATCAACTTGCCATATGATGCCTCGGTTTCTGTTGACCAGCATGGTGCTAAATCGTTTTGTGTTGAGAAGAAAGAAGGAAAAGAAGCTGCCAAGCCCAGACACTACATTGATCTGAATTCATGTGCTAGTGAGGATGATGAAGATCCCGGCTTACACTCCAGCCTGAGAGTGAAAACAAAAAGAACTATTTGGATAGATTTGGAAGCTCCACCTACTCTGGAGACCGACGAAGAAGAAGAAGAAGAAGAAGAAGGAGGAGAGAGCTTGCAGGAGAAAACAAATGAAGAACCTTGGGGACTGATGAAAGACCAAGACGGAAACTCTATGAGTGAACTCATCAAGGCAGCGGCAGAAGCAATAGTCGCCATCTCATTGTCTGATCACCAACGTCATCTTGATGATGCAGCTTCCTCTTCAACTGATGCAGCTGCGAAAAGTCCGCTCTCTTGGTTTGCAGACATGATCACTTCTTGCGGCGTTGAGTTAGAAAGAAAGCTTGATGGTTCTCCGGAGACCACAGACTGTGAGGGTTACCGCGACGAATACTCTTCTGGGGAGATTGATTACTTTGAAGCCAAGACCCTGAACTTACAGCAGACGAAGGAAGAAGACTACATGCCAAAGCCCTTAGTCCCTGAGAATCTGATACTCGAAGGGACCGGCGCTAACCGGCCAAGAAGAGGACAAGCAAGAAGAGGAAGACCAAAGCGGGATTTCCAGAGGGATACACTCCCCGGACTCTCTTCTCTATCGAGGCACGAAGTCACCGAAGATCTCCAACTGTTCGGTGGGCTTATTAAAACCAGAGATTACACTAGCAACTCTGGAGTGGCTGCTCGAAGGAACTCGAAAAGAAAACGACTTGTCGCTAACATAAACCAAGCTCTAGTTTGCCCGTCAATGGCGCAGCCAATGAATGAGAGCGTACCAGTGGTGGGACTTGAAGATAGTAAGCTAACAGGATGGGGAAAAGCAACAAGAAGACCGAGGAGACAAAGGTGCCCTCCTGCAACAGTGATCTTAACTTGATTTACTAGACCTTGAAACACCATAGATGATAATAAATCACTATATAATAGATTGATCGTTAATTGTTGGGGGTGTTTGTTTCTTTTTGTATATCTTGTCTTCTGTAAGATCGCCCAAACATGATTTGCTTTGTATTATATAAAGCCTGGTTGGTTATCAAAATACAGATAGAAATTTGAAATGCTGTCACTGTTTGATGCCAAAGTAGAAATCAAAATACTTGAGCGAATGAGTCAAAAGAACGTTAAAATAGAAACACACACCCACACTCACAGCTCAAAAATCAATAGTTATCGTTACAGTTTGACCACACAGATTGTAATATGTTGTTACAGCCAAAGAGAACATAAAGGTTATATCAAGTTATGATGAACATGAACATGACATTGTACAGTTAGACAAATAGTGTAGTACTTTGTTTATTAAGATTTTTCACAGTTTGCTAATTATATATCTTATGTCACGCAAGATTTTTTATTTATCTATTCTTAATATTGTCTTACTGACACTACTTTGTGCGTAAAAAAATGGAAAAGAGTTAAAATAAAACCTAAAAAAAATGTAAGAGAGTCAAAATGGAAAAACCTATAAAAAAACAATATGGCCTAGGACAGCAATCTTATATATAATAGGAGAGTTTGCTCTCTCCATCTAGGCTATCCACATCAGCCAAAAAAATTCATTAAATTGTTTTTAAAATATTTAATACATGACTATTCATATTTCTTTACCTATATTTATATTTTTAAATATAAATAAAACTAAGAAAAATACACAACTAAATTACTTAATTAATATAAAGTATGTGATAACTTGATGTTAAAAGTTATCAAAAAGTTTGGATATAAGTAAAAATATATTTATCTTGAAATGGTATATATTTACCTTTTTATTAAAAGGATTTATCCTACTTCAAAATGTTATAATGTGTTCACAAGTTAAAAAGTTGAATATAAATTAATTAAGATAATAAAAAACCAATGAGAAATTAGAGTTAGAGTTTGCTTTTTTAAACAAATAGAAGTCAAGTTTTTATATGTAAATTTAATTGCAGTGAAAAACATGAAAATTTTAAGGATTGTGATATGTTTGTTTCCAAATATATTCAATTACAAAACTAACATAATAGAAAATAATCAATGGTCATGAGGCTCATATGCTACCACAACAAAGTAGATATGTATAAAAGTATATATATTTTTTTTCATCCTATTTCGGTGCAAATGCGATTTTACAATATACTTACAAATTTTAACGCTGAGTCAAATTATACATATGCATGTTTATAGTCTAACAAAAGTAAACAAACATAATATTTATAATATGCTAAAATGTTAGAAATAGAAAATTCGAGATAAAGTGGGGTGTTAACATCCTAATAAAATAAAATAAAAGGACGCACGATGTGAGATAAAGTATAAACAAAACCATTGCAAACAACCCCGCGCTTGCGCGGGGCTTCAAACCTAGTGATATACAACTAACAACTTCAATATCTGCATATGGCAATTGATTAGGTCATGCATATGATTCATATTTTATCTTCAATTAAAGAAGGGAATCAAAATTAGATAACACAAATGTAAATAGTTTTCTTGTTTTTCTCATTTATTAAGTTTCTATTAAATTTTATCACATGTTTCTAAATATTTCATTTTATTTATAATTCAAAAGAATCACTTTATCATTTTTCATTTATTTCTTTCTTAACAACTCTAGTATTCAATTCTTTCGAATTTTAGAACTTACACTCTCCTCTAAAAGAAACCATGATTTTGACTGGCTGAGAAGTTTGATAGGTAGATAATGAGAAGTTTTAGATAACAATTGAACTTCCTCAAAAAAGCGATAGAGAGTAGAGTTCAATGAGAAGTTTATCTATTAACAATGACTGGCTGACAAAAACCATGATTTTGTAGCTCATGTTAGTTATTTTCTACTTTAAATTTGGTTTAGAGATTTAATATTTTTCTTGACTTGTTGTTATTACAATACGTTCATATCTTCGGAGCACGTGAAGCTCTCGGGAACGTTTGAAAAAATTGTTATGAGGATGAGAAGGCAATCTTTTAATATTTGATTAGATTTTCTTTTGAGAAAAAATGACAGTTAAATCCTGAACTTTCAAATTTTAGCAATTTAAGTGAAACAAAATTAAATCATCAAATTAGGTGGAATTTGATTGAAAATTGATTTGGGGTTTTGAAAGAGAAAAAAATGATTTTAAGAGTTAGGGTTTGAGAATGTTCGGTTTTGGAGTATTGTAAGTATGAAGTCATTTCCACTTTAATTGGCTGATTCAACGAGAAATGGTGATTTTATTTGTTTTGCTGAAATTTGAAAGTTGAGAATTTAAATGTTATAAATGCCGATTTTTTTCTTTTTTTTTATCATTAAAATTTTATTATCTTTACAAACGAATAAAGAAACCACAAAGATACAAGATCGACGGTCTAGAGAGAAATTCCCAATAAACAAAAGCAAAATGATCATTAGCGCCGATTTTCTATTTCCTATCTTTTTTCAAAAAATCCGTCATATTATAATTTTAGCTTACCAATGTCATGAATTAAACTAACAATGACACATTGACAAAAAAAACTAACAATGACACATGTACAATTGATTGAAAATAATTATTCTATGTGGTATATGTGTTCATATCGTGCGCATTCAACTTTATATAATAGCATGTCTATGAAATTAAGAAATTCTGACTTTATTTTGTTGAGTTAGAACATGGTAATATAAATATAATTTTCAATATTTTGCAAATTGATAGATATTCAGATATCTGCTTTTAAAAAAATGTTCCTTAATCAAAACTTGTTTGAGAATGGATATCTCAATTGTTCGTTTACACGATGATATTCAAAAGTATCTTTAAGTGTAAATGACTCTTCAACATTTTGCATGTATTGATGAATTTTTTTTGTTCTTTTTCAGAAAGTTTATAAGCAAATTAAGCATAAAATCAAATTTAACATTAGAAAACACATATTTTTGGGCTTTTCAAAATTAAGCAGTTATAAATGACTTTGGTCTTTCGGCTTATTTTCAATCCAATTGAGCTTATTTTTCCGTAACTCTGAAAAAGACTCTGATTTACCTAAATCCGAACCAAAAAAACATTCTTGAATCTGAAGCAAACAAAGAAAAACAGAGAGAGAGAGAAAACAATAATGAGTAACAAAATCTTGGGGTTTTTCGTTACTACTACTGATTAATAAATCATTCATCAATAGGAGCAGGAAGATTGAGATCGATGAGTGTATGCATCTGATCATGAGCAACTTGGTGGTGGTGGTGGTGTTGTTGTATCACCAAAGTCCTGTGTTCTTGATTCCCAGTGAAATGTGACCTCTTGTGACCACCCAAAGCCTGTCCTGACTTAAACACCCTGAAACATATCGGACACTCGTGACCTTTGCTCTTCTTCTTCACACCACCACTTGCTTTCTTAACCACCGGTGATGATTTACTATGAATCTTGACACTCCGGTTTGTGTCCGCACAAGAATCAGTCTCCAAGCTATGCTCACCACTATCATAAACAGACTCAGTGAACTCGTACTTGATCTTCTTCCGACCGTGAGAAGCAAACCCTCTCTTGCTTTTCCTAAGATCATACTTCGTTGAAGAACGACCTGACCCTGATCCTGACCCTGACCCTGACCATTCCTTCCTGAATCTGTTCAAGTTCTTGTCCTGTGGAGAGCTGTTGAATCCAGACCTCATCACAGCCTTGTTGTTGTTGTTCCTTAGGAACCCATCAACAGAGACATCCGAGTCCAACTTCTTTGGTCCGTTCCTGAAGTAGCCAGAATCAGAGTTATCTGAATCATCATTATCCTCCACTCCTCCTCCAAGTTTGTTCTTCTCACAAAACTCTTCAACGTTGAAGATCTTTAGCTGTTCACCTGAAGAGGACTTGGTCTCAAGAATCACAGAGTTGTTGTCAGATGACTCAGCCAGAGAGCTCACCACCAAGTTATGACCTTTCTTGAAACTTGACGAGTCCCTAGAGAGCATCATCAGAGACAATGCCATTTCCTCCTGCTCCGGCTCAATCTCAGAAGCATCAGAAGATGCTGAGTTTGATTGATCCATGAGAGTCTCACCACCACCAACTACAAAAGCAGCTCTGTTGTGGTGGTGGTGGTGGTGCTTGACAACTCTCTTGGATCTTCTTCTGATAGGAGAAGAAGAAGCTTCAGTGTCAGATTGACTGTCCATCACAATCTTCTCTCTCTCAGAGTGAGAAGCCATGTGACCACAGAGAGCTTTAGAAGAGACGAAGCCTTTACCACATTCTCTGCAACAGAGAAGCTGCTGTTGCTGTTGCTGATGATGTTGATGTTGATGTTGATGTTGCTGTTGCTGCTGCTGATGTTTCAGAGCCATCATCTCTCTCTGATCAACGAACCTCTTGTTCTTTTTAGGATTCTCTCTCAGACCGTAACTAGATTGGCCGCCGTTCTCGTCGATCTTGAGCTTACTGTGCTCTTCCTCGTCTGAATCAGCTGAGTTCTCGTTGTTCATGTGAGTTCTGATGTGACCTCCGAGTGATTTCCCACAAGCGAACCTCTTGCTACAGAACTTGCACACAAACTTCCTCTCTTTGCACTGCTCCATCTTTACAAGCAAGATCAGAAGAAGAAGAAGTTAGATAAACAAAAAAAGGGGAAATTAGTGAGAACCCATTAGTCTGATTTTACCTGAAATCTTCGAAGGAAGTGAAAGAAATCCCCCAGAGGCTAGAGAGAGAGAAGGGGAGAGAGAGGAGAGGATCATCAAGCAGAAAGCTTGATACTTTTTTTCTCAGAGATCAGATTTTGGGGAATGTAACAGTCATCTCTCTCTTGTGTTTAACTTACAGATCCTACCATCAAGCAAAAGAGAACACAAAAACAGGAAACAAATAAAACAGACTTTGATAATTTCCCCAATATCTAAAGTTAGGAGATTTGCTTTCTTTTTGGGGATGTGATCGAAAAGACAAGAAAAAGAGAGCAAATAAAAATTGTATTAGTACAAATTAAAATGCAATTTTTCCAATTGACATTTTTAATAAGAAATTGGAGAAATGAGTGAATACGTGACCATAGTGTAGCCGGATTATGCTTGAGAGTGAAACCCATACACGCATTGTATTAGTCTGTTTTGGGGTAAAACCAACCAAAAGTAATCAAAAAGCAAAAAATGTAAGAAACTGATTGCTTACTTGATGCAAATTAATCCGAGAAGAAGAAAAATACAAGACCCGGCACTTTTTAGCTGGATCTGACATTTCGATGTAATCAGGATTAATCCAAGAATATGAAACCAGTAACATTTTCAAAAATATATATGGACTGGAAGAAGTCTGGAACTCTCTATCTACGTTAATTAATGGAGACAAATCTATGAGACCTTAAAATCTATAATGGTTAATCTTAAACATAAAAATATTTGGTATTTTTGGAGATTTCTTTTCAAGTTGGGGTATTTTTGAAAGTAGAACTTCTTTTTTTACTTTGTAGTATTTTAAGGGATTTTTCTTTTCTAAATTAAAACACTATTTGTATTTGAGTCTTCCATATATACCCCCAAACTCTTCCTATTTGCTCCAACCAAAAAAAAAAACTCTTCCTATTTGCCTTATTTCATCTAACTACCGCATGTCTTAAGATTCACAATGCGTTTCATACTATTTTTTCATGTTTTTGTCAATAAGATTCATGTATCCCCTTAATTTATCGTTGTACTTCCCATTTCTCTGCTATATTCATCATTTTGCGAAACTTGTATGAATGTCATCATCTCATTGTTACGTTTTCTGTTTGACATCTTCTATCGAAATTACATTCCTTTTTCTGTTTTTTTTGTTACCATATTTTCCACCTTTTACATCTTGTTTCTAATTTCTTGCCTTTTTACAAGTTTGTCTTATCTTCATCATCTTAAAAACTAGTATAAAATACTTTTTACAGCGAGATATCACACGAGAGAAGAGCATCCAAATGGATAGTGGCCCATCATTGTTTTTATTGATAGATTAATAGGAGACTTTGGAGTTACATAATACACAGCTCCCAAATTAATGGAACTCATGCGTTTCTCCACCTCTCCTTTCCCAACCATATACTAAAACCCTTTTTTCTCCTTTTTCTTTTTTTAAACAAAATCACGTAAGCAGAAAAATAAAATAAATTACGACCTTGCAAAATACACTATTTCCAAGATTGTTTCCACACTCTCTACAAGCCTAAAAACAAGCGTGGAAATAGCAACAATATTATCTCCTCCATAACAAAGGAGTACTCTATTACAAGATCAAGAGAGCAAGTAGACTAATCAAGAAAAGATCCGCAAAGAATAAACCGTCTTCTGGCAAAGAAACTCAATGAAAAAAACACAGAACTCTCGAATCGAACAAGTTCAAGAAACGCCAAGAAATGTGTCAAACTATAAAATATGTAACTAAAGGTCTCTGTATATATGTATTGTGTATAGGAATTGCGGACAGAGTACTAGTTGTGAAGCGGATTTGGACCGGAGGGAACGAGTCTTTTGTCGACGCCGTATCTTGGGTCAATCTCCGGCGGAGGAGGAGGAGAAAGAAGTGGCTGCTTCCGGCTGCTACGGTGGATTCTTTGAAGCTCAAGGCACATAGAACGCGCGTACGGACGAGAGAAGGAGTCGCACGAACGGTTTGGAGTGACGTAATACGGGTGGGGAACCCTCGGGACGAGCCGGTAGGTTCGGTAACGGAAGCTTCTTGATTTCAAGTTTCCTTCGGCGGTTGCAAAAGCGGTGGAAGTTGCAAGAAGGAAAAAGAAGACGAGAGAGACGAAGATCGGACGGTTCGTGTGAGTCGTCGTCGGCATTGCTTGATTTGGAGAGAAAGAGATAGAGAGAGAAGTTTTCTTGGACAAGGAAAAGTTTTTAAAACTTGAGAGAAAGAGGGAAGTAAGCAATAGTAGCAAATTGGGGTTTTAATGCAACACAGAGGATGCACATGAATCGACGTTATGGAGGGCTTTTTCTAGTAAATGAGAAGGCAAAATCGGTTTTGTGGGTCCTTACTTCGTTTTCATTGACATAAATATCAACCCGTGAACCTTATTATATATTCCGATCGAGGTATTTCACTTTCTGTGGCCTCTTTTTTACATTATCTGAAAGTCAATACGCATAAAAATGATCGGAATCGGATTATATATGTATTTTACATGAATGTGTTACTCACAATCAAAACAAGAACAACAAGAACGTGTATTGAGTTGTTTCGTGGGTCTCAAGCAATCTCTTTCGGGTCTTTATTGGGTCTCAAGTTCAAGAACATACCAACCAAAGAGCCCAATAAGAACGGCCCATTATATCTGTATCTCCTCTTTTGTTCACTTGATCACTTCTCTTGAAATTGCAGAGGAAAGCTAGAAATAAAAAAAAATCTTAAATGTTGAAGATAAGAAGAATCTCAGTAAGAAACAGGAAGCTTTTATATGAACACTTGAAGTCATAAAAGAAAAGAATTGGCTGTGTGAGAAAGGCTTTATATGAACAAATCAAAGAACTTTTGATATACCTTGTGAACATGTTTTTAAAAATCTAGAGAAAACCAAGAAAAAATCGAATGAAACTCAAACATCAGAGGGACGAGATGTGGTTTCAGGTTCTGAATCATTCATCAAACTCCGTAGCAGGAAGATTGAGATCGAATTGGTCATGATGATGATGCATTTCAGCTACTTGGTGTTGTTGTTCGATCCTGTGTTCTTGGTTCACAGCAAAGGAATGTGATCTCTTGTGACCACCTAAAGCTTGGCCTGACTTGAACACTCTGAAGCAAATTGGGCACACGTGACCTTCTCTCTTCTTCTTTGCACCACCTCCACTTGCTTTCTTCACCATTGGAGATTTACTATCACTAGACCTATGAATCTTGCTGCTTGTCTCCGCACAAGAATCACTTTCATAAGAAGGCAACACCCTTTTCCTTTTGCTCAGCTCATAGTGCTTTGATCCTCCCTCCTTGACCCTGAGCTCATCACTATAACTCAATCCAGATGCAACAACTCCAGTGTTCTTCAGAGACTGATCAACGGAAATGTCTGAATCAGATTTCTTTGGACCATACATGAAGTAATCAGAATCAGAGCTATCTGAATCACAGAGCACAGCACCATTATCATCATCAACATCAGCAGAAGATCTCAATTTTTCATCAACTGCACCATTATCATCCTCAACATCAGCAGCAAATCGTAACTGTTCATCAACCGCAGCTTTATCATCCTCTAAAGCCTGAATCTTGACATCACTGAACATCTTCACTAGCTTTTCCTCTGAAGGTGACGACTTGGTCTCCAGAACCACAGAGTTGTTTTCTGATGACTCAGCCACAGAGCTCGCCACCAAGTTGTGACCTTTCGAATGCCTATAGAGCATAATCAGAGTCAGAGCCGCGTTATCATCTTGGTCAATCTCTGAAACAGAAGACAAGCTCCCATTACTCAAAGATACTGAATCGAAAACCCTCTTGGATCTTTTCCTTGTAGTAGGAGACGAAGAAGTCTCAGTGTCAGATTGGATATCCCTCAACATCTTCTCTCCCTCAGAGTGACAATCCATGTGAGCTTCAAGACCTTTCAAAGAAACGAATCCTTTGCCACATTCTCCACAAGAAAGTTGTTCCAGAGACGTAATCTTTCGCTTGTTCTTGTTCTTAGGATGCTTTCTCAAGCCTTTGCGATTGTAACTAACAGAGTACTCGGTGGTGTGAATTCTGATGTGACCTCCGAGTGATTTCCCAGAAGGGAAGTTCTTGTTACAGAACCTGCACACAAACTGCTTCTCTTTGCTCTCCTCCATTTTTGGATTTTGATTTGAAATCAATCTTCTCTCTAAGACAAATGATCAAACACCAAACAAGCAGGAATCAAGAAAGAGTGTTTCGATTTTCGAAATGCAAAAGGAAGATTAGCGAGAGTTTACCTTAAATCTCCGAGGAAGAGATGCTGCAGAAACCGACAAACCTGAAATTCCCAAATGCTACAGAGAGAGAGAGAGAGAAGAAAGGGAAGAGAGAGGAAGAAGAGAAAGCTTGATGCTTTATTAGCGATGAGATTCGAGATGTGACAGTTGTAATCTGGCTAAGTAGTACAAGATCCGACCTTCAAGCTAAGAGAGAAAAGTAAAAGAACAAGCTTTGAAATTTCAACAGTAAAGTTTGGAGAGATTTGTTTTCATTTATTTTGTTTTGAGTTTTGGAGCTAAAAGGAGACAAATAGTAAAGAGAGAAATCAAAAGGAGAAGCGTTGTTGTTCATAACACGAGTAATCAAGGGTCAGCTGCATTTTTGGATCTATTCCATTTCCTCCTCAACAAAAAACAAACACTCTCTCTCTCTCTCTCTTCTTTTTTTTTCTCTCTCCGGTGTGTGTGTGTTGTTGTGTTCATGCATGGAAGCAAAAAGATATGAGAAAAGGATATACAAACAGATAGAGAGGAAGCCACTTGAACGGTCCAGATCTATCTGGCCACTCATTAAACCACTTTCCTCAAAATTCCAATAAGAAAAAAAATCAAATCTTGGAATTCAATTGCAGAAAGTTTGATTTCTGTATCCAAGATTTTTTTCCTTATTAAACAGACGAATCTTGTTGAATACACTCTACTGAACTGGTAGGAAACTCAATTCGGGTGTTGGGTATAACAAACCATGGGGCCAAACACACTGAGACTTATCGACGTCGCTGGAGAGAAACCATAATTGGCTGTCTCTTGCCACATATTCTCCTATTCTAAAGCAACAATCTTTGGCATTGAATATTGCGAGGTTCGTTTCTTCTTGCTTTTTTGTGATTCAATTCACAAGAAAAATTCCATCTTTTCACCACCTACTACTTACCATCCGAGGTTAGATTTTACGAAAGCAAAACCATATCTATTTCATTTAATCATACACCATTTTTTCTAAAACCATTATAAGAATAATGAAGTTGCTGTTTCTTTTCTTTTTTTCATTACTCAAAAAACCGTGATGATGGTTTCTTAAGGCAAAAGCAATTGCCTTCCACAACTTCCTATACAAAAAAACTAAAGGTCAAAGGAAATGAAATCCTAGTGCAGATCAGAGAGATTCTGACATTCTAGGTAACCATTTTGAGCAGAAGGGACCCAAGAAAAGTGAAACAACAGCCTCATTTCACAAGGTTCCACATGAGAAACAAAGGCTGATAATTCTTACTTCTAAAAGTCTCTCTCTCTCTCTCTCTCTCTCTCTCTCTCTCTCTCTCTCTCTCTCTCTCTCTCTACTTTTAAATAGAGACATTTGGAGGACCCCATAACCCAAAAACAAAAAATCTCTACTAGCAATTTCTGCAAGTTGTTGAGAAATGATGTTGATTCCTCACTTGTTTCTTGCCTTGTCTTCCCATGATCCATGACCATATATCTCCTCCATGATGCTTCCTGCTGGTTGCAGATCTTTGCCGTTATGCTTCTGATGCTCTCCAGGACCGGTCTCATCTTTCTTTGCACAGTTCGTCCAGCCCGAGTTCACTGCATCATGTGCATGTTCAAAGGTCATGCACGAGTCATCTCCAACGTTCAATCTCTCCTCATATTCATCTGTTGCATTCATCTTGTACTCGTCACCATCTTCATCATTGTTACTAACACTGGCGTCTTCTTCACCTTCTACCTGATGGAATGGATGCACTTTCTCACTGAATTTGTCAGTCCCTTGATGAAGAGGAGATTCGATAGCAGAGTCTTCTTCTTCTTCATCATCTTCGACATACCGAGTACCCAAAGATCCTCCATAACCTCCATGCCACTCATCATCATCGCTATCAATGTCCAAGATAAAACTTCTGTTCTGGATGGCCCTTCGTCTGAGCACAAAAACGTTGAAGTAGTAGCTAACAATCTCCTTCTTGGTCCGGAAACAAAACGCATCTTCCAAGTGCTGCCAAAAGTTCCGACCTACCGTCACGGGATTGGAATAAACAATCTCATGAAAAGTCAGCGCATCTTCTTCGCTCCACTTCTCTGCAACAACTTCCTCTCCCATATCACAGAAGCCCAAATCTCTGAATCTCTCGAATCCAAGCAGCTTAACCATTTCTTCTCTAGCTTCTTTGATGTGCTGGCGCACACACCTTATAGAACCCCTGTCATGGCAAACACAGAACTCTCTACCTTTCCCTACTATGCCATCCGTGTTCAAATCCGGCATGGGAAGGACACATGTACCAGACAGCTTCTCGCCCGAGGAGGCTTCTAGGTTCTGTTTCTGACTACCTTCCCATTCAGGAACTATGGCTTGATAACATGGTCCGACAGGCACTTGCTTCCTCGCAGGTTGGTCCAAGAGGTAAGAGTACAAAGTCTCGACAGGTGCAAATACTCTCGGAGGTATATCAACCTCAAAATACTTTGCAGAATCCGGAGACTGAGTCGTTGCGTCCATTCCATCGCAACCTTTCATGTCAACAGAATTGGACTCTTCATCAAAGGTTTCACCGTCAGATGATTCACCTCCTTGGAGTTTACAAACATCTCCCTCATTCACATTCACTGTTGTCCGATAATAAACACATTCAGTGACTATACTCTAACAAACAGGTTATAGTGATGATACTAATATGTAAATATATTTACCATTGGCAAGAGATTTCTGCGAGACAGGAATAAGTTCTTGAAACTGACTCGACTTGTCGCTATAGCCAAGCTGCCTAGAATGTTTCAGCGGCAGCTCGTGAAATTTCTCATCATCAAAAGGGCGTTTGAATCCCATTTTTTTGAAACCTACATAATGCCAAACATCGATTAAGATATCAAATGCATGCAATAGACAATTCTACTTCTACTTAGCGTATGTAAGATTCATTAACTACACTGTCATGCTACTTAGAACAGACATGCACCACAACATCGAACCAGTACAAATAACAAAAAAATGGATGTTTAAGAAACAGTTCAGACAAGAACAAAAGACTAGTTCACATTTATATTATTGTTTACCTCTCTAGAAGGACAAGCTCGGATAATGTTTCAGGCCAACTGCACAAAGGACAGAACCAAACTAGAACGTCACCAGAAGACTCAATTACGATTTAAAAATAAAAATAAAAATAAAAAAATCTTTAGGCGTTCAGAGGATTAAGCTGGAAAAAAAAAATCTAAAATCCCCAAATCAAAAGAAACCCTAGACTCCTGCCTACCCAAAAATTTAACCAAATCAAGGGCTGAATGGACAAGAATTGACAAAATATATACAAAGCGAGAGAAAGCCCTTTGTTAATTTACAGATCTGGCTAGCCCTGGGATAGATCGGTGAATAGGAACCCTAGATCTCAATCGAGGACAACAAACATGAAATTGACATCACAATAAGGAGGGATATTTATGAAATTCGATTAAATCGCGAAGAAAAACCGATTGGATCGATAAACTATACAGCTTGTGATGAGATCGACAACCCTAACCCTAGATTTTTTTCTGACAATCGAAACAGATAAAAATTGGTATCAATAGGAAGAGGGAAACGGGAATTAGAAGAAACCACAGGTCAATTGCACGATTAATTGAGAAATCCCAGAAAAAAAAAACGAAAAAGAAAAATAGATTACGTTGAAAAATTGGGGGAAGAACACGAAAGAAGATAAAATCGAGGAAGGGTGGGTGGGATATTCGTTCTATTTTTAAAAACAAATCGGCCCAAATCGCCTAATTCGGGTCGACCCGCAGAAATCCCGAAAAGTGAGCTGGACCCCAAATTTAAGAGCAGCACATATTTCTCTCTAGTCCTTATAGTTTTGTAACTTTCACACTTCATTCCTTATTTTCTTCTGTCTCAAAATTAAAACCAAATTAAATTTCAAAACGTAAAAGCACAAGATTTGTTATTACATTGTGAATGATTTTACAGTATCAAAATAGTTCTTATTTGCTAAGCAGATAAATTTTTGGGTGGAAGAATATATTTCAAGAAATACAAAAGATACTATGCATATACTCTTCCACCTGAGGAAGATTCATACACTTGTTGTATCACTCTGTTCAGCTTCAAGACGTTACAACAAGAATCATGAATCAAAAGGAAACTCAATAACTATATTATATAGAAAAGCCAGACATATAGTAGCTCGAACTTGGCACCTTCAGGCCACAGAAGGCATGTCCTTGAGCCATGAATCCAGAGGTTTACCAATGGAGTAGACAATAAACCCAATCTCACGCAGCTTCTCTGCATCCAAAATGTTCCTACCATCAAACACAAAAGCAGGCTTCTGCATACCGTCAAAGATTCTCTTGAAGTCCAACGACTTAAACTCGTCCCACTCGGTTAACACACAAAGGCCGTGCGCATCTTTACTCGCCTCGTAAGCATCTGAGACGACACTCACTTGCTCTGAGACGCCTTCAGCTTTATACTGCGGAAGAGGAACCTTATGGTCCCAGTCAAACCTAGCCATGGAAAGATCTTTCCTCATCTGTTCTTCAGAGACTTGTGGGTCGTATATGCTCAGCTTGGCCTTGTCAGCGACTAATCTGTTGCAAACATCAATTGCAGGAGTCTCTCTAGTGTCACCTGTGTCCTTCTTGAAGGCGAAACCGAGGATGGCAATTTTCTTTCCCGAGACCGTGTTGAACATCGAAGAAACCACCCGGTTCGCAAACCGGATTTTCTGATAGTCGTTCACCTTCACGACTTGCTTCCAGTAATTAGCTACCTCAGGCAAGCCGTTGCACTCACATATATAGATAAGATTCAGGATATCCTTTTGGAAACATGATCCACCAAAGCCAACACTTGCGTTCAAGAACTTAGGACCGATTCTAGTATCCGTACCCACGGCATGAGCAACTTGCGTGACATCAGCGCCTGTTGCCTCGCACAGAGCTGACATGGCATTGACAGATGATATCCTCTGAGCCAAGAATGCGTTTGCTGCAAGCTTAGAGAGCTCAGCGGACCAGAGGTTAGTGCAGATGATCTGTTCCACTGGAACCCAATGAGCGTAAACATCTCTTAACGCTTCAATGGCCTTTTGACCAGCTGGAGTGTCTCTACCACCAATCAGCACACGGTCTGGGTTATAAAGGTCTTTAATTGCAGTGCCTTCAGCAAGAAACTCAGGGTTTGAGAGGATCTGAAACTCTATCCCTTTGCTGTTATGAGTCAGTATCTTCTCAATAGCCTCTGCTGTTCTCACGGGAACAGTGGATTTCTCAACGACGATCTTGCTGGATTTGGAGACGTCAGCGATCATACGAGCAGCACTCTCCCAGTAAGTGAGATCAGCGGCTTTGCCGGCGCCGAGACCTTGTGTTTTGGTTGGAGTGTTGACTGAGACGAATACAATGTCACTCTCAAAGACGTGTTTCTCCACATCCGTGCTGAAGAAGAGGTTTCTCCCTCTGCATTGCTTCACCACATCGTCCAAGCCCGGCTCGTAGATGGGAAGCTTGTCACTGTTCCAGGCGTTGATCCTTGGCTCGGAGATGTCGACGACGGCTACTTCAATCTCAGGGCATTTGAGAGCCATCACCGCCATGGTTGGACCACCAACATAGCCTGCTCCTAAGCAGCATATCTTCACCATTTTCTGGTTTTGTGTTCTTTTACCTGACAGATTGCAACAACAATGTCAAATTCTCAACAAGTAGCTGTCGATGAAGATGATAGCCATTGGTATTGATATGGGATAGGTGAAATCGGACGAGTGAGACATTAAATCAAACACCTTGTAAGCTCAGATCTATGAATTTCGAAATGATCAAGAAAAAAGCAAAGTGTTTGGAAAAACGTAAAGCTGTTGCCTTTATCAATTGGGTTCCTCTCTGATCACGCAAATGTAAAAGATCATTCTCTAGTCTGTACGATCACGAACAAACAAAAGGAGCCATCTTTGACATAAAGCTTTTACGAACAATCCCAAAACAGATGATCTCTCAATTCAAAAGACCACAAGAACAGGATGATCGAGAAACGATACATTTTCCAGGGAGAGATCGAAATTGAGAAAATTTACCTTTGTTCCTTGAGACCTGAGAGTGAGCAAGCGCGAGAGAGAGAGAGGGAGAGAGAGATGAGAGATGGGCCAAGGGTGAAGAATGGGTGAGAAAGCAAAAGAGCTTGTTATGGCGAAATCGATGGAAATGGCAGAGAAGATGTCTATTTTCCCTTTGATATAAATACACATTCACATCACAGCCACTTGCCTTACGCATTTCAACTTTTTATTTATTGGTACTGGGTAGCAAATTTGGTATACACTCCACACGTTTTTATCTCTTTGTTCAATTATTACGCTTCCATAATTTGGTTTCAAAAATTGACCAGCTACATGATTAGCAAGACACTAATTGGACCGTTTTTCGGATCAACAGTCACACTTTTGTATTTTTATAGCTTCAACATAGTTTCAAACTGCGTCAATGACGACTAACATTCATAAATTTTGTAGTGATAACTGATAAATATATTCTTTTAAATCGAAATCCATAACTAGTCATAAAGTTCTGTATATAATATTGAGCGACAACAGTAATAAAAAAGGGAAATCAAGAAGTGGAGTTCAAGAAAGAAGTGAACCAACGAACAGAGTCCTTAGGGTATCTCTTGAGCTTGTCTCTATAATCCACAAAATAGAGACCAAACCTTGAACTGTAACCAGCTGCCCATTCCCAATTGTCCAACAGCGACCACACAAAGTACCCTTTCACATTGCATCCATCCTCTTTAATCGCAGCTTGTAAGCTTGCAAGATAATCATGATGGTATCTGATTCTCTTCTCATCTTTAAGAGCTTCTTTTCTTGGGATAAAAACGTTGTTTGCATCGTCCATTCCTACACAAAACACACAAACAAACAATCATCATAATCACAAAAGTCTCATTCTTGTGGATCTAGAGAGTTTAGTGATGTCCGTGTTTAATTAATTACCATTTTCAGTGATAAAGACCGGAGGGTTTCCATATTTATGTTTGATGTAATTCATCAAGCTTCTCATCCCTCTAGGCACTATGTACAACCATATGGAACTTGCCTGTCCGCAACAACAAATGACACCAGCTTAGAAAATTCGACGGTACTAAACAATTTCGAATATGTATAAACAAAAAGTTGATAATATTTTCTTACCCTGTCTCCAATTGCGTTTAAACCCTTAAAAGCTGAAATTTAAAACAAAATATTATCATTTACCAAGAAGTTTTAGATACTCATAACTACGGTTAAGTGAGAGTTTTTCTTACGTAGAGTGACGGTTCCGGAATCAGAAACGGCGTCGTGCAGGAGAGTGCCGATGAGATTGGTGGCATTGTTCCTTGCGTAGTACGTCGTGTAGTGATTAATCCCAACAAAATCTAGAGAACCCTTCATCAGAGCAGATTGAGATGCTGTAAACACTGGCAATCTGCTTCCGACTCTGCTTCTCATCGAGCTCGGGTAATCCCCAAACATCAATGGATCCAAAAACCTAACATCGTAATAAAAAATGTATCATTTTCTAATTTAAAGAGGTGGTTGCATTATGGTTTAATGTAGTTAAAACTTACCAGCCAAGTTGAAAGTCTTGAGCTCTTTGTGCAGCTTCAATGTCCTCAGTCTTGTTCGACTCCGGTTCATACCACATTACATCAAACGCTATCCCTAACGAGCCTCCTTGCTTTGCCTAATTAACATAATTATACATCAAAACTGTATCTTATTTTTTTAATCTATAGTAACATGTTTCCAATAGAGTATTGAGCTGACTAACCTTATACTTTTTCCTGTATATATCGGATACTGTGGCATGAGTTAGGAGAGCGTTGTGAGCGACAATGTAAGGCTCAGTGGATGAGTTTCCGGAGCGACAAGTGAGCTTGAAAAGAATAGAGCAACGGCCTGGAGCTTGTAGGCCAACGTCATAGCCTTGTATCGTGAATGTGTGTGGCTCGTTAAATGTAATCCAGTGTTTCACTCTATCTCCAAATCTCTGGAAACAAACCTCCGCATACGCTGCAAAATCATTTCTACAAGAAAAGGGCACATTAAAACTAAATTCTGTCTAAGTAATAGTTTTGTTGAATGTTTATTTTTGTATGGATTGTTATATTACATGATTTGTGGGTTTAGCCAACCAAGGTATTTATCATGGAGTGCTTGAGGAAGGTCCCAATGGTACAACGTCACGTACGGCTCGATCCCTACATGCAACCACAATTTTGATCAATCTTCACCAAACTCATTAATTAATATAACAAGTAAAATCATGCAACAAGTGAAATAATAAAATACCTTTAGCAAGTAAAGCATTGATAAGTTTGTTGTAGTGATCGATTCCGGCTTCGTTTATTTTGCCCGTGCCATCTATAACCACACATAATATTATCATCACTAACCTCCCTAATCAAATCTGATTTTCAGAGATTTGTATAGTAGTACTTGATACATTAAAATACAACAAAACGATAAGCATGAAGAAGAAAAATGTACTTGGAAAGATGCGTGACCAGGAAATGGAAAATCTGTAAGCGTCCATTCCCATGTTCTTCATTAGTTGTACATCTTCCTACACTCGATCGCCATGTTAAGATTTTAGTTAATTAAAAGTTACTTCATTCTTATTCTTGTTGGAAATGTAAACTTATTGACATTTTTGTTAATTTTCCAAAGATTGGGTTTATACCTCGTAACGGTGGTACTGATCAACAGTAACATCGGCGTTGCTAAAATCGATGATTTTACCAAAAGTGTGGGAGAATGTGTCCCATATCGTAGGACCTCTTCCCTCTTCCTTCACTGCTCCCTCGTGCTGCACCATTTATTGATATCATTAAAAACAAATTATTAAAGGCTCGCCGGTCCATTTTTATTTCTGTTAAAGACACTACAAGCATGTTCCTTTTATTTTCATTTTAATACTACGGATTTTTAACACTAAACCCCACAAATTAAACGGGTGTGTTTGGTTAGGTAAGAGACACTGTGAGAAACAAAGATTTGGTTTTACTTGACTTTGGCTATGCTGGAATTGAGAGAAAAAGAGAAATATAAAAGGAGAAAATTTGAGAAAATGAGTCAAAGAATGGGTCATTGTTTGAGAAAACTTTTATTTTCTTTTTGGAAAAACAGAACCCACAAGAAAAGGAGGAGGAAGTATTGGATGCCCGTGACTGTTGAGCACATTTGGCCTTGTTTACGCGTCACGAACTCATTCGTATATCGATTCATGCATGGACCACATTTCAAAAACAAATACAATACTCGACGGAACTAGTTTAACACACGCTTCAATATATAACTATATAAGTAAAGATCCCATGATGATAACATATATCGTCATTGTATGTTATTAAAATTATTTATGATGAATTTGTTGACACGAACAAAAATAAATCACGATGAATTTACAGAGGTAGTTAACTATTTTCAGATACTGAATTGTGTTTGGATATATTAAAAAAAAAAAAAAAATTAGTGTCGTTAGTTTGTTACCCACTACCAAGAAGAAGCGGAACTCTATTTATTATTTTTTATTTTCGCTATATCACATGTGAACTTATGTTGTGATGTGACCTATTTTTAGGTATTTATTTTTCTGATGTCGTTGAAATTTAAAAGGAAATAATAATAAATAACTCAAGAAGAAAATGTTAAAAAAGAGAGTGGAGAGGAGAGGGGACCTGAAAAGCAGAAGAAGCAGTTCCGAAGACAAAACCTTTAGGGAAACTGCCTCTGGAAATGTCCTCACAGATGCATGTCTTAACCATCATCACCATTACTATCATCATCGTCATCATGATTAGTCTCCTTGTAGCCATCTCTTTCTTCTATTTTCCTCTTCAGAACGAAATTGTTATAGATGAGGAAAATAGAAGTGAGAAAGACGAGAGATGGAGAAAGAAAGAAAAAGAGGAGAACGAGTGAAATAAAAACTATGGAAGGGGTACTTTATATAGGAAGCAAAAGTGAGAGATATGATATCTTCGGATCGGAGCCAATCAAAATGACATGTTCAATTTTATGAAATTAAAGTCATTTTGAAAATAAAAATAAAAGAAAAACACATCAAAAAGTAGAGGAAGAAAAATTACGTGAAAAGAAAGTCTTCTTTTATAGTATAAGATAAGTGAGTTATAACTTATGAATTTGATGTCAAATTAATTTGATCAAATCATAATTTTGAAGTCATAATTTTTTAGTTAACTTCATCAAATTACTGTATGCATATAATCAGTTTTGTGTTGAATTTTACATGATTTTGTTTGTTTGTTAAGATCTTTTATATGGTAGGATATTTAGTAATTTTTTTAACATTAATATTTAGTAATTTCCAAACAATTAATCAAAAATAGAGATAGGTGTTGAGATAATGAGATTTGACTGTTATGTGGAAGTGGAAGGACATATGGCTAAACATTACTCCATTTAACTGTTATGTTGAACGACATATGGCTAAACATTCATTTCTTAGCCTTAATAGCAAATCCATTTTCAAGATGTTGTTTACTGGCAAAAATAAGTCAAGAAACTTTTCTTCTTAAATCGTAGTAGTTGCTCTTTTATTCCTCGTAGTAGGTGTTATAGAACGAACTATTATTACCTTTTTTTTTTTTTTTGCTAAGAATGTAAATATTCATTGAAAATGAAATGTTTAGGTTTTACAAATTGAGTTAATCAAAATTGCAAAAACTAGCTATAGACGGTCCCATGGCAAAAAAGTTTAAAAAACATGGAATGTAGAACAATCGGTACTCTCTGTCGCGTCAAACGCCGAAGCGTGAAGTCGACCAAGTAGCGATAAACCGCTTGGGAGCCTGTGAAACCAATAGAAACCCGAGTTTGAGTCGAGATTGGAAAGGCTACTCGGTCCAGGAGGAAAATCGACCTCAAAGCTAAAAGGAAGTTGTTTCACTCGATGCCCGAAGAGGGTGACAAAATTCTAAGCAGCTAAAAGAGACTCGAACAAGACCGTCCTCAGTATCTCTGAATCGACGCTCAGACAGCTGAAAACTTAGACGCCATCACTAAAACGGAACAACATGCACCAAAGAATCAGGATCCGCTTACTCACTCTACCAAGATCTCTCCCCGATGTCGGCTAGCTCAGAGACCAGCAATCACACGATCCTCTAGTGTTATTACCCTTTTTGTTTGTTTGTTTAAAACCAGAACGAATTTGGACGTGCATATAAACACATTATATTTGCTCCTTCCTCACGATGCCATGATTTCTCTCTTATCTCTAAACATAAACACATTATATTTTACATGTAGAAAGATTTTGGAAGGAGTGTATAGTGTAAGAGAATGTGAAAATGTGTAGGTATAAACTATTAATTGCCACCAACAAACGAGTAGCGATTATACTATTGAACGCTTCTAATTAAATTGCGATTGTGTTGGTGGCCCACTCTTATATTACTACTTGACTTGTTCCCAATTATTTTGCCTTTTCCAAAGAATTCTCTAGCCATTTCAAATGAGTACTTTATACGTATGTACTCCAGTATTTTCTTGTGTACTCTATTTTTTTTTGCATACAACGAAATCATCTTCGAGAATAGCACTCGTGACTTAAATTCACCAATCACACTCATTTCAATGTGATAAGCACCATTTCGTTTCTGTGTTCCTTTTTTTTATTTGCGTGTACGACATTTGTGTTGATTAGTGAATAAAGAAGTTCACAAGTGGGGAATAGTAACGAGTGGCTTGTGAAGTCATTCAAATGCTTAATTGCGTATTTTGAAATCCTAACAACGCGACAGGTCATACGTAATCGAATTATTGCATACACACACATACACACAATCTCATCTTTCTTACATTAATTAAAAAAGTGGATGGAGGATTGGCTATATGCGTTTGTTAGTTTCACACTAACAAGTCAACGATGACCCGAATTAGTCTACCCATTTACACACTTGTGTTCATATTCCTTTTCGCTTGTTAACATACATTTCAATTTTCAGATTATACATTTTGCTTTTCAGAGACTCCTGGACATGTAGGGCCTAAGAAACCAGACTTTTCATACGCGCAAAGCCAAGAAGTAGCAACTAGCAAGAGAGACGCCGTTATATGGTCAGTGTCACTGGTATGAAAATGATCTCACTCGTCAATGACAGCCAAGCTAATATATAATGATTCTGACTTCTGAGACTTAAGAGATGATGTATATAACACTTATGCAGAAACCATCACCGACATGTATCCATAACCTTTAGATATTCATATTATTCGAAACCAAAGAGATGATTTGTTAACACATTTTGGCCACAACAACGAAGGCTGTGTCTTTTTTTAATAGGTTACAGTAACAACTAGCAAGTGACTTCCATAAGAGTAGAGCAGAGAAGAGATGCATCTATCAGTTCTTCCTTCCCTCAGACAAGATAATGTGGTATCCGTGCCTGCACTTACCACACATAACATCCACTTAACAAAGCTCAAAAAAGCCAAAATCAGATTGAGATTGAAGACAAAAAGCAATGTCTCATTGCATAATATGGATTCCAAACATTCATGATCTTGATGCAAGATTTGATAATAAGGAAGTGGGCATACGTAGATTTGAAGGGTGCACTGGTGACGCCAACAGGAGTGTTGAAGGCGACATCTTGGAATGGACCAGCCATCTTTCCCCTTGGGAACCATCCAAGATCTCCTCCTTTTTTCCCAGATGGGCACTCCGAGTACTCTGCTGCTATCTGTAATTAGTCCCACACAGAAAACCCTAGTTGAGAGATTCTCCACACACACATATATAGCCTATAGCTAACCGAAAAACTGAAACTTGCAGGTCTCGATATATCAATGAACTATGAGGTGTTGAAATGGGAATTGCGCAGCTGTAATGTACATGTCAAAGGCTCAAAGCTAGAAGAAGCAAGATTAGGAATTGTCACCTTTGCAAACTCAGCAGGAGGAACTTTGTCTCCGCTGTCCAACCAACCATCCTGCAACTTTTTGTATGCCTCGTTGATCTTTCCTTGCTTTTCGCACAATACATGTCTCGCTGAAGAAGAAAAACCACATAAATACCGTTAAAAAAGTTTTCAGAAAAACCTCTATACGTTGTCGTACTACAAGTACAACTGCTGAAGTTGTAGAAGAACTTTTGGATCCCAAAAAGATACAAAGAAGACAAGTATTCGACACATGAACGAATTAAAAAAAGCACACCTTTGACGTAAGTGCATGTCCCAAGACCATCAGCGGCTTTTCCTGCTTTGCCTTTGCCCTTGGAGGCCGGTTCATCGCTGCCACTGGCTTGCTTTGCTTTACCCTTTCCACCAGCTTTATCGTTTTTCCCCATCTACTTCAAATGTGCAACAAATAACCCAACTTTAACTTCATAATTAGTTATCATATTTCAGGGTTTTAACATACCATCACACACATTCATAAACCGTGGAACTAAAACCCTAAACCCTGAAACAAATCCAGTGAAGATTCAAATTTCAGTGTAGATCAAATCCAAAATTCAAGAGACTTGGAACGCCTATATCTATCTAATTGGTAAACGTGATAACAGGGCAGACTTGTGAGGTAATTCAACCACTTGGTAAGCTCAAATCCATCAAATTCTCAGAATGAACACAACACAACAAGATTGCAGATTGAAAAAGAGAGTATCTCAATTCTCAACATTTGGACAATCGAGGAGCTCAAATAGAATCGATGCGCCAAACAATACAATAATGTTGCAAATGGGATTATAATGATCTAGGAGGAGGAAGATGCAACGCAATTAACACGAAACCCAGTTTTTAATTTGCTGTAGCCTAAATATCAGTGAATTGACAAAACAAATAACAATCTATCTTCGCCATCCGAGAAAACAGAGGCTATCTCTTGTAAGTTGAAACGAAAGACCATGAAAAGTGGAATCAAGTATGCTCGAGAAGCCAATAAATTTTACAAAGGAGAGGAAAGAAGGCGAGGACTTTACCTTGAGCTTCTTCTTTCAGATTGAACAACGATCGAGCAAAGAGTGAGAGAGAGAGAGATTCGTTTGATAAAAGGGAAATAATCTTTGTGGGATTAGAATATCTTTCGCATGGAATATATTTCATTTATCGATGTGGGCTCGGCCCATTTACGAGGCTCCGATTCGGATTCTCTCTATCCACAACCAATTAATTTAGACGAACCAAGCTAAACCAAAAAAATAGAATTGAACCGACCAAACCGAACTGATTAAACGGAGCGAAGAGTCTCTTACGGCGGAGTCTCTGCATATACCGGCGAGAAAGTAGAAGGAAACCGAGAGACTGAAAAATGGCGGATGATGAAGAACCACCGATGGCTGTTCAAATCCAATCGGATTTTTCTTTCGGGAAGAATCTATCCGTGGAGGAATCAAGCGATACTGTTTCGGTTGGTGTCACTGTCATCACCGGCTATCTCGGCGCCGGAAAGTCCACCGTACGCAATAACAAATTCCGCTATTTCATTGATTTAAAGGTTGATCTTTTTTTGGTTTTAACTGTCGATTATGCTGTTATGTGATTGATTTGCTGCTGCCCAGCTTGTGAATTATATTCTGAACGGGAAACACGGGAAGAAAATCGCGGTGATATTGAATGAGTTTGGGGAAGAGATAGGAGTTGAGAGGGCGATGATAAACGAAGGAGAAGGAGGTGCCCTTGTCGAAGAATGGGTCGAGCTCGCCAATGGCTGTATTTGCTGCACTGTTAAGCATAGCCTTGTTCAAGCCCTCGAGCAACTTGTTCAGCGAAAAGACAGGTGCTTTTTTAAAACTTATCTCTCTCGCTCTCTCTTTCGACGATAATTCGAAACTCAGAACTTTTCAGCTCTTGAAAATTCTCCACCTTCTAGAAATATATTCGTGATGATTGTTATCCTTTAAAGCTCTAAGATTTAGTAAAGGCATTACCAACCATACGCATATGTCGCCGAAAATTAAAGGAAAATGGCTTATGTTTTGGAGAAAAAAGGTCTGTTTGATTATCTCGAGGTTCTGCTTTTGGTTTCTGGTATGCAGGCTTGATCATATATTGCTGGAGACAACAGGTTTAGCAAATCCTGCTCCACTGGCTTCTATACTTTGGTTGGATGACCAGTTAGAATCAGAAGTCAAGCTTGACTGCATTGTTACGGTGAGTATCTTATTCACTTCTCCTCTGTGCTGCTCTTTCTACTTGTCTTATCATCTTGTATACAGCAGATGAATTGTAAAACTAGAATTATGCTATTGACACCATTGATGTCTTTATAGCTAGTGTTCTTACTTTTTCTGGTTATCTCTTTGTAGCATATATGCCTCACGCTGTTTGCTCTCTCTCTCTCTCTGGTTCCAATAATTTAGTGCTTAGGCATCTTGTTCCTGATGCTTCTACTGACTTAGCTACTCTGCTTGAACAGGTCGTGGATGCAAAGAACCTTCGTTTTCAGCTCAATGAGCGCCGTGACTCATCCTCATTTCCCGAGGCTTTTAATCAAATAGCATTTGCGGTAATCATCTTGTGACACAACCACTAAGAACCCTGACGTATTGCCTTCTGCATCTTCTTACATCTCACCTAATCATGAGTGCTTGTTTTCGTTCGTTTTGTAGGACACGATAATAATGAACAAGGTTGACTTGATTTCTCAAGAGGAGTCTGATGAATTGGAGAAGGAGATCCATTCTATCAACTCGCTCGCCAGTGTCATCCGTTCAGTCAGGTGCCAAGTTGATTTGTCCAATATATTAGACTGCCAAGCATATGATTCAACTGTTAAGTCTCAGAAACTCTCTCTTCTCCATTATCTGACTATTGTTCATGCTTTTGACTTTAGCAATTGAACCTTTTCTGTCTTCACTGCTGTGATTAGCATGTTAGTCGTCTGGAGTCCCTGCTAGAAGCAAATAAATCATTAACCACAACAGACCTTCACGATACTGGAGTGAGGACTCTATGCATCAGCGAGCCCCATCCTATAAACCTCGATAAGGTAGCAAAAATTCTTGGACAATTAAGTTAAGAAACAGTATTCTTCGTGATTCACCAGCTTTGTTCTCGATTTGATAGGTTCGTTTATGGCTTGAGGAGATTCTGTGGGATAAAAAATTGGATATGGATGTTTATCGTTGCAAGGCTGTGTTGAGCATTCAAAACTCAGACCAGATGCATATTTTGCAGGTAATGGAGTCATGAAATGAAACATGAGTTAGAAAGATCTTTTAGATCACCTGGAATGTCCTTCACATTGCTTCTATGTTAATTGAATATGCGCAGGCCGTTAAAGAGATATATGAGATAGTTCCCGCACGAAAATGGAGTGAAGAAGAGAGTCGAACGAACAAAATAGTATTTATAGGTAACATCTCCTTGTTGCATAGTAGTTAACATTATTGTTTCCAACACTCTGCTTGCTGACTCCATGTCAATTGGATATGTGCAGGACACAAACTGGACGAAGAAGCTCTTAAAACCGGGTTAAGAGACTGCAGACCCTGAAGAAAAACCTTAACTTAAAGTGAAAACCATATTGGTCTAAACCATTTTAGTTTTTGCTACATCTGGTGCTGATTTGGGGTATTAGAAATTGTAATTTTAGCATTACAGTGTTACAGTGCAATCTTATACTTGATGCTGTAACACTAACACTCATTTCAATCAAATTTTGAGACAAGCATTGCTTTCCGAACAAAGCTTGAAGTTTGTTTTGGCAGAATGAAACTGAAAATTTGTATTTACAAGGTCAGAATTGTGTTCATGACCCAATTTCTCTATCTCTCCTTCTCTCTCTCGTAGTCATTTTCTCTCCATACCTCTGGAATATATCGGCCAAATCAAACAAGCCCACTTCTCTCAGTTTCTTAGCCATCTCTTCAAACATAACCACACCTTCCTCGTCAGAATAACACTGCAAGAACTTGCTATAATCAAACCTAGGAACTTCAAGCCCTCTCTTCATCGTTCTCTCAACATACTTCGTAGTCTCCAACCGTTTCCCCGCCTTGATCATACCTCCAACGAATATAGTATCGAAATTCACCAACGGGTCTGGTCCTTTCCTCCCTCTTCTCCCCAAATGTCCTTGCAGCAACATGAGATACGTATGCATGATCGGCTCACACCCTCTCTCTATCATCTTCCTGAAAACCTCCGTCGCTTCGCTTGCTCGTTTAATCCTCATAAACCCTTTTATCAAAGCGTGGTAGATACTAATATCCGGATTTTCAATCGCTTCCACCGTTTTATACGCTTCTGCAACTCTTCGCTTAGCCAATAGCCCATAGATTATCGAACCCCAAGTCAAATTATCCACATGAACACCTCTTTGACGCATTTCGTCGAACACATTGCGCGCTGTATCAATCCTACCGTTTTTGCACAACCAATCGATCATGATCCTGTAGAAAGATCCATCCAAGTCACCACCTTTTTTCGAAACCATCACGTAATAGACCTTGGAAGCTTCGTCGAACTGGTTTTGCTTGAGAAATGTTTCCATGATCTTTTTACCAGCTCCGATATCGACCTCGAATCCTTCGTCCATCATCAAATTCCAAAGCTTTGCGGCTTCGATCAGATCACCAACGTCGCAGAACCCTTCAATCATCGTTCTGTAAGTAATCTCGTCGGGGTTGATACAATCTTTGAGCTTAGTGACGACGTACTTAGCTTCTTCAACGAGCTTCTCCTTGCAAAGAGTTTCCACTGCTCTGTTCAGCGTCAGGAGATTGTACGAATACCCGAATTCGTTCATCAGATGGAAGAAGCTCACGCATTTCTTAAGCTCTCTAGCAGAAGCAAGTGTCTGCAACACGACGCGAAACGTCTTATCGTTGGCCAATCCGCGTTTCCCAGTCTCTTGAGCCATTTCCCAGAACAGATCCATGTTTCTAGATTTACCGATGATGCCGAGCATCTTGTTAGATGTGGTGGATGTGTGGACAAAATCGGGGTGGTGGGTCTGCGAGTAGAGGAAGAATCGGTGGACCGGACGCCATGAGAGAGGGAAATTGTTGCAGACTTGGAGGAAGAACTCGTGGGTGAGCTGAAACCCGGTGGAGGAGAGCTTAGAGACGAGCCGTGAATCGGGGGAGTTCTGTTGTTGATAGAGGATTGTACAGACGCGGAGGAGATGGTCTTGGTTTATCGGCGTGATTGTGGTTGGAGATAGTTTCGGCTGAATCAACTCGGTAGAGAATCGGCGGTGGAGAAGGAAGAATCGCCGAATTGGGATTTTTCCGATGTTAACCATCTTCCGAGAAGAAATGACGGCGATGGCCAAATATCAAAACTGTAGAACAAGTTACATAAAAAAGCATTTAAATACATTTATTAAATACAAATAAAGGAAAATTAGGGTAAAAAAAAAGCGCTGTTAGAATGGATAATTATCCAAATATTTTAATCTAGTGTAAGTTTCATTCACCGCCTTATATTACTGACTGTAATATTTTTAACATTATTTACTCTCTATAAATAGGAGTCTCATTATTGTATTAAGATCATAAGTTGAATACAAATAAGAAATCTTTCACCAATACTCTCTCCTTCAACATACGAAACTTCTCTTCATCTCCTCCTCTCCTCACATACACCACACACCCTCTCTCTCTTAGTAACTCTCTCTCTCTCCATATCTCCTTCATAACTTCTCCTTCTTCTTATTTAATTCAGTTTATTTATAATACGTTATCAGCACGATGGTTCTTATATTCTATCTATTTTCTATTGTTTATATGCTATGCTGGGATGGTAGGCTATGCCTTCTCCGAGCCAATTGTTATGGTAGACTTTGTCTCCACAATCGAAAAATCATTTCTTAAGCCGGGATGCTAGGTTGTACCTACTTCGAGCAAATGATCATATGGTAGACCATGTCACCTTAGATCATATAAGAGTTGATGGTGAAACCTCCTCTTGGAGTAGAGGCTTTGCCTCTTCCCTGAATATTTATTTTTCTATAATTTACTTTTTCGCTATTTACTTTTCTGCCATATAAATTTCTGCTAAATTTATACTGTTATAATGCTCAATTTTTTTATTGTGCAAATTTGAATTTGAATTTATATTTAATGAACTGATCTATGATCTATGCAGATATCATGTCAAATTTGGCTAAGCTCGAAATTTCCGCTTTGATATTTCTGGAAATAATTATATGACATGGGCAATAGGTGCAAAAATGCATCTAAAAGGAAATGGGCTTCTTGATGCCATTGACAAGTCGAAAGAGACGCCAAATGAGAAAAAGGCGAAAGCCATGATCTTTCTACTTCATCACATCCACGATGGTTTAAAAGATGAATACATCACTAAAGAAGATCCTGCGGGAATCACAAAAAGCAAAGGAGAAAGAAAGTGAGACTAACTTCATCTCCAATGAACCCGGTCCTTCCTTTCACGGCCTAAACGATGATACTCATCTTGATGTTTCAGATTTTCTGGTTGACTCCGAAGAGATCAACGGAAAAACAGACGACTAAAAGGACATGATATACATAGTTATCTTCCTGAATAAGATAACCTAAAAGTTTGATCTTTTTGTTGTAAAATAGTTTTTAATGTGGTATTTTGTATCTTGTGATATAAGCTTTGTATTGTTTAATACTTATTAATGCATCTTTGTTAAATCCAGAAATGACGAAATTTGAGACTCGTGATGGAGATATGTGTCTTGCAGACAGTGCTACAACGCACACAATACTCAAAGATAAAAGATATTTCTCCGGTCTCAAAATTAAAGATTCCGTTGAAAGCGTGAATACCATTTCTGGTGGTGCAAAAATAATATTGGGCTCTGGAAGAGCCAATTTTTCAATGCCAAGGGGAACAAAGTTTGAAATAAATGATGCATTATATTCCCCGAAGTCTTATAGAAACTTATTGAGTTTCAAAGATATCCGTAAAAATGGATATCACATAGAGACTATAAATAAGAATGGCATTGAAATCCTTTGCATCAAATCGGAGGGACAAATATTGGAAGAGTTGAAAATGATGTCCTCCGGATTATATTGCACAAATATTACTCTGACTGAATCATATGTTACAGTAAACCCGAAGTTTACTAGTACATTCAAAATCTGGCATGAAAGGCTAGGGCATCCAGGTTCAGTCATGATGAGAAAAATTGTGCAAAACTCAAATGGCCATCCGTTGAAATACGGGAAAATTTTAGAAACGGGCGAGTTCATATGTAATGCATGTTCTCAAGGAAAACTCATAACTCGGCCATCACCAGCGAAAGTTGGGAATGAATCCCCTGTGTTCTTAGAGAGAATACACGGTGATATATGTGGGCCTATTCACCCACCATGCGGACCGTTTCAATACTTTATGGTATTAATTGACGCATCAAGTAGATGGTCACATGTGTGTCTTTTGACAACACGAAATACGGCTTTCGCAAGATTCATTGCCCAAATAATCAGGTTGAGAGCACAGTTCCCTGATTATACTATTAAGAAAGTGAGATTAGATAACGCTGGTGAATTCACTTCACAGCCTTTAATGACTATTGCATGTCATTGGGAATCGATGTTGAGCATCCGGTTCCACATGTCCATACACAAAATGGCATGGCTGAGTCTTTGATTAAACGGTTGCAACTGATTGCAAGACCGTTAATAATGAGAACAAAACTCCCAATTTCTATATGGGGTCATGCTATTTTGCATGCTGCAGCGTTGCTCCAAATACGACCAAGTGCTTATAATATATATTCCCCATTGCAATTGGCATCTGGTCAGGAGCCAAACGTATCCCATCTCCGTGTTTTTGGTTGTGCGGTTTATGTTCCGATAGCACCGCCACAAAGAACAAAAATGGGGCCACAAAGGAGATTGGGAATATACGTTGGGTATACGTCACCGAGTATTATTCGGTATCTTGAACCTCAAACTGGTGATATGTTTACGGCACGTTTTGCCGATTGCCATTTTAATGAAGATGAATTTCCAGCGTTAGGGGGAGGAATTAAAGAGGTTCCAAAAGACCTCACATGGTGTACACCGAATTTGTTACACTTTGATCCCCCGACAAAACAACGCGAATTGGAAGTTCAGAAAATTATACATTTACAAAATATGGCAAATCAATTACCAGATTCGTTCACAGATACAAAAAGAGTGACGAAATCATATATACCCGCTGCAAACGTTCCATCAAAGATAGATGTTCTAAGGAACAAAATGATGGAAGCATAGCAAATGCACCCAAAGTCCAATTAAAGAGGGGGAGGCCGATGGGCTCTAAAGATAAAAATCCCCGAAAGAAAAAGAATTTGGGAGAAAAGGTTCAAGAAGAACCTTGTAAAGAAATATGTCCTAGAAGACATAAACAAAATGGTTTTTGAAGAACCAGAGAAAGAGATTCGTCCAGAAGACGAACATGATACAGAAAAATTTGAGATTTCCATCAACTTCGCCCAAAATGGAAAAGTATGGACAAGAAATGAAATAGAAGATGATGATGGAATATTCTCTTTTTCTGTATACAAAGAATTGATCATGAAAGTGATGATCCAGATCCAGAAACAATATCAGAGTGTCTGAAAAGACCTGATTGGGAGAAATGGAAAATGGCCATCCAAGCTGAATTACTCTCCCTCAATAAAAGAAGTGTTTTTGGACCTATTGTCACAACTCCTGAGAATACAAAACCCGTCGGGCACAAATGGGTTTTTGTAAGAAAAAGAAATGAGAAAAATGAGGTCACAAGATATAAAGCCCGACTTGTGGCTCAAGGTTTTTCTCAAAGACCGGGAATTGATTATGAAGAAACATATTCCCCAGTAATGGATGCCATAACATTCAGATTTTTGATGAGCTTAGCAGCGTCTCAAAATCTTGAAATGTATCTCATGGATGTTGTGACAGCATATCTATATGGATCTCTTGAAAATGAGATATATATGAAAATCCCAGAAGGATTAAAAATGCCTGAGGATTTGAAATCAAAGGCTAAGGAGATCTGTTCGGTCAGATTACAGCGATCACTTTATGGACTAAAACAGTCCGGACGCATGTGGTATAATCGCTTAAGTGAATATTTGTTGAGTAAAGATTACGTCAACAATGCGATATGCCCTTGCGTATTCATTAAGAAATCCTCGTCAGGATTTGTGATTATTGCTGTATATGTAGATGACCTGAACATGATTGGAACTCAAAAGGAAATTGATGATGCAAGAACTCATATGAAAGAAGAGTTTGAAATGAAAGATCTTGGAAAGACAAAGTTTTGTCTTGGGCTCCAGATAGAGCATTTCCAAGATGGTATATTTGTGCATCAGTCAAATTACACTAAAAGAGTGTTAAAACGCTTTTATATGGACAAAGCAACTCCTTTGAGTACTCCAATGGTTAATAGATCTCTTGATGTTGAAAAGGATCCATTCCGTCCTTGTGAGGATAACGAGGAAGTGTTAGGTCCTGAAGTACCTTACATGAGCGCTATTGGTGGACTAATGTATCTTGCAAATTGCACTAGACCAGATATAGCATTCGCTACTAATCTGCTTGCAAGATATAGTTCGTCCCCTACGCGCAGACATTGGAATGGAATAAAACATATTTTTCGTTATCTTCAAGGATCAATTGATTTAGGATTATTTTATCCTAAAAACTCAAAATGTGTTTTAGTTGGTTTTGCTGATGCAGGATATCTATCAGATCCACACAAAGCTAGATCACAAACAGGTTATGTTTTCACAATTGGTGGAACCGCGGTCTCCTGGCGTTCGCAAAAGCAAACTTTGGTTGCAACGTCTTCAAATTATGCAGAAACTATTGCTCTCCATGAAGCATGTAGAGAGTGTGTATGGCTCCGGTCTATGACTCATCACATACAAGAATCAAGTGGAATATCATAGAGAAAGAGCCAACAAAAATATTTGAAGACAATTCTGCATGTGTCACACAACTCAAAGAAGGTTATATCAAGAGTGACAGAACGAAGCATATTCCTCCAAGATTTTTCTCATACACTCAAGAACTCCAGAAAAATCAAGAAGTGGACATCGAGTATATTCGTTCAAGTGACAATGCAGCCGATCTTTTTACAAAGGCGCTTCCTACTACAGTGTTCAAGAAGCATGTTCACAGTATCGGAATGCGTCGTCTACAAAATTTGTGAAAAGAAAAGATTCTATCTTTTCCAGGGGGAGATTATGCTGCGGTACTCTTTTTCCTAAGTCATAGTTTTTATCCCATTGGGTTTTTCTATGACATAGGTTTTTTAACGAGACCGTACATAATACAAAGCGGATAATTAAGGGGGAGTGTTAGAAAGGATAATTATCCAAATGTTTTAATCGGTGTAAGTTTCTTCACCGCCTTACATTACCGACTGTAATATTTTTAACATTATTTACTCTCTATAAATAGGAGTCTCATTATTGTATTAAGATCATAAGTTGAATACAAAAAGAAATCTTTCACCAATACTCTCTCCTCACATAAAACTTCTCTTCATCTCTTCCTCTCCTCACGTACACCACACACCCTCTCTCTCTTCGTAACTCTCTCTCTCTCCATATCTCGTTCATAACTTCTCCTTCTTCTTATTTAATTCGGTTTATTTATAATAAGCGCGAAATTTTGATAAAATTATGTGTATGAAAAGTTTGGAGATGCGGGGTATCGAACCCCGTACCTCTCGCATGCAAAGCGAGCGCTCTACCATGTGAGCTACATCCCCATTGTTAATAGTTAATGTAACTAAAACAATATAACTATTACATTAGACGTGGAAAGGGAGCGAAAAGATCGTTAAGTTGGTTAGAAATAATTTGCGAAGAAAAACGCAGGAAAAGCGCAGACACTGAGGCACCACGGATCTGAAGGTTGAGATTCAGTCTTCTTCCGCCATTCGCGAACCATCTTCAAACTCTTTTTATATATTTCTTCCCTCTTTCCCTCCTCTCTCTTCCAATCATTTTATTCTTCATTCTTTATTTATTAATCACTCTCACCGAGGAAAAACAAAACAAAACAAACCCAGAGAAAAGAAATCAACATCTCTGTTTCCGACAGACACAAAATGACGTCAGGATCCGACAAAGAGAGAGAGACCTTTGTCTACATGGCTAAGCTCTCCGAACAAGCCGAGCGTTACGACGGTACATAACGTAACCAAAACATGTTAATTTGTTGAATTTATGCGATCGAAATTACAAAATCTGATGATAATCATGCAGAGATGGTGGAGACGATGAAGAAAGTGGCGAGAGTGAACAGCGAGCTGACGGTGGAGGAGAGGAATCTGTTGTCGGTTGGGTACAAGAACGTGATCGGAGCAAGACGGGCCTCGTGGAGGATAATGTCTTCGATCGAGCAGAAGGAAGAGTCCAAAGGCAACGAGTCAAACGTGAAACACATCAAAGGTTACCGCCAAAAGGTAGAAGACGAGCTCGCCAACATCTGCCAAGACATTCTCTCCATCATCGATCAGCATCTCATCCCTCACGCTACCTCCGGCGAAGCCACCGTCTTCTATTACAAGATGTAGAAAAAGACACTCTCTTCTCTAACACCATCATATAATGCAACTGAAAATGAAATCTTGATTTGGTATGTTTTGAAATTTCGTAGGAAAGGAGATTATTACCGTTACTTGGCTGAGTTTAAGACGGAGCAAGAGAGGAAGGAAGCAGCTGAACAGTCGCTTAAAGGCTACGAGGCTGCAACACAAGCTGCAAGCACTGAGCTTCCTTCGACCCACCCGATCCGTCTTGGACTTGCTCTTAACTTCTCTGTTTTCTACTATGAGATCATGAACTCTCCTGAAAGGTCTCAGTCATTTGACAAAACATTGATTCCTAAATGAAATATGTCAACTTTGTTGTAATGTGGTTTCTTGAAAACTGTTGTTGCAGAGCTTGCCATTTGGCGAAGCAAGCCTTCGACGAGGCGATTGCGGAGTTGGATACTCTAAGTGAGGAGTCGTACAAGGACAGCACTTTGATCATGCAGCTCCTTAGAGACAACCTCACCCTCTGGACTTCTGATCTTCCTGAAGATGGAGGTCTGTCTTAAAATCACATAAGCACGATTTGATGATTCTTGATTTTGAGATTAAGGATTGGTTTTGTTTTTGTCTTTTAGGAGAAGACAACGTCAAGACTGATGAACCTAAGCAAGAACAGGCTAAGCCTGCAGAAGCAGCCACTGAGGTAAATCAACTTGTCGTATGAATTGTTCTTGTTGGGTTATAGAGCTCATGGTTTTTTCTTTTTTTTTGTTTGTTTGTTTCAGAACTAATCAAAGGTCTTGAAAGTTGAACGAGATTAGATTCGATGCCCAGAAGTGGGAGACCAATTCCTTTCAAATTCTATAGCTTGGTTTCATCAGGGAGATGGGATCAGAGAGTTGTTTTTTAAATGTTGATTTAACTTTGTTTTTTGTTCTTTCTTTTGATGTCAGTTTCATGTCATCTGAGTATTTTATGTTATGCAATTATCTTGTGATTTTATATATCAGATATGATTTTGCTGTTATACATTTCCAAAATACTTTACAATCAAAAGCAAACCGAATATTGCTAAGCAAACAACCCAACCTCTGAATGTCAACAACAGCAGAGCTTGTTTCGATTATTAAACTCTTCAACAGAGCAAAAAGATCTCTGATCGTTTTATAGACATTAAAGACTGCGTAGTATACCAAAAAGGATTTATCATAGCTGGGGGACAAACCTAACCATATATACAAAAAAGAGAGGAGAAGATGAGTGAAGCAAAGACCTCTTTCTTCCTTTTCTTCTGTCATTGTTCTTCCTTATCAAAGTAACTCTCCGGCAAGGTAAAGTCTTCCTCATGATTCAGAATGTCCATGTCCTCATCATCTGATTTCTGAAATATAAAGAGGTAACTGATTAAACCCTTAGCCCAACTCTAAAGAAGGCCATGAAGTGACAATAAAAGCCAACTTAGAATCTAAATGTGTGGAACATACTGATGAATGTTTGCTGTAAATTACTACTCACCAGCATCTCGATGTTGTAGAAACGATCCAGTAGCTGTAGAACCTCATCCGCTGTGAACTGTCGGTCAAAGCTGTGGACAGAAATCGTTGAAAGAAAGACTCTTTAAGGCTTAGAACAATCATTATGATTCAGAGCTCACAAATTGGAAGTATGGAAGGAAATGTCAGACAAACCTCCTTCCGAGATATTCCATCAGACCATAAAGAACAAAGTGGCGATGCATGCCTGCAACACCACATTTACAACTTAGTAAAGAAACCAGAGAACAAGAGACGATCCATTTTGACTAAAAATGATTCCTTTTTTGGTAAAGGTTTGTGCTTTCTATATATATTTTTTTCAGGCAACATAAAATGCGCAGGTCATTGCGTTTAAACAAGCCAAAGGAACAAGATTTGAAAATTTGTGAAAACTTGCCTCTGAGTTTAACGGGAGGATAGATTTCAAGACCTTCTAATAACCTGAGCTCCAATTCAACCTGTGACTGCTCCTGAGAACCAAAATCCAATAAAGAGGAAACCTTTAAAACCTCAGACCTCAGAACAAAGAAGAGTAAATGGCAGAGAGAGAGATAAAAGAGAGAAAAACCTTGGAGAGAGAGGAAGCGGAGGAAGGTAAAGTCTTACAGGGAGAGTGTACGGACATGCCGTCTTGCTCTTCTTCCTCTTTCTCTTTACCTCTCCCACCTTCGTCATTCCTTCCACCCATCTTGTTCCCTTTCTGATCAATTAGGGTTTCGTGTCTTTGATCCCAGAAAAGAAGGTGAAATGTTCTCAAAGCTGTTGGTGAATTGTGTGTGATACAGTTACAGACAGAACCACCTGGATCTTTGTATTGGGCCGGCCAATTTTCAAGGCCTATCACTCATTACTCATTAGTCACAACAACTTTCCGGTTTACCAGTCTCAACCATTCCGGTACACAATCACAAGATCCAAAAGCATAAACTTGGTTACTGTATTGGAAGACTAGTAAACGAAATTGTTGAGACATAACATAACACTATCATTTGTATACAAGAACAACTAAACAAGAGTTTTCAAGCTGGAAATCGTTATTGTAAAAATCGTTATGTAAGCCAAAAACAATCTTACAAAACTAATGGATTGAGATCAAGATTAAAAAAATCGGAAATATTCAAAAGCGTTTTTGACATCTTTTATTGGTCAATGGGCGTTTTTTTTATTATGCGCGGCCCCTGGAGTAATCTATGTTGAAAAGCATGTTCCTTCGGTTCTCTGTTCCCATCCTGACTTGATACTTCTTGGCCAATGTCTCCACTTGTTCATCGTTTTCGTTGTCTAGTTCCCTCACACATCGCCTTCTGATCTTTTTCAACGTCTCCTTTGATGGTTCAAATCCAGCATTTATCTGTTCATCGAAAACATGTATTCATTAGCTTCTCATAGCCAATGTAAACAACACAGATCTTTCTCTCATAATCATTTCCAATTACGGTTTACCATGTCATCAATGACGGTCAGAGCTGATTTGGGATCCCGGTTAATGAGATGAGCGTCAACCAGCAATGAAAACGTCCGGGAATCCGGTTTAACACCTTCGCCAACCAGATGCTCGTATACTCTCGTAGCCTCAAAAGTCTGCAAGGCAAACAAGCTCGAGTCTTTAGGCCTAATTGTTCATCCCAAAGGAAATACAAATACTTGAAGAGAAAGAGAGAAGTGATTGTGACATGGTGTTTAAAACAGTACCTTCTTGACTTTCCCAAATGCATATATCAAAGCATTGTAAGAGTCGATATTAGGACTCAGCCCAAAAGAACCACTTATTGCTTCAAACGTCTGATAAGCACGATCCAGATCCCAGGTGTTTGCGCAGCCAAGGATTATACAGTTTAGAGCAGCTACAGACTTATACGGAGTTTCACCTTGGCTCAGTTTCTCCAACTGGAAGTATACCTGGTGGATTACGTTACATTGCAATGTCAGATCAGCTACACGTTACAACCATGATACTCTACTTGAAAAATAATGTCAAGGTGTGTGTGTATACCTCATCCAATGTCTCAAACCCTTTCTTAGAGCAAGCCACAACCAGCGGGTACAAGGATGTAAAAGGTGAAAGCAATTCCTCCACAACTTCTTTCTCAGAGTCCGCAAGTGCGGTTTCGAATTCGTTAAGTGCAATGAAAGCTTTCTGCAGATTCCCCAACGATGCATAGGCGTTTATCTTTGCAATGTAAGAGGCAGGGTTGGCTGCCTTTTTCCCACGCAGAGACCGTTTCAGAATCATCCAAGATCCATCTACTAAAGTTGAATTGCATGTCCTCGCAGCAGTTGCGAGAGCTGACACTACCAAGCCTTCATCAACAGAGAGTAAAACCGAGGGCCTAGCCATTTCTCCCCTAGTGATCCATTTGAACATAAACTCGAATGCGTAAAACGCTAATTTGCTATTATCCTCTTGCGTTGCAACTTCTGCCATGTAATTACACAGTATCCAGCTAGGACATAAGGACTTGTTCCGATCAACAGCCTGCCAAGAAGTAAAGAACACAAATACAATCAATCAAAAGGACGGAAAAAGCTTCCAATACCAACCAAAGACAACAAAAGCTCGTCTTTTACCTTACACCTCTCGATGATAGAGACCAGTGTGTCTGTCCTACCTTTGGCTACACAGCTACGAACACATTCACTAAAAACTGTGGTGGATAACATATAGCCAGACTTTATCGCCATGTCCATAAGTTTCATGGCTTCTTCGTTCTTCCCAGTCAAAAACAGCAGTCCAATAACCATATCATACGATGCATCATCCGGAAGAGATTCTTCCTTGCCAGAAATCAGCATCCTAATAGAAATTTACATCCAGTCATGGTAACATAAGAGAAAAGAAAAAAAAAACTCTACATTCGTATGATACCCATCTCAGTGACTGCTTCCAGATACAAAGGTGTAAATTCCTAATCTTTTGCACGAGTTCTAAGATATTTCTCACTCATTTGAACAGTGATTTAGTATCATTGTAGAGCAAAAGAAACGGAATTTGGATCTAACCGTTCAAGCAGCTTCTGGGCAGCCTCAGTCTCTTTGGCCTGGTGCATAGCCTTCAAGACTAGATTATAAGACGCTGTATTGGGCGCCAAAGAGAAATCGTCCATAATCGCAACCAAATCGAGCATGTCACTAGGCGCAGCACCCATCATCAAGTTAGCTCGAAGGTAATGATTGTAAAGGTTGACATCAGGCTTGTTCGGCTTCCCGCTCTTATCCAGAGATCGAACCCAGAGCTCGAAAAGGTCCTTCATGTCGGACCAACGCTGCGACGCCGTCCAATCGGCGAACATGTTCAGCAGCGAGTTCGTGTCTTGCGACTCGGAGAGAGATCGGATGCGAGCAGCTGGAGCCTGATTTAGGAATCCGACTGGGACGAGGGACTGGCTCAGCGACGGAGAGTTCGGGATCGGACTCCGCCAATTCTCCTGGTAAAGAGGACTTCCCGTCGCTGGATTCGGCGGGAGCGGCGTGGAGCTCGCATGATGTTGATGATTCGAGGCGTCGTGATCAGTTGACTCGGTTGCGAGCAGAGGATCCTGGGAGAGGAATGGAGTGCCGGAAATGGACCTGATGGGTGAGTTCGAGGCGTGGTGATTGGGTTTGAGGGTTTTGAGGAGAGAGATCCGGTAACGGGAAAAGAGATGAGACGCCATTGTTGGAAGGATCTCTGGTAGAAGAGGGGTTTATCTGTTTAGGGTTTTCTGAGTTTCAGATGAGATTTTAGAAACTCCGGTCGTGAGCGTGACGATCGATCTCTTCTCTCCTCTCGTCTGACACAGTGGCATTTCAGAGATTACTCCACTAAAATGATGTCAAATTTTTCAGGAGTCTCAGAAATGGGTTAGAATAAATCCCTTAATATGAAGCCCGGCCCATAAATAAACAGCCCACACGTTTTGTTTTTTGGTCGTCGACTTTTTTATTATCTTAAAAGTTTAAAACACTAGACTATAGCACACATCATTCCAAGAAATTACATAACTGAGATGATTGATTCGAGCATTCTTAGCTAAAGACAACAGCTTAGGCGCTTACTTATTATTGCACCTTGCTCAGCCTTGTAAGGGCTTATATAAAGTACTATTAAATCTCAACGTGACACTCACGCATTCAAGCCTTTTAATCTGCATTATTGCATACTCATTGCGCTTCAATTAATGGCGTATTCAATGAGTTGATCGTAGCTCTTCATATGACAGCCATAGTGGCTTTCTTATTGTAGAGAGCCCATTCTATCACTCCTATGCATCATGCATGCGGGTTGGGAGGTGGAATCTAAGAGTCATCTACAAAACAGCAGTAATCGTTAGTTTTAAGAATACCATCTTCAAAGTGTTTTCAAACGAAACCATATACTCCCTCTGTCCCAAACTGCTTATAATATGGGACATAGAGAATATCTATTTATACATTGCTGATTTATATATATAAAAGTGGCTAAAACTAGGTAAAATTGTTCATCATGGTCTCGAATGTTGGAGATATGTCATGAACTATTTGTTGTGAATCTGTATGTTATGGAAAATAATTAAGTTAATCAAAAGTTTACGGCAATGATGAAATAGACGGAGAAAACTATGACTTAGCTTATCTAAGTACGGCATTTAAAAACAAAAATTATACAAGTTTAATCATTCTTTACTGAAATAATGATATTTAATACGATGTGAGTTTTAGAAAATCTGATATCCGCCACTATAGCTAATGACACGGTCACACGTATTGTAATGCGGATGCAAAGGTTGGCCTGCACATGGATGATGGCTTCCTCGCTATCTTAGCCTTGAAGTACTTTACACTTAGTTTATGTCTTTACGGAGTAAATTATTTCAAAAAAATATATGTTGGTGTGTGTCTTTTCTCTGTTCTCTCACCTTTTCATCGTTTAGTGCTACTTTACTTTAGAAAAAAAAAACATGATTACTTATTATAATACGTTTAATCACATTTACAAAAACTTTCACTTAGTCAAAAGACCAACTTTATTACTATGTAAACGTGTGCATTTTATTGCTGTATTTTGGGGCAAAACCAGAATCTAGCTTGATCTTAGATTCTCTGACCATAAGCCAAATGTTAAAGAAAGTAATGACTAATGAGAATGCAATACGTAAATTGAGGTAGTAAATTAGTAAATAACAATGCTATCTTTGATCATTCACATAAAGTCCCACTACAACTTTTTGCGCGTCGACCAAGTCACACAGCAACTAGACGACAAGCCACCTTTTCATATTTCTCTGTTGTTCCTCTGCTTTGAGTACTAAAAATCTAACATTTACAAGTCATCACACAAAAAGGGATATGAAAGTTTTAACTTAGGCTACAAGTCTTATTAATATCCAAAACACTGTCACAAGGAAGAAGAAAAACATTCGACCATCTTATAAGGATCTCTCACCCTCTCTCCATCTCTCTTCACCAAACACGCAAACTTAACTTCTGTGACATTGTCAGGGTTAACCAACTTTCAACGAACGTAAAAGAGAGATCAGTTTCAGCAGCAGCCATGGCGACTTTGCTTCCTCTGTTTCTTCTCTTCTCCATGGCAACATATTCAAGTAAGATCCTTTCTCTTCTGCTAAATTCTATCTTTTGCATGTTCTCTGTTCTGATATTCTTTCTGTCTCCTTTTTTCATCGTCTTCATCGAACAGACGCGGCGGTTTGTGTGTGCAAAGACGCAAACGAGCAAGCGCTTCAGAAGGTAATAGACTACGCGTGTGGATCGGGTGCTGACTGTACGCAGATTGCAGAGACCGGAGCTTGCTTCCAGCCAAACACCATCAAGAACCACTGTGACGTCGCCGTTAACAGCTTTTATCAGAAGAAAGCTCCCACTGGCGCCACCTGTGACTTTGAAGGCGCCGCCGTCATCTCCACTTCCCCTCCTTCCAGTATTCTCTCTTTACCCATCTACCAAAACCATCTTTTCATCATCAAACAATTCTTTTCTTATCTTTACTCTGTCTTCTTGCAGATGCTTCGAGCTGTTTATCTAGTTCCAGGTACGTTTTCACTTCATCTCGCCTTAGACCTTAGAATTAGGGTTTTTTTTTAAAGTGTGGAGCTCAGAGAGTTAACTCTTTTGCAGCGCTACTGGTACTCCCATCACCGGAGCACCATCCACTGGAAACTCAACCACCGGCAATTCAACGACCGGAACTCCATACACCGGAAATTCAACCACCGGGATGCCGATCAACGTCACTGCCACCAATGGAGTGCCCACTTCATCTGCATTCCCTATGGGACCTTCCGGGAGCACCGGTTTCGATCCGAGCGGTGGAGAGGAGCTCTTTGTCCGAACCACGACCGTCATCTTACTAACCGCCATCGCCGCCGTGGCCTTACGGGTTTAGGTAACGAGATCATCGTGATGGACGGCTGAGATTTTGCCAGCGGCGTGGTATAAGGCTGAAGCTGTCTCTTTCTAGTTTCTTCCCTCTTCTTTTTCTTCTGTTTGTTAGTGTTGGAGTTTGGTTATCCAATTAGGATTGTGAGTTTCTCTTCTTGTCTAGTATTTTGGCTTAAAAGAAAACCTCAAGAGCTTTGATTTTCTGTTTTGTTTCGTAAAATTCAGAAAATGAGAGAGGCTCTATGGTTTGTATTCTTATTTACCTATATGCTTCCATCGATCCATGTCTCCTTTTCATCACATATATCAAATAAAAATTCTCAGTATACACCTCGTTCTCAATTTCTCTGCACTTGAAAATGTTTGAAACTATTCTTAATACTTAAAAAGACTTGATTTTGATCGGTAATTGACTTTCTAGTCAAGTTTTCTACTCGCTGATGATCATGTTTCATGATACCCATAGAATCGACGATTCGCTTTCATAGGCTGGTTTTAAAAGATTCTTTCTTTCTCTCCCTCCCTGTCTCTACCTGTCGCGTCAAACAGTTAAGAAGAAGAAACCTAATTAATAAATCTCCGATGTTGTCTTTGCGTGTATCGACCAAATTTGTATTCGTGCGGAACAAAGTGTTGAGCTTTATCGATTCATCATTCGTAATTTCGTATAAGCTCCTCGTTGAACCTGTTTCCCACATTTCGTTCGTCTGCAGCTCTGTAGAGAGGTAAAAACTTCGACTTTTTAGTCAACTCTTTGGATTCTTCAATTTTTCGTTGTAAAAACTTCTAAACGAATCGAATACTGCTAATAGCTGGAACCAATTTTTCGATTTTCGAACCTTTAGCGTGCCATGGTTCTCAATTCGGAATCTTGGTGATTCTGTGGTAATTTTGAGGTTTATTTGTCTCGAATTCGTGACTAATTTTCTATCAAAAACAGGAACTTCATTGACGAAGGAGGTCGATGATGGTGGCAGCTGATGGATTGGGAATATATGTTGTGGAGAGCAAAGGAGGAGCAATAGCATGTATGATGCTCTCTCTGCTCTGCTTGGGCACTTGGCCTGCTCTCATGGCTCTTCTTGAACGGCGTGGCCGTCTACCACAACATACTTATCTTGATTATTCCATCACAAACTTCTTGGCTGCAATCTTCTTTGCATTTGTGTTTGGTGAGATAGGTGGAAGTACACCAGAGGCACCAACTTTCATAACCCAACTCACTCAGGTTAAGGAACTCTTGTCTATATAGAAATGCATCTTTGTTTCTCTGGTATTAATATTCAGATGGGTTTAGTTTATATACAGATTCAAGATAATTGGCCTTCAGTGTTGTTTGCAATGGCGGGTGGGGTTGGTTTAAGTATTGGGAACCTTGCTACTCAGTATGCTTTAGCTTTTGTTGGTCTGTCTGTTACGGAAGTGACAGCCGCGAGCATAACCGTTGTTATAGGCACCACTGTCAATTACTTTCTGGACAACAGATTGAACAGAGCAGAGCTTCTTTTCTCTGGTGTCGGCTGCTTCTTGGTAGCTGTTTGTCTTGGCTCTGCTGTTCACTCTTCCAACTCTGCTGATATCGAAGCCAAACTCGGAAAGGTCTCAGGAGATTGTAAAACTGTAAACCAAGAAGTGCACCAGAGACTATTTGCAGGTGAAAGTCTGATTCATATTAAAATGTCTCATAGCGTTAAGAAAGATTGCTCACTTGTTTCTTTTTAATAGCTGAAGAAGAAGTAGTGATGGAGAATGCAAAGGAAGGGACTGCGGCTTTTCTTATAGCGCTTGAGGGCACAAGATCAATCAAAGTTAGGATCTTTCTCTTAGTTGTTCTGTGTTTTGAAGCAACAAAGTAAATGAGTCTCTATGTATCTCTCTCTCTCTCTCTCTTGGATTCAGGTGTTTGGAAAGAGTATGGTTGTTGGTCTGGGAATAACCTTCTTTTCAGGCCTTAGTTTCTCATTGTTCTCACCACTATTCAACCTTGCAACGAACGATCAGTGGCACACACTGAAACAAGGCGTTCCCAAGCTGATTGTCTACACCGCATTCTTCTACTTCTCACTATCTTGCTTCGTGATCGCCGTTGCTCTTAACGTTAGGTTTCTATACAAACCTTTGCTCGGCTCACCAAGATCTTCATTTGGAGGTTACCTAAATGACTGGAACGGAAGAGGCTGGGCTCTTCTTGCAGGATTGGTTTGTGGGTTTGGTAACGGTCTTCAGTTCATGGGTGGACAAGCCGCAGGATATGCAGCCTCAGATGCTGTTCAGGTCACACACAAACACAAACACACTATTATAAACTTAGAACTAGAAAGTTGTTCTTGTTTTTTGTTTGTTTGGTGAATGTTGAGTTTTGTGATCATGTGAGTAGGCACTTCCTTTGGTGTCGACATTTTGGGGGATATATCTGTTTGGGGAGTATAAGAGATCATCTCCGAGAACATATGCGTTGCTTGTTGGAATGCTGGCCATGTTCGCTGTGGCTGTGGGGCTTCTCATGGCCTCGGCTAGGGAAAGAGAGACTCAGTTTACCTAAAGAGTTCATCGGAAATGACCAAAAACATTGTACATTGTGGTTACTTCAATTGGAAGGGAATGTATATGATTTGCCTTTTGTATATTTGTTAACGTCCTTGTTTATACAAGAAATGTAATTAGTTTTTATCATAAAAAAAAAAGTATGAAATGACTACAGATTGTTAGTCCCAAAGATTGTAAGAAGTTTTATTTCTATCCTGGGCATAATGAAACTGAGGAATGATATGACAAAAGTAGAAACGCTAGAAGGAGGGGTCGAACCTCCGACCTTGTGGTTAACAGCCACACGCTCTAACCAACTGAGCTATTCCAGCTTTTGATACTTATCGTTATTGAATACTATTTGGCCCTTAAAACCAACATTACCTCTGCAAGCAATTATCAATTCATTCATTTCACTCCAAGCTCACACCACGACCACCGGTCTCTTTCAAAATAATTGTGCGATAAGAAAAGTCTATTGCAATTTGCACGTTATCAACAAACAAAAAAAGGTCTCTTTCAAAAATTTCGGCCATCTTAAAATCATTTGTAATTTTCAACGATACAAACGTAACCTATTAAAAAATTCAACGAGGGAGAAAAACAACAAGTATAGGAAAAGAAAAGGAATTGAGTGCATTCTAGCTAGACATATCTTCTTCATAAATTGATAAAATCAACGAAGTTTAAATCATAATACTTTCGATAAAAGATAGGTTTCTTGAAAACATGTGCATTCTAGACATATCTTCTCGAACACGTTTACATCTCGCTTCCGTTTATGAAATCTCTGTATCCAAGTTTCTTGCACTAAATAATGAACTTTGCAAAACATGTGAATATAAATAAAGCAGTTTGATCGATGCGACGCAATCCCTGATCCCAGGCATGAAAACGATCCCATATCCACTTGCTTGTTCAAAGCAAACATCCCATGTTGACCAAAGAAAATTCAAAATCTTTTAAAAAGAAAATTCAAAGTAAACCCATATGACACAGTAGTTTTTTATCTAGATTTTTATCCTATATACTAATATCCAAATAGAGACAGGAAATGTAACATAAAACATTAAAGAAGCAGTTTCTGTTTTGTGTCTTGTTCTTCTGGTTTCGGTGTTAGAAGCAGAAGCAACGAAACCAAATTCTGCAAGCTTCATCGAATGCCTTCGCTATCGGACTAGTCCAATCACCGATGTCATCTTCACCGCCGATAGCACCACCACCTTCTTGTCTTCTTACTTGTCCTACACGAAAAACAAGAGGTACCAGAGCCCTGACTACAATAAATTACTAGCCATCGTGGCGGCGAAACATGTATCTCATGTTCAGGCCACGGTGGTCTGCGCAAAGTCCAACGGTATACAACTCCGTACCCGAAGCGGCGGTCATGACTTTGAAGGCCTTTCTTACAGGTCCTCTATCCCATTTGTCATTCTCGATATGCACAATCTTAGGTCTATCGCCGTCGACGTGTCCAGCAAGAAAGCTTGGGTTCAAGCTGGTGCAACCTTGGGAGAGCTATACACAAAGATCAATGAGGCGAGCCAAACACTAGCGTTCCCGGCTGGAGTTTGCCCTACCGTAGGAGCAGGAGGACACATAAGCGGTGGAGGGTACGGGAATCTGATGAGAAAATACGGAATCACGGTGGATCATGTCGTTGATGCTCAATTAGTTGATGTCAACGGCAAGCTCTTGAGACGAGCCACCATGGGAGAAGATCTCTTTTGGGCGATCCGCGGCGGTGGCGGTGCGAGTTTCGGAGTTATACTCTCTTGGAAAATCAATCTTGTCGAGGTTCCAAAGATCTTGACAGTGTTTAGGGTTAACAAAACTTTGGAACAAGGAGGCACTGATGTTCTCTACAAGTGGCAGCTTGTGTCTACGAAGTTCCCTGATGATCTTTTCATGAGAGCATGGCCTCAGGTCGTCAACGTACGGAACAAAAGACGGCGAGAGAACCATCGCGGTTGTATTCTATGCTCAGTTCTTGGGTCGAGCCGATAAGCTGATGGCGTTAGTGAGTGAGAGCTTGCCTGAATTAGGGCTCAGACGTGAAGATTGTCACGAGATGAGCTGGTTTGACACGACGTTGTTTTGGGCAGATTTCCCGGCCGGTACACCGCCGGGCGTTCTTCTAGATAGGCCGACGAATCCAGGATTCTTCAAGAGCAAATCGGACTATGTCAAGAAACCGATCCCCAAAAAAGGATTGGAGAAGCTTTGGAAGAAAATGTTGACGTTCAACAATTTTGTGTGGATGCAAATGAACACTTACGGTGGAGTGATGGACCGGATTCCGGCCAACGCCACAGCGTTCCCTCACCGGAAAGGAAACTTGTTCACGGTTGGATATTCTACCGTATGGTCAGACGCAAACGGCACAGAGACTAGCCTGAGAATGATGAATGAGCTCTACAAGGTCGCGGAACCGTACGTGTCAAGTAACCCGAGAGAGGCGTTCTTTAACTACAGAGACATCGATATTGGAAGCAATCCGAGTGATGAGACAAACGTTGATGAAGCTATGATCTATGGAACCAAGTATTTCTTGGGGAATTTGAAGAGATTGATGCAAGTTAAAGCTAAGTATGATCCTGAAAATTTCTTTAAGAACGAGCAGAGTATTCCTCCTGTTCCCATAATGTAGTAATGTTATCACGTGTAGTAACTTATGTGGGCATGTGTTACGTATTTATCACATTATTGCAATTCTCACACCAAGTAAGTGGGAGATGATATCTCTATACTGAATAATTTATTTTATCTTGAATTCTTATTTTGTATCGCATAATTACATTTCAAACAATTTGATTTACTAATGTTGATGTCAATATACTTACAATTTGATTAACTGGAAATACAATAGCAGTTACATCCCTTTAAGAGTAATGAAACTCACACAAAACAAACAATAAATTCACATAGAACGGACACAATTAACGTATAGCAAATAATTAAGTGAAACCAAGTTTGAGTAGGCACACCAATTTATTGAAAGAGAACACACCAAACAGAACCAACAGTGGAACAATATGGCTGTAATTGAGACAGATTTTGGAAACTTGTTAATTAGGCAATTTGGAGAGAAGGTAGGAAACGCTCTTTAGTGGCTTCATCCTCCCATTCAAGCTTACGAATCCAAAAGTTAAGTCAAAAGATCGAGACGAGCACTTATTGACTTGACCCATAGAGTCATCTCCAGAAACAAGTGAGCAGCTAAAAGTTGATCATTATACACCAAACATCTTCATTACATGATGAGGATGTTTCACATTTCATTACATTCCATTCCATTCCATTTGTAGGATTTTGTTTCTTTCCAACTCAGTTCTACTGAATAATTCACTGGTTTTTATATCAAACAACAAAGATTGAAAAATCAAAAATGAGAAACATCTTTTCATTGAACCGGAAACAACCACAAAACCGGTTAAGGATCAGTCTCTTCTTCAAAGTGCATGAGAAAATCAGAATCATCCACGGTCATCCAAGCTATCATCAATTCATTCATTTGACCCCAAGCTCACGCCACCGGTCTATTTCAAAAATAATTGTGAGATAAGAAAAGTCTACTGCAATTTGCACGTTATCAACAAACAAAATAGGTCTATTTCAAAATTTTCGGCCATCTTAAAATCATTTGTAGTTTTCAACGATACAAAACGTAACCTATTACAAAATTCAACGAGGGAGAAAAACAACAACAAGCATTGGATAAAAAAATGAATTCAGTGCATTCTAGCTAGACACATCTTCTACATAAAATCAACGAGGTTTAATCCTAATATTTTCAATAAAAGATTGGTCTCTTGATAGCATGTGGATTCTAGACATATCTTCTTGAATACATTTAACTTTCGCTTCCGTTTATAAAATCTCTGTATCCAACTTTCTTGCACTAAAATAATGAACTTTGCAAAACATGTGAATATAAAATAAAGAAGTTCGATCGATGCGACGGAATCCCTGATCCCAGTGAAATCGATCCCATCCACTAGCTTGTTCAAAGCAAACACTCCATGTTGAAAAAAGAAAAGTCAAAGTCTTTTAAAAAGAAAATTCAAAGTAAACCCATATGAGTATATGACTCAGCAGAAGTCAATTTCAAATTTATTTCTTATCTAGATTTTGATCCTATATACTAAAATCCAAGTAGAGAGGACATGTTACCTAAAAAAATGAAAGAAGCACTTTCCGTTTTGTGCCTTGTTCTTCTGGTTTCAGTGTTAGAAGCAGAAGAAACGAAACCAAATTCTGCAAGCTTCATCGACTGCCTTCGCTATCGGACTAGTCCGGAGTATCCAATCACCGATGTCATCTTCACCGCCGATAACACCACCACCTTCTTGACTTCTTACTTGTCTTACACGAAAAACAAGAGGTACCAAAGCCCTGACTACAGAAAATTACTAGCCATCGTGGCGGCGAAACATGTATCTCATGTTCAGGCCACGGTGGTCTGCGCAAAGTCCAACGGTATACAGCTCCGTACCCGAAGCGGCGGTCATGACCTTGAAGGCCTTTCTTACAGGTCCTCTGTCCCATTTGTCATTCTTGATATGCACAATCTTAGGTCTATCACTGTTGACGTGTCCAGCAAGAAAGCTTGGGTTCAAGCTGGTGCGACCTTGGGAGAGCTCTACACAAAGATCAATGAGGCGAGCCAAACACTAGCGTTCCCGGCTGGAGTTTGCCCTACCGTAGGAGCAGGAGGACACATAAGCGGTGGAGGGTACGGAAATCTGATGAGAAAATACGGAATCACGGTGGATCATGTCGTTGATGCTCAATTAGTGGATGTTAACGGCAAGCTCTTGAAACGAGCTACCATGGGAGAAGATCTCTTCTGGGTGATCCGCGGCGGTGGAGGTGCGAGTTTCGGAGTTATACTCTCTTGGAAAATCAATCTTGTCGAGGTTCCAAAGATCTTGACAGTGTTTAGGGTTAACAAAACTTTGGAACAAGGAGGCACTGATGTTCTCTACAAGTGGCAGCTTGTGTCTACGAAGTTCCCTGATGATCTTTTCATGAGAGCATGGCCTCAGGTCGTCAACGGAACAAAAGACGGCGAGAGAACCATCGCGGTTGTATTCTATGCTCAGTTCTTGGGTCGAGCCGATAAGCTGATGGCGTTAGTGAGTGAGAGCTTGCCTGAATTAGGGCTCAGACGTGAAGATTGTCACGAGATGAGCTGGTTTGACACGACGTTGTTTTGGGCAGATTTCCCGGCCGGTACACCGCCGGGCGTTCTTCTAGATAGGCCGACGAATCCAGGATTCTTCAAGAGCAAATCGGACTACGTCAAGAAACCGATCCCAAAAGAAGGCCTGGAGAAGCTTTGGAAGAAAATGTTGACGTTCAACAATATTGTGTGGATGCAAATGAACACTTACGGTGGAGTGATGGACCGGATTCCGGCCAATGCCACGGCGTTCCCTCACCGGAAAGGAAACTTGTTCAAGGTTCAATACTCTACTGTATGGTCAGACGCAAACGGCACCGAGACTAGCCTGAGGATGATGAATGAGCTCTACGAGGTCGCGGAACCGTACGTGTCAAGTAACCCGAGAGAGGCGTTCTTTAACTACAGAGACATCGATATTGGAAGCAATCCGAGTGATGAGACAAACGTTGATGAAGCTATGATCTATGGAACCAAGTATTTCTTGGGGAATTTGAAGAGATTGATGCAAGTTAAAGCTAAGTATGATCCTGAAAATTTCTTTAAGAACGAACAGAGTATTCCTCCTGTTTCCACAATGTGATTCAATGTAATTTATTTAGTGTATTCCTTCTCATTATTTAGTGTAATTTATTTTATCTTGAATTCTTATTTTGTATCGCATACTTTCATATAGCCAACGACGCCTAATAAACACCATCTTTCAAAAGCCTTATTCGTAAAAGCCAGAGAGATGTATCAAAAAAGAAAGCAAAGAGAAGGCTGATGCAACTTGAGAAGAAACTGAGAAACAGAACAATATTTTGGGTCATGGGGCTACTCACTGCAGCTTACAAGAAGGTAAGAAAACGGTGTTGTCTGGCTTCGTCCTCCCATTGAAACAAGCCCTTGTATCCATTCTTCCCACTGTAATGCATGAAAATCCAATGGCCATTGAATACAAAAGTCTATTGATTATCATTTGATTTTAAGTTTTTCTTTCTCATCCTACATCTTTTGTCAATCCAAGGAGAAAAACTGGAAATACAATAGCAGATACATTCCTTTAAGAGTAAAGAACCTCACACAAAACAAAACAATAAATTTTTAAATAGAACAGACACAATTAACGTATAGCAAATAATTAAGTGAAACCAAGGCACACCAATTTATTGAAAGAGGACACACCAAACAGAACCAAGAGTGGAACAATATAACTGTAATTGAGACAGATTTTGGAAACCTGTTGTGGCTCATTCGAAAGGTAGGAAACGATCTTTAGTGGCTTCATCCTCCCATTCAAGCTTACGAATCCAGTTTGTTCTCTATTATGTATGACAAGATCTTCACCCGGGTTGCTACTGCCACTTTTAGAATCCAATGGAAGCTTTCTCAGATTTGGACAATTATGTTGAATTTCCTCAAACGTGGGAAAGGGAGAGGACTCCAGTAGATGCTCTTCAGCTTCGGCAAAATATCTCACATGGAAGTGCTCTAGTCTTTGAAAAGGAATGATGGTACCTGCAAAGAGATTCACAGCTTTCTCTTTGCTGATTATATCTTCTATTGACTTGAGCTATTAACTTTAAGATCTAAGGTTTGGAGCGTACATAAGCCAGTCAAATCCTTTAGACCATTGCAATAAGTTAAAATACTGTGGAGAGATTTGGGAAGCCTGAAGTTGTTGGCATTTTGTTCCGCCATGATGTTCTCCTCTCTATGTTTATCTCCACCATTTCACTATAATTCATCTCGAGCCTACTGAGAAGCCATATTCGGAAAGTCAATACGTCTTTTTCCTTAACGGATACAATTAGTATCTCTTGAATAACATTCGCTACTCTGGGAGTATTTAACAGCTGATCTGCAACCAAAATTGACCCGATATCTAGGTCACCACTTCTAAATGTTCTAAGAGCTGCAGTTCCTTCATTCCGTCGAGATCGCCCCGGGTTACGGAATGTGCCAGCCGCAATGTCCTCAAACTCGACATATTGATATCCCGGAAATACTCTCAAGTTGCCACGTGCCCTCCAAATTCAGATATATTAGCTTTTCAACTTCAGTAAGCCTCCACGCAGTTGCGTATCCCTGTAAATGACAAGTCGAGATATCGCAAGGAGACCAACTCTGATATTTCCTCTGGCAATCCATTGATGAATCTCTATTATTCGATAGATCCAGTACGACTAACTGGGCATAGACTTGAAGAATTCACCTGAGATATTTCTCATCCTCATTCTTTTGGAAGAGCAGAGTTGTAAGCTCAGGGCATTCTGGACTGTCAGATATCTTCTTAATCTTGTTATCCATCAACGACATCCTTCTCACAGATGCCCAGTTCTCAACTGTTGGTACTTCACGTAAACCACACCAGCTTGCACGATACATCTCTCTTCATCCTTCCCAAAATCATTTGCTATCCACAATGCCATCTCACGAACCACATCATGCATTTTCACTTGTGATTTGTCTCTTCCTTCTTCGATCAATAAACAAGCCTGGACAAGGGTACCAATAATCCCATGAGCCTTGTTTTTAGCCTTCCTTAGCCCTTTCTTTTCGTCTATGAATCCTTCGCATATCCAGTAATCTACCAACTTGTCTCCTTTTCTTAAAAATCTTCTGGAAATAGAGCGCAGTATTGGAAACAAGACTTGACTGGTGGTCACCCCCGAGGCTATCGTAGCTGTACAATAAAATTGGAAAAATATGGTCTTCCATACCAGGAAATTGCAGAGAAGAAGCAAGTGTGTCGATTGCTTCATCCCATTCTTGTACCGTCCTCTTGCTCGCCATATTTTTGCCGATGATAATCAGCGCCAATGGTAAACCACGACATTTTCTAGCAACTTGACGCGCACGCTCAAGAATATCTGGTGGCTTTCTAATGTGTTTCTCCCAACTTTACACGGAACAAATCCCAAGCTTCGTTCAGATTCCAAACATTTGACTTCCATTGGGTCATCAACCCCCATTTGGCCACATACTTTTCTAGAACGAGTGGTGAATACTACTTTGCATCCATTTTCCCTTGTCGGAAATGGGACTCCGATTTCTTTTAAATCTACTTCCCTCCATATGTCATCCAGTAACAAGACAAATTTCTTGTTCTTCAAACGAGTGTGTATATCAGTGGCCTTCTGTCTTTCTCTTTTGTTTCCATTCTTCTCGAGGAAAGCCTAGTTTCTCAGCGATCTCATCTTGAATCTTCTCTATCAGTAGATTGCTGGACACAACAACCCAAATGACTTTTTCAAACCCATCATCATTTGCAACCTTAAACTTATTGTTGATCTGTTCAAGAAGAGTTGTTTTTCCTACTCCACCCATACCGTAGAGACCCATAATCTGGGTTCCGTAATCCATGAGATGGTTCCATGCCTTTTTAAGAACTGTTTCCTGACCAACAATGATTCCGTGTAGATCTCTTTCCTCCACCACATCTCTCGTAGGTGGCGCAGACACAGCATTGAAATCTCCGGTTATCTTGCGATCTATGAGCTCTTTAACATCTTCCAACATCGAGAAAACCTCTCTCCCGTAAACAAACCTTGATGCTAATTTCTTTGAACAAACATCACAAAGAGACAACCATTGAAGTTCACTAGTACAAGCCATATGCCTTTCAATTATATCGGCCTGATTTTCAATTGTCTTGACATCCTTAAGCCATACCTTAACTCCATTAAGCCTTTGTAAGCCTTTCTCCTCGTCCCTCTGTACCAAATTCCAGACATCATCTCGCCTTGCCTGCAGTCTTCCCATGGCTTTTTTCAGAGCCTCTAGATTCTTGTCGAGTCTACAGATATGGTTGACTTCGACACAAAAACAGCTACAGACTTGCTTAAACACGAACTCGCTTGCTTTTGAGAAAACATCACCCATCTTGCAGTTGACACACGAAGAGAGATTCAGAAGGCAAAACCAGGTAGGCTTAGTTGCGATTAGGCATTCAGAACTCAGAAGTTGAGATCTTGGAGTTTGCTGGTAATTTTGTGAATGAGTCTCAAGTCGTCTACGTAGTTCAATCCCCTGCAGTCCTGACATAGTAATTTAATATAGTAAGATTCCAATAATATCAGAGATTATACTAAAAAGTATTCCCCAACTTGGAATTTAGTGGTAATTGTATTAGTCCAAGTCGTCGCTACATTAGAATCAGCAATCATGGAGACTTTTCAAAGAAATTAAGAAAGATGGTGCTAGTTGCAGTTGCAGTTGCAGGCGCGATTAAAAAGTTGTTCTATCTTTTATTCATTGTACTAGATAATAGAAAGTGGATGAGCAACAACACAAAAAACATTGTTAGACTTTGATACATGACGTACCCGTGGGATCAGAATTTGGGAAGCCCACCATTTCCATGATCGAAATCCAAACACAAACTTTTTCACAATAGAGATATACATTGTGGGAACAAATATCAGATATCATATAATCCAGTGAACATTCCAAAACCGTAACGAGACAGTCGTAGAAGAAACAAAAGGAAAATGCAAATGAGATAAGCGGAGCATACTAGTAGAGACTTTTAGAAACCAGCTTCAAGATGAGTAAGGTTTGCTGCAAACAACAGCCTTTAGACCATCACATTGCTTTATTAAGGACTTTGGAAAGGTTTGAGAAGCATGTGCCTATTAGTTTTCGGTTCAATGACGATGGGCGTCACTCTATCTATCACTATCACATTCCACAAGGACCACAACTCAATAGATCGACGAAACATTGAACAACCATACTTTGCAAAGTATGATTCTTCTTGAAGCTCTCTAATAAATACCTCCTAAATAGATTCAAAAATAATTCAGAAAATGTGAAACAATAGAAGTATGGTTTACGAATTATCCAGAACTTAAAAGAGAGAGAGAGATACATACGAATTATGTATGGTTTACCTGAAACTGAATGAAGGTAAGTAACAAACGAAGTGCAGAGTAGAGTCTTTGCCAGCTTTGGAATCCAGTAGCTTACCCATAAGAGATGGATTCAGGACTAAGCGTATGTATGGTATGGGCGGAGTAGGCAAAATCTGACAGACTTTCCAATACAACAATCCAGTTCACAACCAGCAAATATTGCAGAAGATGTTACTGTTGATCGGTGTGATAAGAATTGTGATTTTGCCTACTCAGACCATACGTACATACGCCTAATCTCGAAACCATCTTTGATGAGAATATAACCTTGTAGTCTTTATTCACTTGACACTGCACAAACAGAGAGAAAGAGATTCACAGACCAAAACACCTTCTTCACCAAGAACATTCAGCGCCAATGGTAGACCGTGACATTTTTCAGCAACTTTGCTCGCGAACTCTGTGATTCCTGAGCGGCTTCCTATTGTATCTTCTCCAACTTTCATCTCAAACAAGTCCCAGGCGTCATTCTCAGCCAGTCACTGGACTTCAATCGGATCATCAACCCCCTAGTCAGAGACTATGAATAAACCACACCCACGAATTAGGAAGTTACAAGGAAGATCGGTAATGACAAATAATTCATTTCAACCAAATCATTATAAGAAAAACAATGTTCCCTTTCATATGTTGAGTGGTTTGTTTGCTTTACAAAATAGTGGAGTAAGTAGACATACATATAACCACGCGACTCCTTAGAAAGAAAGTTTTAATCTGCGAGCGAAACTATACCAGTCAAAACAATTTACCTGTAATACATAAAAGGAGCGGTTCTGTTTCGATTTGGAATATGGTTTGGTTGTGTCTGAAGAAAGAAGTGACTCTGTATTTGATACTCATAGAGACAATTCACCATACAAGTGGTATGCAATCGGCTCCACTAACTTGCCTCAGCCCAAAGCAACATAGAACCCAATCTCCAGAGCTTCCATATCAAGAAATTATACACTCAGATTCGCGGAAGTATCAACTGTAACTATAAGACTGGCGAAATCAAAACCCAAACCCAGAAAAGCAAATCAACCGAAACATAAAACGGACGTAGAATTGCGGAAAGAGATTAACGACGTACCTGCTTCTCTCACGATGTGTCTGTGCAATCACTCTCTAGCCATCGCTTGAATCGCCTCGAATCCTTCTTTCGATATGTATTTTAAAATTTCTCTTAATTTCGTTTAATTTTATAGAGAAAATAGCCTACAACGCCTCATAAACACCATTTTTTAAAAAAGCCTATAAAAGAGCACTAGTTTAGTCGTATAAGTCAAAGTGAAGGGGAAGGCCGATGCAATTTCGATTTCGTTTTTTTTTTCTGTAACATCTGAATTTTATTAAATAGTAATGGGTTGATACAACTATTTAACCAACCATTGAGGTGGGGCTTACATTACAACATGAAAAAAATCAGCTGAATCATAAACAAATTTTACTAACGAATCTGCTACCTGATTTTTCTCCCTGTTAACATGTTCTAAAGAGCATAATGGCAAAGCTGATAGGGAAAATTTCAAAACTACACCTCTTGAGGTGCAAATTTTCAAAAATACACCTCTATGGTGCCAATTTTCAAAACTACACTTTTTTCATTTAGTAAAAAAACTCTAACCCCTAAAATATAAATCCAAAACCCTAAAATCTAACATTGAACCCTTAAATCTAAACCCTAAACCCCAAAAACTAAACCCTAATATAGGATTAGTGAACCCAAATATATATATAAAAATTGGGGAAAGGTGTATTTTTGAAAATTTCCACACTATAGGTGTAGTTTTGAAAATTTGCACATCAAGAGGTGTATTTCATAAAATTTCTCAAGCTGATATCCAATGACGAATGTCACTTAATGCCCAATTTAATCAGTAGAAACAACATTTACTAAAAATTTAACTATTGTAATTTTTGCAATAGTTTATGAAAACATCACTTAATATTTTTTTTTTTTGACAACAACATATATTCCTAGACCGGTTTGGATATGTGGAATTTATAAATTACACATTGTAAGATAGATCTCGAACATTTTGTGCTATATCACTTATTAAATTTTAAAAATTATAATCCATTATAGAACAGAGAGAATGGAAAAGAAAAGAATCTAACGATTTTATTTACTTTGATATACTTCTGCTCAAATAAAACAACTTGGTTCGAATACTGTAGGTCTTTATTTAAATGATGCATGTATAAAAAAATGTTATCTGATGTATTTTATAAATACATATTACGAATTTAAAACTCTTTTATAGATGGTAAGATAAATATTGTTGTATTACAAACTTTTAATACAGATTTTTAAATGTTGACATAAATATTATTAAATCAGTTATATTTTTTAATAAATTATTCAATTGTTAGCGCGTTGACGCACGAGTTTGTTACCTGATAAAAACAAATTATACAATAAGATAATATCTAATCAGTTTTTGTACTTTGTCAATCATATTAACCTAACTAGGAGAAGACCCATGTGTTTGCATGGATTTGTATTATATAACAAAATATATAATATCTCGTAAACATTTCATAGTTTATTTTTCTAGTTTTTTAATTGATTAATTGACTGTCACATTTTTTTATTTTAGAATTTAAGTGACTGTTACAAATTGGTAATTTTGAAAATTCAATTAAATTGGTTTTTTTATGTGAGGCAATGTATATAATTACTAATTAGTATGACTGAATGTCTACTAAAATATAAATGAGGTTATTATTATTATGTGTGAAACTATTTAATTTTGTAGTTTATAGAAATTAAATATTTGTTATTTAATTATGTATTTTATATGTATTATTATTTTTGTTTTGAGAAAAGAGATTCATATTTATTATATTTACATATGTTTGCATTAAGCAAATGTGATTTAATTGTGTAGTTTATATGAAATAAGTATTTGATTGACCAAAAATTTAACATGAAAAATAATTGATGTTGATTTTAAAAAATGAACACATGCCACAAAATTAGAGTGATCACAACCATATAATATTAGAATATAGATAGATAATTCTAATTTAACGAAAATCTAGCGGTCTTGCAAATTTCGATCACTTTCTTTTACTTCTAGCTGCTCTATTTTTTAGTTGAAACCAAATGTTTCAGACGCAAAAGAATTTCCTAATTTGAAACCTTTGGTTTCTTGGTTTCTTTCCTCTTTTCCATTTCCAGTTTTCTCCTCCAATATTTGTTCCTCTACTCCCATCCAAGTCGAATTCTAATCAAGTCTTAACTCTTAACCAAACTTAGAATCGACGGATGGAAGAAAGTTAACACCTCATGCATTTTGGTAGATCATACGCAGGGAGCTTAAGGTATTTGTTTTTTTCTTTCTTGAAGACATAAACTTTTACTGAAAGTTGAAGCTCCCAGAGATATTTGTTATACACTTATACTTCAAAAACTCACATTCAAATATATGTTTTCGGCAGACTTGTAAACAAACTTGAAAGAAATAGCAAGATGGCTATCATGTGACCAGTTTATAATTTTTACACATGACCGATGCTTTCAAAAATCTTCAACAAAAGTCCATTGCACGTTATTGAGAAAAAGTCTATTTCAAATTTTCTCAGCATAGACTATTTACAATAATACAAACATAACCTTTTAAATGTTGAATTCAACGAGGGAGAAAAATCAGTGATTGGAAGAGACGAGAGAGAAAAATTCAGCTCATTCTAGATATTATTAACACGTCTATTAAAAATCAACAAAATTTTAGCATACCTGATTTAAAAAAGGATAAAATATATAGGTTTCTTGAAAATGCGAAAGAAGTCCTTGCGTTTCCATTTATAAAATCTTTGTATTCAACTTTCTTCTACTAATGCAATTTCCAGTACATATCCTAAACTTGTGAAATCAAGAAGTTCAATAGATACGACTCAATCATGAAAACGATTCCTCTGTGATATACGTTGTAAATGACTAAATTCGATAAGCTTGTTCAAAATAAACCTACATTTTGACAAAAAGCAAATTTAAAACAGACCTACATTTTGACGCCGAAAACTATTCAATGTACACCTATATGACAAAAATGTCAATTTTAAATTAATTTTCTATCCAGATTGTTTCTCTATAAATTAAAATCCCAATAGAGGCTAAAAACATATTACCTAAAAACAAACCAAAAAATGAAAGCACTACTTTCGGTTTTGTGTCTCATTCTTCTTGTTTCGGTTTCAGAAGCCATAACGAGACCAAGCCTTGAAAACTTTATTGGATGTCTTCACCATCGGACCAATACTGATAATCCAATCACAGATGCGATCTCCGTCGCCGATAACACCACCGCGTTCTTGTCTTCTTACGTGTCGTACACGAAAAACAAGAGGTTCTTGAGCCCTAACTACAAAAAGCTTCTGGCCATTGTAGCGGCGAAACATGTATCTCATGTTCAGGCCACGGTGGTCTGCGCAAAGTCCAACGGCATCCAGATCCGTATGCGAAGCGGCGGTCATGACTACGAGGGCCTTTCCTATATGTCGGCTGTGCCATTTGTGATTCTTGATATGTACAATCTTAGGTCTATTACTGTTGACGTGCCAAGCAAGAAAGCTTGGGTTCAAGCTGGTGCCACCTTGGGAGAACTCTACACAAAAGTCACTGACGCGAGCGACACGCTAGCGTTCCCGGCCGGCGTTTGCGCTACGGTAGGAGCCGGAGGACACATAAGCGGTGGAGGGTACGGAAATCTGATGAGAAAATACGGAATCACGGTGGATCATGTCGTTGATGCTCAACTAGTGGATGTCAACGGCAAGCTCTTGAATCGAGCTAGCATGGGAGAAGATCTCTTTTGGGCGATTCGCGGCGGTGGCGGAGGGAGTTTCGGAGTTATCCTCTCCTGGAAACTCAACCTCGTCGACGTTCCAAAGATCCTAACAGTGTTTAAAGTTAACAAAACATTGGAACAAGGAGGCACTGATGTTCTCTACAAGTGGCAGCTTGTCTCTACCAAATTCCCTGAAGGTCTATTCGTGAGAGCAATGCCTCAGGTCGTAAATGGAACAAAACGTGGCGAGAAAACCATCGCGGTTGTATTCTATGCTCAGTTCTTGGGTCGAACCGATGAGCTGATGGCGATAATGAACCAGAACTGGCCTGAGTTAGGGCTAAAACGTGAAGATTGTCAAGAAATGAGCTGGCTTAACACGACGTTGTTTTGGGCCGATTATCCGGAGGGTACACCGACGAGCATTCTTCTTGATAGACCGTCGACTCCAGGAGATTTCTTCAAAGCCAAATCTGATTACGTCAAGAAACCTATCCCTAAAGAGGGAATGAAGAAGCTTTGGAAGACTATGTTGAAATTCAACAATGTTGTGTGGATGCAATGGAACCCTTACGGTGGAGTGATGGATCGGATTCCGTCGACCGCCACGGCGTTTCCTCACCGGAAAGGAAACTTGTTCAAGATTCAATACTATATGACATGGGTGGACGCAAATGGCACGGAGGCTAGCTTGAACATGATGAAGGAGTTTTACGAGGCTGCGGAACCGTACGTGTCAAGCAATCCGAGAGAGGCGTTTTTTAACTACAGAGACATCGATATTGGAAGCAATCCGAGTGGTGTGACAAACGTTAATGAAGCTTTGATCTATGGATCCAAGTATTTCTTGGGAAATTTGAAGAGATTGATGCAAGTTAAAGCTAAGTATGATCCTGATAATTTCTTCAAGAACGAGCAGAGTATTCCTCCTGTTCGTGTTATGTAATTCCGGTTTATCAGATTTATTTACCAAGTGTAATAAGCTATGTTGGCATGTGTTTCTCATGTATTTTTCATTATTGTCCCATTTGTATTTTTTATCAGTTTGCTATATTTATTCATTCCTCAAAATAAAAATTCATGTAACTGATTTTCTTAACAGAATTTTGGATGGATATATATGTTTTATTTTATACTATTTATATTATGACCTCTTTTATCAATGGTTTTTTTTTTTGAACATTGAAATATATTATTCCAAAAAACCAATCCACTGCAAATTTGTAATTCAAAGACTGTGACAAAAAAAAAAAAAAAAAAGACTGCACAAAAAAAAAGGACTCGTAAAATTAAAATCAAAACTGATAAAGAAAAGGGAAATAAAGGAAGTTAAACCGGTCAATAAATCGGATTGCATTTAAACCGGTTCAATCGTCCGGTTTATCAAACGAACCTAAGAAGAACTCCAAAACCTAATTAGAACTAGACGATGTTTTTTGTAGAAGAAACAAGACAAGCACAGGCCTGAGCATCTCTCTCTCTTCAAGCTGCTGTCCTAATTCGAGCTCAATCTGAACGAATCCTGTTAGTGAATTTCTCGCCCTGTCGTTAATTTTCCAAGCTCCTCTGAAAAATTCCCGGCGAAGTTTTGGGGATGCCACCAACGATGGCGCAAGGAGAAGTTAAGAACACTGTAGAAAACAGGAAACCGAACCTTAAACCACCAACTGCTTCTCACTACAGGTTTAGTCTTTTATCATTTCTTTCTGATATGATTAGGGAAAAAAAGGATTAGGCATATAACGATTTGTGAATTTTGACTTTTTATCACAGTGTGCGGCAAAAGATAGCAGAACATAGAAAGTCTCTTCCTATTGCTTCAGGTGCGAGCTATTTCCACTACTACTCATCACTTGCCTTTCCAAATTTTATATCTTTCTCTGCCGTTGAGACTAACTTTGTGGTGATTGCATTTTACTTCAGTGGAGAAACGTCTGGTTGAAGAGGTGAACAAGAATGATGTTCTTATCATCGTTGGTGAAACCGGTAGTGGAAAAACAACTCGTAAGTTGCTATTCTCGAGCATTGCCTTTGTGAATGTATAGAATTTGATTTGAAGCTGATCATATGTTTGTTTTCTCTGTCATGAAGAATTGCCTCAGTTCCTATACAGTGCTGGATTCTGCCGGGAAGGGAAGATGATAGGGATAACACAGCCGAGGCGTATCGCTGCTGTGACTGTTGCAAAAAGGGTAGCTGAGGAATGTGATGTTGAGTTAGGCCAAAGAGTTGGTTATTCCATTAGGTTTGATGATTCTACTTCTAGCTCCACCAGATTAAAATACATGACTGATGGTTTATTACTCAGGTAACCAAAATCCACAAGCTAATCCTATTGGTCTCTCATCTTACATATGTATAATGTAGAGATACAGAAATGTATAGCTAACAAATAGTAAACCTGTATTTTGAAATAAAATTTTCAGAGAAGCGTTGCTGGATCCGCAGCTTTCTAGATATTCAGTTATAATTGTTGATGAAGCCCATGAGAGGGCTGTTCATACTGATGTTCTGCTGGCATTGCTGAAAAAGGTGCAGCGGGCTAGAGCAAAGCCCGTTAGTGAGAGAACTGTTAATGGCAATGGTGGATTAAGAGGGTGTCAGGGCAGAAAACTATCACCGTTGAAGCTGATTATCATGTCTGCTAGTTTGGACGCACGTGTTTTCTCTGAGTACTTTGGTGGTGCCAAAGCTGTTCATGTGCAAGGGAGACAGTTTCCTGTTGACATTATGTACACTGTTCATCCTGAGTCGGACTATATTGATGCAGCCTTGGTCACCATCTTTCAGGTTATTGATTTTGTGACTCTTAACAACATTTTGGAAAGGGGGAGATTTAGGTTTTCTACAGTAAACTAATTCGGCTTCCTGGTTGCTTTTGAATTCTTGTAGATTCATTTGGAGGAGAACCCAGGTGACATACTTGTTTTCCTCACTGGGCAAGATGAAATCGAATCTGTTGACAGGCTTGTCCGAGAAAGACTTCAGCATTTACCTGAAGAGAGTCGGAAGCTGCTGCCACTTGCTATATTTGCTGCTCTTCCATCAGAGCAGCAAATGCGAGCTTTTGCCCCTGCACCGGCTGGTTTTCGTAAGGTTTGGAGAAGTTTCTGCTGTCATTTGCTTATGTTTTGGAGATTTAGTTGTCAATCGTTTTGAATACTTGAGATGATAGTAATTCAGTTATACTTTTTTTGCAAACTTTTAGGTGATTTTGGCCACAAATATAGCGGAGACATCAATTACAATACCTGGAATAAGATATGTGATAGATCCTGGTTTTGTTAAGACGCGTCACTATGAACCGAGCAAAGGAATAGAGTCGCTTGTTGTTGTTCCTGCATCAAAAGCTCAGACTCTTCAGAGAAGGTACACTATGTTCTATATTCATGTTTGTTTTTTTCCACTCAAGGGGGTTTGATGGTTGGCAAGAGTTGGAGAGTCTTACCTGCATTCTAACTAGCTTTTTCCTCTTGGCTTTTACATCAGTGGACGTGCAGGACGTGAGGGTCCTGGGAAGTGTTTTCGTCTTTACCCTGAGAGAGAATTTGAGAAACTGGAGGATTCAGCCAAACCAGAGATCAAGTCAGTCAACCTCTCAAATGTCATTTTGCAGCTCAAGGCTCTCGGAATTGATGATATCGTTGGATTTGATTTTATAGATAAACCTTCCAGGTACTTCCTTCTTCTTGTGGATATCGATGTCGCTTCTTTTACCGAGATTATTAATGATTTTGCTTTGTTGGAAGCCAAAACTAAAACATTTTGTTGATCTAGATTTGTCATTTGATGTTAAACAGGGTCGCAATTATAAAAGCATTGGCGGAGTTGCGCTTGCTTGGTGCCTTGACGGATGATTGTAAACTAGAGGATCCCACTGGCTACCAAATGTCACGGCTCCCACTGGAACCTGTTTACTCCAGAGCTCTAATTTTGGCCAATACATTCAACTGTCTCGAGGAAATGCTGATCACTGTTGCAATGCTCTCTGTGGAATCCATATTTTATGATCCTCGTGAGAAGAGAGATGAGGTGAGTATACCAAAAGGACTGGGATACATTTTCATTTTTCGTTTATATATCAACAGTTGATGAAAGCGACCTGTTTTTATTCTTTGTTTCGCCAGGCAAGGGCCTCGAGAAACCACTTTACCAGCGTTGAAGGGGATCACCTGACTTATGTTAGTGTTTATCGAGAGTCGGATGAGTTCTTGGAGAAGAGAAGAAAAGAAAGCGGTGAAAACAAAGTTGATAAAATTATGAAGAAATGGTGCATTGACAACTTTGTGAATCATCGCTCCTTGAAACATGCTCGTGACACTTACAGGTTTGTCACCGTCTTCTTTTTGAGATTCTTACACATGATTCTTTATGCCTTGTGGTTAAATATTGAAAATATTATATATATGGTTGCTGCAGACAAATTCGTGGACATGTTGAACAGATGGGTTTTAACGTGTCTTCATGCGGGAATGACATGCTTGAGTTTCGTAGATGTCTTAGTGCATCGTTTTTCCTTAAAGCAGCACAGAGGCAATTGGATGGTACATACAGGTAGGTACCTACCTTTCGTGGTTCGTTTGTTGTTGTTGTTGTTGTGCTCTTTTGCTGACGAGAACACTTCCGTTTATCATGTAATGACCTTGACAGGGCTTTAGAGAGTGGTGAGATTGTCCACATCCACCCGACTTCTGTTTTGTTCCGCGGGAAACCCGAGTGTGTTATCTTCAACGAGCTCATGCAAACAAGCAAGAAGTACATCAAGAACCTCACAAGAATTGATCCCTTGTGGTTGGCTGAGTTGGCTCCTCATCATTACAAAACGGACGAGTGAATTAACTCGTCCGCTTAGCTTATAACAAGGTAAAAACACTACCAATATCCCTCTCTTCAGTCTTTGAAATACTTTGGCATACAGAGAAGAATTGCATCTCTCTCTCCTCTGTTCCTGTAGATGAAATGTTGTAGACTAGAGCTGCTAATGAACATGAAAGCACATGTTTATCTATCTAATGCAGATATAGCTGTTTGTATCCTGTTGGAGATGGAACACTGAGACTACTGGAGACTGATGCTAACATTAAGGAAACTAGTTTGATTCAAAGAAGATGACTTTGTGGGTGAGCTTGGAATTCATTTACAAGAAACAAGACGACCAAACTCATAATCTATGCTTATTTAGTCATTTATGTAGCTGGAGACACCAAACAATTCGAGGTAGAATTTATTGTTGTATCTTATAATATATAAAGCCATTTTTTGGGTTTGGCCTGCACTTGACTCGTCTTGAAAGTCAAAAGGGGACATTCGATTAGTGTTTCTAAATGCTGAAAGATTGTGCCCTCCATGTTCTTCCTCCCTTAGATACCTGTCTCCTCCATCTAGGCAACTAATTTTGTTTACATTTAAACATTTTTTAATAATCTATCATCTTAGTAGTATAACATTAAGCACAGCTATTCTCAGATATATATCCCTAAATACCAGTCAGATTTGGTCAAAAATATTAATGGTTTTGAGTACTTGGATCCTTTGCAGAGACCTTTTAAATACGACGTGAAGGTCTTAACTGTTTCATTTCTCCAACTGTATCAACAACCAACAGAGGCAAGCACGAACATTGTCATTGGAACATGTAGTAATCGCTGCATCTATAAACATTGTCTTCTTCTTTTGTGGAGAAGACTAATAGAGAGCAAATTCAACAAAAAAATGGGGAACTCATTCACATGCATCTCTCATGAGGAGGAACAACGTCCCAAGAAATCCTCTGCGGGCCGCAAAGGAGGAGGAAGTAACTCCGGGAAATATGTGCGTCGGCTGTCGCTAATCCCTTCATTTAGAAGGCGTAAGCTACTCCCTTCGCTCTCCTGCTCTGGCTCATCCTCCACTTCGTCTTCCAAGAAAGGCGGAGTCAAAGCGAAGAAGAAGATAAGAGAGAGACATCATCAAGACCACCATGGACATGACAAAGACTCTCACATTATTCAAGAGCAAACACTTGCAGCCACTAATCTCCTCTTCAACCAAACCCCTCGTAACAGCAACTCTGTTATTCCTCCTAACTTTAGACGCTCCACCTCTGTGGTCTATCCCTCGACTCAGTCTGCCAGCTCCGGCACTGGGTCAGGACCCGTTTCAGCCGTGCAGACTCCCAAGAAGTCGACCGGTGCATTTGTAAAAAGCTCTAGCTCTAGGCAAAGGTCTAGTACCGATCCCATCATCAAGCCTAACCAGCTTGTAGACAAGGCAAGACTTTTGCTTATAAGAAAATTAATAAATACGCTTAACAAAATTTTTGGGATACTAAACAAGTTTTTTTTGGTTAACTATAAATGTAAATGCCAAAAACAAACAAAAGGAACTTTACAAAATATTTTATGTTTCTTGTTTTTATGACAAAATGTTTTTTATTTTCACACGTAAATGCGAAGCAAGAATATGCTTTTGATTTCTTGAATGATCACAGCTTATCATCTATGTTGTGACATGTGAGGGACGTATTTGTATGTAACAGGAGCTGAATAAGGTGGAAGGTTCAGAGACGAAGCGGTTCGTGCTGGTTCACGGTGGAGGATTCGGGGCTTGGTGTTGGTACAAAACCATAACTCTCTTAGAGAAACATGGTTTCCAAGTCGATGCCGTTGACTTGACCGGTTCAGGTGTAAGCTCTTTTGACACCAACAACATCACAAGCCTCGCTCACTACTCCAAACCTCTCCTCCACTTCTTCGAATCCCTCAAACCCACCGAGAAGGTTCCAGTAACTTTGTCTTATGAGAACTAACGATAAAAATTACTACAATTAGATCATTTTTACTGATTAATTACATAAAATACAGGTAATTTTAGTTGGTCATGATTTTGGAGGGGCTTGTATGTCTTATGCCATGGAGATGTTTCCTAGTAAAATCTCCAAAGCTATCTTTATCTCTGCTGCTATGTTGGCCAATGGCCAAAGCACTCTTGATCTCTTTAACCAACAGGTACATAATACATAACACATTTCATTATCTGCTTATAAACCACTTTTTAATTTCATTAATCTGGTTTAATGAAAAAATTTCAGCTGGGGTCAAATGATCTGATGCAACAAGCCCAAATATTTCTGTACGCCAACGGCAAAAAGAACCCTCCAACCGCCGTTGATTTCGACAGATCGTTGCTTAGAGATTTTCTCTTTAATCAGAGCCCTCCAAAGGTTAATTTAAAACCGAACCAATCTTGTACCGGGAAAACTCGGTTTGATTACTGAACCAACCTCTTTTGTTTTTTGTTGGTTTAGGACCTCGCATTAGCCTCGGTATCCATGAGACCGATCCCGTTTGCACCGGTCGGTGAAAAGCTACACGTGTCGGAGAAAAACTACGGCTCTATTCGCCGGTTCTACATCAAAATCATGGAGGATTACGCCGTACCGGTTCCTCTCCAGGAGGCGATGATAAAATCGAACCCACCGGAACAAGTTTTCCAGCTCAAAGGATCCGATCACGCACCGTTTTTCTCTCGGCCTCAGTCTTTGAACCGAATCCTCGTCGAGATATCTCAATTACCGGCAAGGAAATCATCGTGATACCGATTTAAAATTTTCAAATGCTGTTCGGTTGTTTTATTTATTTAAACCGGATACAAGTAAACAAAACCGGTTATAGGATTCCGTTACCTTAGAAAGATTTGTTTTTTTGAGAGTTTGCAATTGCAATTGCATGATGATGATGATTCAATTTGGTATTTTCACTATTTTGTCATTTATTCCCATTTAATTTTGATATATTTTCTTTGGCTGATACTTTCCCAAAATCCAAAATGGGACGTAAATGATAAATTAAAGACTACGGTTTCGTATTTTGAATTAATCCGCTTTTGGCCTTTAATTTCGGACTAGTGTGAAACCGTTCTGGACGAAGCAAAATATCAAATTTCTCGTGTTAAAATCGATTTTCTCATCCGCTTCTTTTGCTTGCTCATATATCGTCGTCGTCACTGGCGATTTTGCTTTCTCTCGGCTATCTCTTCGTCGCTCCAATTTCCGATCACTAGATCTGACCTACAGGTAAAATCGCCATGTAAACCTTAGCATTTCTCTTGATGATTGATTTTTGTTTTTTGCTTGTCGTGGTAAATTTTCTGGAGTCGCGAGTGTAGAATTGCAGATCTTCGTCTAGATTTTCTGCATCTTATAGTGTTGTTTCGCTTCGAGAATTGATTTCGAGATCTCTGCAGATGTGTTTCAGCTGTTGTTTCGTAGTCTCGTATCTGAAGCACTGTATCAATATGTGTAGGCTTTACATTCCAAAACCTTGGCTTGATGTTTGGGATAATCGTTCTATGCCGGTGGCTCTTTTAGGTTTAGTTGCAGATTGAGTGGTTGATTTGGCTTTTGCTGCGTCTCTTCTTTTAGGTTTAGTTGGAGATTGACTGGTTGATTTGGCATTTGAATCGATTCAAATAGTTTTCTCAGTAATGTGAATTTCGGTGATGATGAACAGTGAAACTATTGGTGAAAGTTTTGAGTTTGTTTGACTTGTCACTGGTTCCTTCATAGCAAAAGTGATTACAAGCATTGATAATACTTCCATAAGATATCCATTTCTCACTACGTTATGAATCCACGGCCTTATTAGTGTCTTTGACCAAGAAGAGGAGATAGAATGGGTCGTGGAGTTAGTGCAGGTGGTGGACAAAGTTCTTTGGGATACCTTTTTGGTAGTGGAGAGGCTCCGGCTCCAAAGCCAGCCACTAACAATGCTCCAGCTCCTCCGGCTGAGACTCTGCCCGTAGGAAATGCTGATCCTTCACCTACGCCTGCACCTGCACCTGTTGCTGCTCAGCCAGTTAACGTTGCCGGGCAGATACCTGCTGGTACCAACAACTCCTCTACAAACAACTACATTCGTGCTGATGGACAGAACACTGGCAACTTCCTCACGGTAACGTCTCTTTATCTTCTTGTAAAATTTGGTTTTTTTTAGACATTGTTGTGTGTTGGTGATATGTCAGTTACCAAAGCAAAACGCATCGCTCTTTGAGTTTCCTAATACTTTGAAAATATGGATATTCTCTTGGTATATCGGTTGCATTATGATATGAAAAAAACAACTTCACACAAGTTTTTGGATGAGCTTTGGCTAAAGAGTTATCATTTGTTGTTAACATATTGCGTTTTGGTGAATGAAGCAAGAAGGCACAGTTTACTAAAGAATGCAGTTTTGGTTAAATGCAGGACCGGCGATCGACCAAGGTTCATGCACCCCCTGGAGGTGGCTCATCTCTGGATTACCTCTTAGGTGGTGGTGGTGGCGGAAGTAACTAGCAACTTCTTCTAAACCCCAAGTCTTCGTCTTCTTGTTCTTTTTGGAAACTATATGTCTCCTCATCCTTTTTATGTTAAGACTTTTTAAAAGAAAGAAGATGGAAACTTGTTCGCTAATATGCATATGCTAGCCGCTTACTATGTTGGTTCGGATGGTCTTGGCTTGTTTCAAACAATCACTAAAACTAAAACTATTCTGTTAAATGCATTCTCTTGTGTCCTCTTTGCACCCTTTTTTGTTTATTTGATAACGAATAGGGGAAATAAAGCTAAAAATCCAAAGCCTTGCTCTCATCTTTTACATTGGCCTTCAACTTTGGCTTTGAACCGTAATAACCTTCCTTAATTTCCTCCAATGCTCATAATTTGATTTTCTTATAGCCATCTCTGAGATCTCTTTCAAGCTTCTTGCCCGTTACTGGCGTTACATATTTAAGGCTGATATTGGTACGGAGTCACTTATAATTCCATTTTGTGCAACTAGTGTAACGATGATATTAACCATGTATAGAGCACCAAAGGAATTCATATATAAAAAATCCAGAATTGTCTCATTCACATATAGTTAACGATTCACATAGCTGGTAGTCAGATAGTAGACTTTGCGAGACTGTTTGGTGCAATGCTGAGTAGAGGTAGAGCAAGGTCAAAAGCGATAATGATTCTTATAACAAGATGATACCAATTACCAGCAAACCAAAAGCATCCATTAATCATATCATTCAATTGTGTATAGAACCGTGATTCCGACAAAAAATCTAAAACCTTCAAAGAAGAAAGTTGAAAAACAATTATTGATCTTATCTTCTCTGTAATCAAAACATCTATAGTGGGGACTGACTTCTCATGGAAAGTTGATTGATTCCCCAATAATTCAATCTCTCAGAGCATCTCAATGCAAAGAAAGAGACTACTTCTTGCAAGAGAACAAGACACTGACCGCTATGGACACAGTGATAACGGAGACAGGAACAACCCAATACTGCTTTGCCAAGTCGACAAGCTTCTGAAGAGAGTCTTTTGGCTCCTCCTTCTTGTAGATCTTAAGCTCAGGTATCTCCTGTACAGAAGCTTCCTCTATCTCGCCGATGAAATACTTCTCCATGAGTTCCCTGGCGTCCTTGCTGTGTCCTGCGTCTTCGAATTCATCTGTTGCATCTTTGCCTTCAAGAACACATAACATTCACTTGGATTAGACACAACAGATCAAGAAAACAAGCAAAGATTGGGGAAGAAGAGAAAGAAGAAGAAGAAGAAGAAGTTACCAGTGACAGCAAGAAGCACATCATCTCCTCCAGGATGATCATCCATGTACGAAGTTACGTCATAGACCTGTAAGTGCTCATCAATGATAACAAAGATTCAGAGTCAACCCCATTACCAATAAAAAAAAAAAGATTCAAATTCGCTCACATGAACATCAATTACACGATTCTTCATTAGATTCTATTCCAAAAGTGGAAAATTCCTCAAGATTCCAACTTATGTACACTTTTGAACAAGGATTGAAAAGAAATCCTGAAATTAGAAAAAAAAAAAAGAGCAGACCTTGCCGTCGATGACGACCCAGCAGTCGTCTTGCTTGTTGTGAGTTGCTGCTTCTTCCATGGAGTAAAGCTTAGTGAGAGTCGGCATTTCTTTTTTCTGCGGCGAGCGAAGAGCCAAGGTCTTTTCTTTTTCTTCTTTTTTTGGGTTTTGGTTTCAATTTCAGCTATGGGAAGCGATGGGAGAAAGATAATAAGAAGTTAAGAACCCTACCCGCAACGGCGTCGTTTGGTCCTTAACTACCTATACTTGCTCTCTTTTAACGTGAACAGCACTTCATAATTCGTAGTCAAATGAAAAATGTAAAGACCATTGTAATGACTAATATTATATACTTTTCTTTTGTCCCACATCGGTTTCATTGTTTGCTTGAATTAGAATCGGTTTCATTACTTCGGTTTGTTTCTAAGCTCATTAACCATAGCTTGTTAGTTGTTAGAAGTGGGGGACATATAGAAGCTGCATGCGATGATGGTCTTCTCCATTTTCCTTTTCTGATTGGTTCTCATCATTGCATGCTTAACGAATATACGCAAGATTTTAACAATTCGTCCTCTTACACTTTAAACTAGATCCTCAACTTGTGTAACATTCAATTTGGCAAGCCACTTTAAAAGTCAATTTTATTACCCTTGTTGATCTTGAGTTTCCTTTGCGGGATGGCTATAAACCAGAAGCTGACCATCTTCACTTGCTATACAAATATTTCCGGAATCATCTGAGCTTATGCACGACACTTCTTTACCTGAAAAAGTTCCATGTAACAATAACAATTTTTGAGATTTGTCTTTGGTTCTTTTCATAGATAAAATGAAAAAACCAATGTTTACCTTTGAAATCATAGAGAGAACCAAGTTTAACGCCGGTCGCCAAGTCCCATAAATACACAAGTCCATCTAGTGTGCCTGCTACTCCATAACCAGAGACTGTTCCGGCTACATCAGCCCTGTAAACCAGAGATCCACAGCCAATGAATAATAGATTTCGAAATGTTAACATTCATTCTTCTTTACTTCTAATCTAATCCTCAAATCAAAACTACTTTACTCGGGACATGGAGATACCAGAGGAGCATAAGAAATAAAATAGCAGGTGTGATACCTTGGATCTAGTTGAGTTCCAAATATGACTTGGTTTCTCACAAGCAGAGCCAATCTCCAACATGTAGCAGGACTTTCAGGGTTAGATTTAGCGTCTGCGTCAAGATCGGTAGAGACTAAAAGCCAGATGGCGGTATCTTTGACTTCAGCTGGTACCAATGTTTTGTTGTTGACCCCTTTTGAGAACCACAGTTTTGTTGCAGCTAAAATCATGTCCATTTGATCCTCGATTGTAGAATGACTATGTACAGGGTGCCAAGCAAACAAGCTGGTTGGGATGAACTCAAAGATCAAATTGCTGGGACATACAAATCTTGATACTAGGCATCGCTTTGAGATATCCCTAATTCAAGAATAAACAAGGTAGGTAGGCTGCAACAGTGGAGAAAGGCAGAAAAATGGAAAGGAAAATTTGGTTGATCATCATCATTCCTTAGCAGGAATAATGTTTCGTAATTTCAAAAAAAGATGGGCAGAGAAAAAAACTTCAAAGATAGAGGGAGAAAGCCAAATACCATAATGTCAATTCTCCAATATCATTACGCCCGATAACGAGATGAGGACATTTTGGGACCTTCTTCAGTTCCACGATGCATGGAGATATGCAAGGATTCACGAGTATAACGAACTCTTCCGTAGGATCTCTGCAAATTTAGGAGAAATGAACATTAGCAGAAGGTCTAATGATGATCCAGCCTGCATCTCCACACACAAGAATGATATGACAAAGTCATGAGAGCACCTCCACTGCGAGTTCATGGCCCAGACTATAAGGTTTCCACTTTTAACTACTGCAACGAGATAGTTAGGATCGCACACCACCGCGCACTGCACGCTGTCAACTGCTTGAAGTTTTGTCACAAGAGTAACATGACCAGTTTTCACCTGGACAATCCTCACTGCATTCTCCTCGAAGCAGGCTGATGCACAAGTCAAACACGAGCAATCAATTTCCCTTTTCCTGCAAAAAAGAAAAGTAATCCCTTAGCTGATATTCTCGAACTGTATCTCTGTACCGTATGTAACAGTAAACAGATGTCCGAACCTGCAGTAAGGAGTTTTGATGTTGCCAGTAAAAATAAGATGTTGCCCGTCTGGAGTAAAGTGCAAATAAGATCTCTCAAGTGTTCTCTGAGGAAATGTAACAGCTATCAGATAACTAAAGAGTGAAAGCAAGATACGGTATAGCAATCACGGAGTTCAACAAAAGAAGAAACTAGGAAAAAGACTTACAGGATTCACATTTCCACCAGATTTGTCATCCACGATTGGGAATATGGCAGGTGTGTGACCAACGATAGAGGGGAATCCTTTGGTTGGTGATTTAGCTGATATCTTGTACATAAACAGGGTTCTAACTCTATCTTCTGTAGCAAAGCTCAGCACACAAATATAGATATCATTAGCAGCAGACTGAAGTGATACTGATGAAACAGGCATGGGATGAAAGTAGCAGCCAAGCAGCTCAACTGTTTTTTCCATCTTATCGTTGATCTTAATATCTCTGCTGAGCTTTAAATTCGAACTAGCTGGAAATTCCGGCACACTGGAGATGGTTTTCTCGCTGGTATTATCCTTATACTGAGACTTTGTAGAAGGTGGTGCAGAGACTTGGATGCCCAATGCCTCACCAGTATCGGCTTGAAATTCCTCAACTTTTGAAGCTGGAAATGAGGATGGTGATATACTTGCATTTCCAAAATCATGAGCTGTTCTCATATCCGGTTGTACCACACACATCTCATTGCTTGATACATCAGTGGAGTGATTGTTGTTATTCACCTTCATCAACTCAGGACCCTGGCATTGCTCTGTTACATGACCACTTTCATCCTCCAGTGGATTTGTGCTATCTGATACAGATTTGGTAGGCAAAGTCGGCTGAAGCTCCAAGATACGTGGGATTTTAATAGGAGACATTTTGCTTATGCAATCATTATCTCCAGTATTTCTGCAGCTTTGTTTACTTTCCGAGGATGAGTTTCTGTTTCTTAGCTGTTGACTGGTCGAGACTCTTTTCCTGCTATACACCTTATGTTTTTCTTTTCTGATCGAACCAACTTCAGTAGGGGATGTGCCAACCACGAAACCATTACCTGCAGGAAATTAGACTCGTGTTTATATTAACAGTGGACAGATACAGTCATGCAAAGCATTGTGGGCGTGGAGGCAAATGGTGATAAATTTAGCTTACTACCTTCAGTAGAACAAGATTTACTCTTCGGTTCCTTGTATTCAGAGCGGTGTTCTGTTTGCATTAAGTTTCCTTTTGCTGCACAGAGTTCCTCAGATTCTTGGGATAAAATCATGTTGGTTGTACTAGCGCAGTGTGGTATTGACATGCACTTCTTCACACATCCGTCTTGATTATTTTCTTCCAAAATAGTACTAACATCATGTGAAGACGGGTTTATGATTTCAATAGTATCCAAAGCAGGAACCAATAGATTTGCATTTACTATTGCAACTTGTTCCTTATCTATGGTCGGACAGGCTTCCTTGCAAGAAGAGATGATATGACCACTTCCACGAGCATCCAAGTGAGGTTCATCAAAGCTATCCGGGACAATGGACACATTACTTGTAAGATCCTGAACAGAATTAAGAGAAACGACTTGCATGTTCTCATCATCTCCACTGCATGTTCTTATCGACAGTGACTCAGCTGCAATTTGTTTTTAAGAGAATTATGGACTATAGGATAAGGGAATATACTTCAGAAATGACAGATTGTGTGCAAAAATATCACGAATCTCAATTCGAAACAGACTATAGTTCATGCATTTTGTAGGGGTTAAGTATTACCGGCTCCTGACGCATCATCAAGTTGGCTCGTTTTGCAGTTGTCTGAAGAGATATCATTTTTTTTGGACTTCTTGCGAGAGGCTTTCTTGAGCAGTGGTATTGCTTGAGGAAGTAGAAACGAGATCATTGATGTGACAGTTTCCTGATGAGCTGAATCAGTCAAATCTTCTGCATTTGGTTCAGCTGAATCAGCTACATGCCCTTCATCGAGTAACATGTCAGCGAGGGTCAATTCTTCTTTTTGCTTACAACTTGTATTATCATCAATATTTGGAGCAGAACTTATGGTGCTATCTGCAAGAATTGGCCAAAAAGAAATCCAAGAAAAGATGCAGCCATAATGATGACAATCTTCTTACATGCATATTGGGTGTTAAACAAGTTAACAAGAAGAATGAAAAGCTACTAACCTTGTAGAAATTCCAAGGTATCGGGTGCACAGAGATTGGAACCATTCATATCTTGGCTCTCGTGCAGTAATATATCATCGTTGGGTTTGTTTTCCTTTTCTTGCAACTCATGAGCCTGAAAAAAATTTAGATTTATCTTGTTCAAAACCACTTTCCTGGAGAAAAAAACTGCACCAGTCTACAGCGCCAAATTTACAGGAGAGAAACAACTCGAGAAGAGTTGTTTATAAACAGAAGGATAATCCTGAATGGAATACCTCTATAGAAATTTTGGACAATGGCGTTGATTTACAGATGTCAGGAAGTCGGTCTGTTTCTTGGATAGGGACGGCTACTTTCTCTTGTGGTAGACTCTCTGATGGTAGATTTGAATTTTCATTAGTAGCATGACTAGAATGCAACTGCTCTGGCGGTGCTCCTTCAAGGCCAACCATCTCCACTTCTCCTTTTGCTGAACAGACTGACACTGGCGCTGAGTCTAAAATCTCGCAACCAGAAAATGAGCCTTGTAATCTTGGCTTTTTATGGCTATCTTTTACTTTCGAATCTTGGTGTGATATTTCAGGCTTTTTGCTTCTCTTCTTTCTAGCCACTGGCTTGTCCAGATAAGATAATAAAGTTGGATTTTCACACATGACTGGCCTTTCATCATTGATCGGCTTTTGAGAAACCTTATCGCTGGAGCTAGATTTTACCATGCAGTGGGAGTTGGTCACAAGTTCCCGGAGCAGCCTCTGAACCAACCGGTTTTTGAAACCAAAAAACTGAAGCAACAAAAGAAAACACAGTCATCTTAGACAGCAATTAAGTAATCAGCCCGATCACAGTGGTAAGATCAGAATAACTATAAGCCAGGTGATAGTACTAGTGACCAACAACCAAGGAAGGCCTGAAAAGCAAAACATTTACAGAATTCTTAAACTGATCTGTCGGGTATATACTAAGTGTTATGGCTTTTTTTCATGTAGTAACTCAGAACTGAGAAGTCAAAAATGCAAAGTTACTAAAGGAAGCCTATACAAAAGACCTCCTTATCAGATAGAAAAAAACGCATGCTCACACCTTATATAGCCCCACATATTGATTGTATCTTCTTAATCCGATTAGAAGTGCGCCACTTATACAATAATGTCCCATGACTTAAAGAAAATGCAGAGTCTAATTGTCCTCTAAAGCTCACAAACATACAAATAATGATCATGTGTATTCAAAAGCTTCGCTAATTAATCTAAACAACATGCATGAATTTTTTAAAAGGCAACGACACATACTTGACTTCGAGACATTTGTTCTATTGTAAATTGGTCCTGGTTATAAAAGTAACAATACAAGATGATCACAAAAAGAAGACTGAGATGTACCTCCATGCCGTTCATCTTACAAGTAAATCGTTTTCCATGCCATACTTTCAAGCCTGGTTTCTGGAACTTCCCCCATGCGATTTCTGGGGTCTGTCCCGTCCATGATTCAGCCAAATATCTAATCTGCATTAACAGAGTAAGAATCTATGAACAACCTAAGAAAGTATTGGACGAAGCAACTTTCCAAGAGCTTTATGGAATCAGCAGCGCACCAGAAATAAAGGTCCCTTGGCACCTTCTTCAATCTCCATGTAAAATGTGTTCTCATTGTGAGCTCGAACAGCTTTGTAGCCCACAGGATAAGGGAAACGATCTTTTCCCTAATGAAAAGAATAAAAAAGAGGCTAAATAAACAGAAATTCTGCATACATACCCAATTGTGCATTCACATTCCTATTATATTCCAATTTACATCCCCAGCTTAAGGATCTAGCCTCAATACTATACAGTTCAATCAGAATTGCTCAAAATCAGAGAGACCATAACTCACTATACTGTTCATCTTTCCAGATATCCATCGCGATTCATTGGATCAAAGGCATATCAGCTCAATCGAAAATTATCAACATGGAATCGCAGTAATCGAGTTCGATTTTTTTTATCATTTTCGAAGAAATTAGATGCGGAACACAGAAATTTAGAGAGAGCAAGCGAGAAATTAGCGAGCAGAAGAACCAACCCTAGAAGAGCTCCAGTACTTCTTGTCCCAGGATCCGCTATAGAGAGCTCCGACGGAGACGATTTGGAGGTCATCGGATTTCCTATCGCCGGAGACGGCTAGTGGACTCGCCATTGATAGTCTGAAACCACGATATTGCAGTACTGGAAACTGGGGGAGTGGAGATGAAATCGCGACGCCGGAGATCGGAGATACACCGAAGAAATGCGAGGGAAACTGAGGGATTATGCTTTATTGAGTCGCGGGAAATAATAGTTTTTCTCCGTAACCATAAAAAAACAAACTAATACCACTTTAGTATGACTATGGTTTATCTAATTTACCCTTCTAAGCATATACTAAAGTGGTATTATCGTATGATTAATTTTTAATGAATTTTAAATGAGAGTACACTCACTTTAATTGGCTTTTGGGCTTATAAAAAAAACTCTTAAACAGGATACGAAAGCTCATGATTCATGGTTAAAGAAATTTAGCACAAAGAGACATTTAAATTACTGTCATAATCCGAGAAGAGTGAGAGATACAAGTATTTCTGATGGCAGTGGCGCACGTATGTTATTATTCAGATAATCAGACCAGAATTTTAATAATCCAACAAATATCCTGAAAACTTTATATTATTGTCAAAACAGTTGTATTTGCCCAATTGTTTCTAATTATACTTGATCTGGAGAAATCAAATTTTTGGTTACTTATTTTAACAGTGTTTTTGAAACCTAAACAATATATTTAAGTTGAAATTGCTTAGTCTATGGATGTTGTTTTCTTTTGATATGTCTTCTATGAGTGAAGTATATATTATCTTTACTAATTTGTTACATATTTTGTTTAAAATATATTGTTTTGTTTGTTTTATTATACTATCTTTAACATCTATTTATCAATCGAAAAACATATTAAAAGATATGTGTAGTAGAAAAATATTTAAAACATAAGAAATATTTGCTCGGTTTTTGCTAAACTATGCCTCAACTAAGCTAAATTTTAGTAAAATATTATATAAGACAATTTAATTGTGTGTTTTATCCAAGAATTCCCACAAGCTTTGGTCCCAATCCATTCTTTGGCTTCAACATATAGTTGTTATTCACTATGCCAAGAACTTGAGATCTCGAGTATGAAGTAAGGAACTCAATCTCAGTCACATAAGGATCTGTTGAGATGATGCTCCATGATATGGTGATTGATGTGATGTATTCCTCACGATACTCAACTTCAAAGTCCACCTAACAAAACAATGCAGTTAAAGGTTAAAGACAACAACACAAGACTTGATATTGAAACACTTGTTCTATTGTAAATTGATCAACAAATATAAACTACTTCCTTGGCCATTAGTAGTAGACCCATGTTCTCTGATCTGAAAGTGATCATCTTCCACATATTGGATCCTCATATACCCAATGCCATACATGCCTCCCTTCACAATCACCTTCCTCACACCATCAAATGTGCATCATCAAAGGAGAATCCATTGACACCAACTATAGCAGGTTGCATCTCTAAGGTTGGGCATCTCCTTTTGGCGGCCAATGATGTCAATCCAAACCGATCTCTTAGCGATCAATACCATTTTCCAATTCCTTGTGGTCCATTATGAAACTAATCCTTTGCCACATACTGGATTTGGATAATAGTGATACAATATTTTCGATAGATGGTTTGCAATCCAGGAATCAAATGCACAAGCGTTGTACAAAATTCACCAAATGACACGATGGGTAAAAATGGGAAGCTTCTAATTAAAAACATAACCACCTTTGGGCCTTATGCTTACATATATTATCCATGGATAAAATCTGAATAGAAAATTCTATAAATTATCGGTTCGAACATACATTTATATCAATAACAAACACTTCCTATATCTTTCATAATTCCTACAATTCTTCCAAGATTGATAATTAACCACAACATATATGTTACAACTTTTAATGTATGTAGGGAGTGTCATATCCATAATGAATGAAAAGATTGATTGATGTAAAGCCTACATACCAGATTAGCTGATGATTCAACGTCATGTTTTGGGTTTATCTATATGGAATTTAAGTAAAAAACATGGACCAGTTGACAAATGATGATAATTTGAAACCCATAGATAATCAATCCATACCTTTTTTAGGTAAGTGAAATTATCAGTATCTAATCATATGGTCGAAACAAACTCTGGAACAAGTGAGGATGTATGAAACACTTTCCAAATTTATAAAACAGATTAGATTATTCATCAATTACCAAGAAACTTAATTAGATTACTAGTTTCAAATGTTTTATTATTTAATAACAAGATAAATTTTAAGAAATACACTTATTGGGGTGTTAATTTTCAAAATTATCCCTTTTTAAAAATTTAATATCTAAGGTTGGATTCACTAACCCATAATTATGGTTTAGGTTTTACGGCTTCCGGTCTAGATTTAAAGGTTTAAAGTTAGATTTTAGGGTTTAGAGTTTTGATTTTGGATTTAAAGTTCTTTTGCATAATGAAAAAATGTAATTTTGAGAATACCCTAGAGGCTAGAGATGTAGTTTTGAAAATGTATAAAAAAAAGTGTAATTTTAAAATTTCCCATTTTAACAATCGATGCTTGCTCTGTGTAATATAATGAGTCAACGAGACACTCAAGTGATTTATTCTTGGTCAATGTATTGGTTTTCACTCTAGAATATAAGAAAAATATTTAACTTCTTGGTGTTACATAAAGTGTACTTAATACGAGCTGCAAATTTCTTCCTACAACAAAGTTGAAGAATACAGTGAGAGATTAACACAAAACTAGACCAATTGCCTTGAAACTACCTAAGCCACTCGCATCAATCAACCTTTCTCCTTAAGGATTATGTGCAATATTACATCCCAGTGATCCCATAATTCTGGCGGATGTTTGGTCTGGATTGGGAATGATTCCACCAGCGCCATGGGATATAAGCCAAATACATTACATCTTTAATTATCTTGTGTTAATGCGTTTTACATCATCGTTAAGGGTTGGTAAAGACTCTCAACACAGAGCCAGGTCGAGCGTGGGGCTCTATACAAAACTGTCATCAATCGAGATGATGAACTTTGTCTTCTTCAAAGAGTCAATTCAGCCATTTTCTCATGTATTTACCCTCTACGAATATCGTCCCAATAAAAAATAAAAACAAGACTCACTTTTCAATGTTAAACCAAAATTCGTTTTCTTTTTAGCAACGATGTAAATATATATATTTTTTAAAATATCCCAAAATAAATAACTTAATTCCTTGTGCCAGGGAAGTGTTTTGTCCGTACACAATCTTATCTATAAACAAATTAGCGTCATAACCACCATTCAAAGATGAACACCAAGACTAAACTCTCAATACCTCACTCACGAGCAACCACAAAGAGTTGTTTACCAACGTTCTTACCGTGGAAGAGTCCTCTTAAAGCATAAGGCCCGCTCTCAAGTCCTTCGGCTATGTCCTCAATGTACGTTATCTTTCCTTCCCTTATGTGAGGAAGCACAAAATCCAAACAAATTGAGTATTTATCGTAGAAATCAAAGACCCTAAACCCTTGAATCTTTATCATCTTGTAAAGAATGGTGGGTAGGTTGTGTACGCCTTCTAGATCCACTAAGTTATACTGAGAGATCATTCCACATACTGCGATACGACCAGCTCTTCCTTGTAGTTGAAGGCTTCATCAAAACCAAACTTTGTCTTGATAAGATCAACCTGAGAATTAGGTGTCATAAAGAAGGATAATGGGCAAATCATTTTCTTGATATAAATGCGTTAGTTAATCATTTTGATAAGTAAAATAACGTAGACTTTAATTATAAGTACATTTTCTCTACTACCGGCGCTTCCGACGACATAACAACCCATCATCTATGCAAATTGTCCCACAAGCTGACCAACTGCAATGGATGCAGCAGAGACAAAGACAGTTTCTCCTTGAATAGGTGAACAAACTTCGTAAAATCCAGCATAGGGAGTCATACCAGGCATACCTGTTTAGGATCAAATGAAAACAATTAGAAACACTAAGATCTTGATTTTTCCAACATGTTAATTTATGTTTTTTTACATTTACATGTGGAAAAAACCATATTTTTTTATGTCAAACACAAATGAGCGTTACGCAAAACATATGTATTGTTTCTAAGACTTCATTTTATAAACACTAACGCAAACAAACATTCCTGGAAATTAGCTATTGAAACTCAAATGAAAAAAGAAAGCACAACCAATCATAACCTATATATTTGTTTTGAAAAATTGTTACTAAATTCGTTAGCCATCCAAACAAAATTTTAAATGATTGTTAATAGAAATTTCACTAACTTGTGATGATTCATACATTATTGCAACACCGGACCATAGCTAGCAACCTCAGGATACTCAACTTCAAAGTCTACCTAACAAATCAATGCAGTTAAGGTCAAGTAATCAGAACCAAAAGCAATCAACAACAATATGGGATTGATCATTCAAAAGTCAGAAATTCAAGGATATCAAAGGCAGCTTGGAAACAAAAGACCAGTAGAGGCCTCCTTATAAGAAAAACAAAACGCAAGATATATATATATATATATATATATATATATATATATATATATATATATCCACACATGCTGATTGTATCTACTTATACCGTAATGTTCCATGACCTAAAAGAAAATGCAGATTGGTCACAAGCATACAAATAGTGTCTTCAAAAAATTCTCCAAAAGATCTCAACAACATGCATGCATTTTTGGAAAGGCAACGACACAGACTTGATATTGAAACACTTTTCTATTGCAAATTGATCAACAACTATAAATTACTTTGGTACCTCTTCTCCTTGGCCATGCGTAGTAGACCTCTGTTCTCTGATCTGAAAGTGATCATCTTCCACATATTGAATCCTCATATTACCCTTCACAGTCACCTTCCTCACACCATCATCGAAGGAGAATCCTTTTGCACCAACTATAGCAGGATGTTTCTCTGAGGTTGGAAATCTCCTTTTGGCAGGCAATGATGCCAATCCAAACCGAGCTCCTAAGGAGTTGATCCTTTCTCCTGAGGTTCCAACAAACCCAAGAAGCTTCTCCATCTTTCCTCCTTGAGGCTCCAAGACAAATGGAGTGCTTGTTAGTGTCCCTTGGTCTAGGTCTAGGCCCAACCATTGTGATCTCCCAGAGGATGTGAGAAATGTGAGGCTTGACACAACACAAAGCTTGTGTTGAGTTTAGTGTCGAAGTTGTGAGTGCCATTGAACTCGTCCGGGTATGCAACAACAAAGTTTGCCCAATAAAACAAAAGATCAACATAATAATATTAAATAATCATATCATTGTTTACTAACGTAAAGAATAAATGTGACACGGTTTTATCATTGTTTACTAACGAATAAAAGAAAAAGTGACTCGGTTTTATCATTGTTTACTAACTAAAAAAAAGAAAATGTGATTCGGTTTTTAATACCTTGGCGTACAAGTTGTTTGCCATTCCATGCACTCGAATGTGGAACTTCTCCTTTGCCACGTATTGGATCTCTATGCCAGTGATGCCGAGGCTGTCCGTGTGTACACGCCACCGTCCGCACACATTCGAAAGATCCATCGTGAAATGGATCTCCGGAGCTCACCACACCAAAAGGTCCCACCGTCTCTCCCTTGGCTTGCTGCAAATTTCAAATAGGAATGTGAAATTCACATCTCATGTTGATGATTAATACAATGTTAATTTACACCAACAAAGAACTAAAGCAGAAAATTCGTTAAAGTATAGAAACATGCAAAATATACCAGAGATGAAGCTAACTATAACATGCAACACTCGGTTGTGAAACATGCAAACTATAACATGCAACACTCGGTTGTGAAAATTTCTCACAAGATCGCTAAGATAATGAAGCTAAGCAGAGTATACACTAGACAAGATAATGATCAACTAACCTCAAATGCTCTACCAAACCATTAGAAATATAATGTACAAGTATTGTACAAAATTCACCAAATTACACGATGAATGAAAATGGAAAACTTCTAATTAACCACATAACCATCTTTGGCCCCTATGCTTACACATCTTATTATTGTGTAAAATCTCAATGGTTTACTCTCACAAATCATAGCCATTACAACAATTAATGGAGCATCATTTGCATATGTAAATGTTGTCTTTTTCCTCATGCCTAACAAAATTTAGTGGTTCCGATCCATATTGTCTAAATATAGTTCGTGAAAATAAAAACACATGTTAATCGATTATGTAATGAATGTTCATACATATAAATTTATCGACATGTTAAAACTTTCAGAAAAAAAAAACGCACACTTAGTAATTTTTCATCACAATATATTTGCAGTTTTCTTGTCAAATATTATTATATTATTTGCATGAATAATGCAAGGACCTTAAAAGTAAACTATATTTATGGTTAGTAATTTGGTTGGTAATTATTATAATAAATTAATGATTTAATTTCATTGTTATTTTTTACGGAGATATTCCACCCAAAGAGCTTAATTTGGTGGTCTTTTAGGTACAAACACTGCAAATCCAAAGTTTGGACATATATATTTCCATGTATGTCTCGATTCCATTAAGCTGCCAATTCAGCCAAGAGCGTCCCAATAAAAAGTAAAAACAAGGCTCACTTTTCAAAGTTAAACGAAAATTAGTGTTCGTTTAGAAACGATGTATATATATATATATATTTTAAAAAAAAATATATCCCAAATAAATACTTAATTCCTTGTGCAAGGGCCGAGGGAAGTGTCTTGTCCGTACACAATCTATAAATTAGAGTCATAAGTTCATAACCACTATTCAAAGATGAACACCAAGACTAAACTCTCAATACCCCTCACTCACGAGCAACCACAAAGAGTTGTTTACCAACGTTCTTACCGTGGAAGAGTCCTAACAAAGCAGAAGGCCCGCTCTCAAGTCCCTCGGTTATGTCCTCAATGTACGTTATATTCCCTTCCCTTATGTGTGGAAGCACAAAATCCAAAAACTTTGAGTATTTATCGTAGAAATCAAAGACCCTAAACCCTTGAATCTTTATCCTCTTGTAAAGAATGGTTGGTAGGTTGTGTACGCCTTCTGTATCCACTAAGTTATACTGTGAGATCATTCCACATACTGCGATACGACCTTGCGACTTCATGTTTACTAGAACTGCATCCAACATTTTGCCTCCCACATTCTCAAAATATATGTCGATCCCTTCCGGAAAACATCTAGTAATATAAGTTATGATTTTTTTAGATTGATTCATATATATTATATAGATGATTCGTGTGTTTGCTGACCTCTTTAGGGAAGAACTAAGGTCCTGCTCTTCCTTGTAGTTGAAGGCTTCATCAAAACCAAACTTTTCCTTGAGAAGATCAACCTGAGGGTTAAGTCTCATAAAGAAAGATAATGAGCAAATCATTTTCTTGATATATATGCGTTACTAATTCAGTTTGATAAGTAATACTGTATAAAGTAGACTTTAATTATAAGTACCTTTTCTTTACTACCGGCGCTTCCAACGACATAACAACCCATCATCTTTGCAAATTGTCCCACAAGCTGACCAACTGCACCTGATGCAGCTGAGACGAAGACAGTCTCTCCTTTTTTAGGTGAACAAACTTCGTAAAATCCAGCATAGGCAGTCATGCCAGGCATACCTGTTTAGGATCAAATGAAAACAATTAAAAACATTAAGATCTTGATTTTTCCAAAATGTTAATTTATGTTTTTTTACATTTACATGTGGAAAAAACCTTCTTCTTTTTTATGTCAAACAAAAATGAGCGTTACGCATTACAAATGTGTTATTTTCTAAAATTGCTAATTATAAACACTAACGCAAACAAACATTCCAGGAAATTAACTATTGAAACTCAAATGAAAAAGAAAGCACAACCAATCATATCCTATATATGTTTTGAGAAAATGTTACTAAATTTGTTAGCCATCCAACCCAAATTTTATATGATTGTTAATTAGTAGAAATTTCACTAACTTGTAATGAAACAGACACTATTACAAGACTGGACTCCTATGTTTCCTGCTAAACATTCGTGTCTAAAGAAATAAATTAAGAATCTCATAGCCATGCCTTTGCACTATCAAACCAAAAGAGAAAAAAACAAATTATTGAGCATCACATTGCCATGTTTTTTTCACAAAACCAAGAATGGGATAAGATACCAAGAAGTCCAGTGTAGTAAGATAATGGAACATCGGTGTGGTTGATCTTGAAGTGTGAGTAAGGAGTTAGAGTAATAACAGTGTACTCCTCCCATCCAACTAGCCCCCAAAGTAAGTCTCCCTTTTTGTAATCTGGATGCCCTGAATCTATCACCTTAGACACTCCAAGCCCAACGATTGGCTGCACACAACACATTGAAATTGACTTAACACGACGGCTTGAAAAATAAAAAGAAAAACAAAAAAACACTCCCAAAGTGATATATTCATAAGAGACACCTTATATTTACATGTGACTAATATAATAATATTTAAATGACATAAGATAACCAATGCAATAAACACAAATTATATAGTAATATAACTAGATTCAAAAATCAATAAAGATCTCCAAATTTTTCATAGAACATTGGAAACATATATTGTCGTCGTTCGTACCTCGCCGGTAATGTAAGGTGGAACGAGCGAATTAGCCAAGGGATCGGGCTTTCCCATGCAAATGCGCATGTAAGGATCGCAAGACAAGTAAAGATTCTTCACCAGCACTGATGTTGATCCTTCCGGAAGCTTTAGGTCGATGGTGGTTGTGGTGATGTTTAGATCGGATTCTTTCGGAAATCCACTCACATATTCTGGGAATATGATTTGCTTGTTGGTTGTGGTCGCCATTTTCTCCGATTTACGTACCTTTGACCACTAAGATGATTTCTTCTTCTTAAGTACGTCGATATATGACGTGTCTGCTTTTCTTTGGTTTCTCAATGCTGGTGTGATCATATACCATTTGGTGTCTCTGTCTCATTGTTTGATCCAATTTCTTCGGGAGATCGTAAGATAAATAACTAAATACTGACTACATTTTTTCTTGGTCAGATCATATACCACCACTAGTAGTATGTCTTGGAAAATACAAAAATAACCATGAATTTTTTTATTAAATTTATTTAAAATAACTATCTTATTTTTAAAATACAATCAATTGTGCTGAGTTATGTTGATATTAGAAAGAAGATGTGTAGATTTGAAAATGAACACCTAGAGATGTAGTTTTGAAAATAGAAAAACAAATTAAATGGACATCTTTTACAACTGAAACTGCAAACTGGATGTTTTAATTAGTTTTTGAGAAATTTTCATTTCTATTCTTATTTAGTTTAGATGGCAAATAAGTTTATTGATTAAAATTTATATTGAAAAAACACTGTTGTACGTAATTTTGAATTTATGAGCGACAACCAAAATGTCTCAAACCAAAACTTAAATATTCTTTTCTTTTGCTTGCCAACAACCTATAATCTCTTAAATTTATGGAACTCTCAGGCTTTGTTGTCGTATAATGGTCAAGTACGTACCACCTTAGATTGATTTTCTAAATCTTTAAATTTTTATTTTTGTCTAGATAATTCTTTGTTCACAAGTATTATTTTAGTAGTACAATAAACTCAAAGAGAAAAACAATCCAAGTTGAGCAGTTGCAACTTTTCAAACATATACAAGATATATAATGGACAAAGGGGAGTACCGCATATGTAAGAAAGATGTTCCATAGTGGAGATCATCGGATGCTGTCGCTAAGAGCACGATCTTTAGATTCTTTTAGTTTTGCTCTAAATGTCATATTTTGTTAGCTTTAGTCGCACTTGCTTGCATCCTATCTCCATATACTATTGTGATCGATATGCTTCATGAGCCAGCTTTATACAACTAGAAGATCAGGTTCTGGTTTCATATTCTCAGTATGATGCTGACCTCAATCATCCAAAGTCTTTACTCTTCAAACATCAAAAATCTATCGAAAACCGCTTAACATGCAAATTTAAAAATCCAGTTAATATCTCATAATATGGTGACACAAAATTCTGGTCGTTTCCAAAAACCAACGTGAAAATCTGTTGAGTCAACAAAATACACAGTTGCTAATTGGTGTTCAACTCTACTAAGAAACATCTATCTCTACATTCACTGTTACCGCCGAACAATTAAAACTCTATAGGTACTTTCTTATTTACTTACTTTCACTTACTTGCTTGCTTACTTACTTACATCCCGAAAATTAATATTTCAACAACAAATATAAATTAGTAGACTAGGCAAATTAAATATTTTTAAATATAAGAAATCTACAGAGAAATCTCCGCCGTCAATGCATAGCGAAAGTGACACGGCTCCGTGATCAGAAACACATTTTTCACGTCATGAGACGTCGATGACCAATTACTGTTAGGTACTATTTTTGTCTAATTTAAATACTTAATAATTTTTTTTAATCGTCTCACCTTAATATACGAGAAAACATAGACTCGACAGTCGACAATAGGCAATGGAAGTCCATTCAGACCAATGAGAGGTCGATAGCACATCCTAAAAGCCAACTGTGGTTTTCTTCTTGGCCTAAAACCAGCTTTAGCTTTCGTTAAAACCGCTCTTTCCAAAATATCTTCTCTTTAAATAAAGAGTGATAGAAGCAACTCTTTCTCATTGTCATTTATCATTGAAAAGGAAAGAATAAAAACTTTCCTAATTAGATCAAGATCTCGTCGTCCTCTCTCTACTTCTCTTTTGAAGTTTTCTTATATAAATTGATTTATTATACGAGAAATGGGAAGGGGTAGGGTTGAAATGAAGAGGATAGAGAACACGATCAATAGACAAGTGACATTCTCGAAAAGAAGAGCTGGTCTTCTGAAGAAAGCCCATGAGATCTCTGTTCTTTGTGATGCCGAGGTTTCCCTTATTGTCTTCTCCCATAAGGGGAAATTGTTCGAGTACTCATCTGAATCTTGGTAATTACATAATTCCCTTTTTCATCTTCTTTGCTTGCCGTCATTAATAGTTTCTGGGAGTCCTCTCTTATCTTTCTAAAAGTTCATATTTGTATTTGATCACTTGGATCTACGAGCTGATAATGTTAGTCAAACAATTTCAGAAACTTTTAATTGATATTAGAATATGATAATTTTAGGGCTTAATAAGATGAAGTCATGAACCCTAGAATACAGTATACTTTGTTTTCCAAATGTTTATGTTCTTATTAGAATTACAATTTACTAAAATTAAAATCTTAGGGTTTAATAGGGTTAATTAAGGTGTTCGAGCAAAAAAACGAAGTTTAAGGTGAGGTGATATGATTTATAAGAAATAGTTAGTATCTTCTTGAATCTGAATACGTAGTTTTTGATTCAAGTCGAGAGTTAAGGTGATTAAATTATGAAGGACCAATGTTTTATGTTTATGTTCCAAACTAGCTAGGGTTTTTTTACCCTGAAATCGAGGAATGATATTCTTCTGCTTAAATATTGTACAATACCCATTGGAGTCTGTTTATGGACCATAAACAAATTATTTAAAGAATACAATTTAATTTAAGTGTTTGTAGGTATAGATGAAACTAGAACTAAGGATGTGACATCTAACTCTAAGTATAGATAGTGTTTTAGTTCTAGGGATCAATGTAAAAAAGACCATTCTTTCCAACAACTTCTCCGTACCGATTGTCAAAATTAGGTTCAACAACTGTTTTTCTTTTTGTTAAAGACTCAACAACTGTTTTTCTTTATGACAATATATAATAAGAAAAAAAATCGACAAATTATTTATATGCTTATTACCTTATGCCATTTCGTATATGACGTCCTTATAAATATCTTAAAGAACAAATTTTGCTGAAGAATTCAAAACTCAAAGCTGGGGCATATAATGCTTGAGGTATATATGTCCCGTGCTTCAATTCGTCTTTTCTTAGGTGTTGGGCTAGTGATTTAGCTGTTTGGTTATATAATTTTTTTGTAGATATTAGTACTGTTTCTAGGGCTAATGGAGAATTAAAATCATATATTCCATATTTAAACGTAATGTTTAATGGCATAGCTAATTAATTAGGCAACCCTACAAAATTGGATGCTATAAATGTTTTCACATATTTTGGGTGAATGAAAATCATCTAAATAAGTGTACTCTAGTGGAAAACATTGATGGTTACATATACTAAATCTAGTTGAGATGACAACTTCTTAGGTGCATGAATCTAAACTAACCTTAAGCTTATTTAATAATAGCATGGAGAAGGTACTAGAACGCTACGAGAGGTACTCTTACGCGGAGAGGCAGCTGAAAGTTCCTGATTTCCATGTTAATGTATGTTTAACCTCTATCAAACTAAACATCTACGTATATGTTGGATCTTGCATGCGTTTAATTTTGACTTTAATAACATAACAGACGAACTGGTCAATGGAGTATAGCCGGCTGAAGGATAAAATTGAGCTTTTGGAGAGGAACCAAAGGTACTCACATTTTAGAAATGTATATATATATATTTAGTTTTTTTGTCAAAATTTTAGAAATGTATATTAATATATGATATTTAATCTTATTGAACAAAGAGTGATCAGTATGAACAGAAATGACATTTTTCTGAACCAATTACAGGCATTATCTTGGGGAAGATTTGGAATCAATAAGCCTAAAGGAGCTCCAGAATCTGGAGCAGCATCTTGACACTGCTCTTAAGCACATTCGCTCCAGAAAAGTATGCCTATATACATTTATTTAATTTTTCTAAGCATATATACACACAAATTCTCTAGCTATGCATAGCTATCTTTTCGTATGTGTGGATATGTGTAGAAATTAAGCTTTGGCCTATTTGTATGCAGAATCAACTCATGTACGAGTCCCTCAACCACCTCCAAAGAAAGGTACTCTAAATAATTTCATCTCTCAAGTCGTGTGCGTGTGTAACTCATGTAGACCTGATTTCTTTTAAATAAATGTAACACATACATATGAATGTTTATATTACATAAAGATTTAGAAAGAGCGTGCGTGAAAGCTACATATAAAAATGGTGTTATTTTTGTGTGGAAATGACAGGAGAAGGAGATACAGGAAGAAAACAGCATGCTTGCCAAACAGGTCATCATTGTTTTTTGCATTTATAACTGTTTCACAACTATTTTACTATTTACGATTCTACTGTTCTACTCCACTTCAAGCTACCATCTTCTACTCTTTCGGCACCAGCTCTTTTAAGAAAAAGAAGAATCAATAGTTTCTTTTGATTGGTATAATCATTAGGCCTAGCTGCGAGTATAGGTGGACTTTGTCCGTTTAGTATTAAGGTTGTCTCCCAGATTTAAACTTGAACTTTCTTCTCGTAATCATAGTCTATACTCTACACGTAACACACACATTAGCTAGGAGCTCTATTTGAACTAGATACATGATGGTTTGTGCAGAATCATAGTCTATATCTTCTTTAAGTTTTGTTAAGAAGTAATTGAACGCAAGAAAAATTGTAACTGAAAGCGCATTATAAAACTATTTAAGCAAAAGACATTATGATACGTTCTCCAAAAAAAGACATTATGATAAGCTGGGTTTATATATACACATAGCATAAACGTTGGCAGATCTCATTAGTAGTTTGTATTTTATTTGAAAGTACTATACTCCCTCCTTTTCAGAATATAGAATGTTTTAGTTTTTTTTCTTGTTTCAGAATGTAAGATGTTTTAGATTTGTTTAAGGTACTTTTTTCAGTTCAAATTGCAAACTTCAAAAACTATTTATTAAAAGTAATTCAATTCTTGAATTTTTATTGGTTAATATTTATTAAAAATGGTTTATATGAGAGAAAAATGCATTAATTATTAAAAAATAAATATTTATTAATTTGTATGAAATCTCTAAAACATCCTACATTCTGAAAAGAGGGAGTAGTAAACAAGTACTACAAAGCAATAGTTACTTGAATAAATGCAATTAATTAATTACTTGCAAGTGGGACACTAAAATAATGCCTACATATTTATTGCTATATATAATATTATCAGTGCTCTTAGGATGATGATGATACAAGCTTTTAGTCACGAAATTTAAACATTGACGATACATAATTCAGTTGCTAACGTTTTTGGATGTGTGTGAAATCAATGTATATAGATAAAGGAGAGGGAAGGTATCCTAAAGACACATCAAAATCAATGGGAGCAGCAAACCCGTAGCGACCATATACCGTCCCAGCAGCAACTGCAGTTGCATCCTTACATGACCTCTCATCAGACAGCTCATTTCCTAAACATGGGGTAACGGTAGTATTTCATTTTTTACTATTCTAAGATGTTTTTTTTCCTATTGTTTTTACCATAATTAACGTGAAATATGATCATATACTGCGAACTGGTTGCTAGTTAATATAGGCGATCAAGGTGTGTGCATTTTCATGTTTAGGGTTTGTGTTAGGTGTGGCATAAGAGGTTGATAAATGGGAGAAAAAAAAAAGAGAAGTTGTTAATGGCTATGTTATGCAAATAAAGATAATGAGATGGAATGATATCTATATTTATTAATTTGCTATATGATTCTGATTTCTTTCAGTGGTCTGTGCGAAGGACAAGATCCAACGGCGGTGAGGAGGAACAATCTCGATCTGACACTTGAACCCATTTACAACTGCAACCTTGGATGCTTCGCCACATGAATGGACTTCTCCATATATCAATCAAAATTAAATAACTTATATAACCTCGATCCTCTACATGTAATAACAGCAATTTTTAGCCATACACCTGATAGTCCATTTTACCTCAACTGATATACTTTGGCATGTAATCTTTGGGGACGGTTAGAGAAAGAAAAAAGTTACAAAACTATTGCTCGAACCTTTTCTATATATTATTATCTCAGCTTTAAGCATTTCACTGTAACATGATATTTCTTTTTGTTGAAGTACATGTTTCTCTGGTTGTTTAAAAAAAAAAAAAAGGAAAATGAATCTCTTATAAAGTTTTTAACAAATCAAGTAGCTAGCCCACAATTATTTTGTAAACTGCCCACTTAAACTAAGTCCATAACATAGCCCAACTTGAACCAAGTAAATTTGAGAAAAATATAGCACATTCTCCAAGCAGAGCCAGACGTATAGATTATGGATGCCAGAGGCAGTTCCAAACTTAAGCATTGACGTGTTAGTTTGATCGCCCTTTAGCATGTGTAAGAAGAACGGACGACTAATTCAAAAAAAGTAAACTAAGGAAATCAAAAATATGCATAGAACTTCAAAAAAAAATTGAACATTGTTAACAAATAATTTGAGACGTTTATGCATGTTAGTAATCTGTATCACTACTGATTCACTGTCTATACCATATATGCAAAATTTAGTATTTAGACGGATAGTCGGTGGGAATATTAGACGGATACCGATATATTGTATAAATATTATTCGAGGTTTGACTCATTAATTGCTTAGTGCGTGTGTGAGTAACCAGAAACAAGAGGCAGTAGTGAGCCAACGGATAGTCCCGCCCATAGAGACACTTTTGTCAGACGAAGAAACAACCAATATTTCTTGTTATCCCTTCTATATACTATATTATTTGTGGAAATAATTTGATTGTTCAAATATAGTAAGAGAATACACATAAAGAATAAAAGTAGAAAAAGAGAAGATGGTCTACATAAATCCAGAGAAATATTCCACATGGTTTCATCACGAAACTGGGGTACCTTAACATTACATTGCTGACAAGCGACACATAATCAATAAAGACAATAAATTATGTCAAAACTTTCTTATATTAAATAGATCTTTGTTTTTATCTACGTGTACATATAAATTATAGTGCATGTATCATTGCAAAACGACGAATAGTTTAACTTTTTTGTTGTTACTGCACACATAATTCGACAGAATTCTTAAGTGAGAAGTTAGAACTTAGCACTAGGCACTAGCAGAAGTCTAGCACTATATATCGTTTTTGCCTGTATATCACTGCAGTCTAATAATATAGTAGAAATTCTATAAATTAATAATGCTGAGATTTTGATATTTTACTAATTTATAAAATTATTAGTTTATCAATTTGGACTAAAATATTTTTGTGATTAAAAAATATTAGATTCAAAAAAAGTTATAGTATTTTCTAAAGATTTATATAATAACCAAGATTTTGTTTTGTAGAGATTGAAAATTTTAATGATGCAAATTGCATTCTGGTTAATTTTTATATATAGGTTGTATATGACAAAATCGCAAATCCAATTGCTTATCTGGATTAAAGTCTTACCATTCTGAAATTCCGTAAAAATAATTTACATGAATAAAAGTCTATAGTGTTATTTTTTTTGTTCAATCTTATAATTAATTTGAATATGGTAAATAAGTTTAAAATATCGGCGATAAGTGATAAAAACCGGCTGGTATATCGTAAACCGGGAGGGAATTGTAGCGATACGGTAAAATCATTGTCAAAACCGGTCGACCATGGTTTGACCGGTTTAATCGTAAAATTCAGATAAATGTCCGAGAAATTGTAAAATCGTTTGGGCCAGATTTTTTGAATTTGATATCGAGGCCCATATTTTTAGAAATTGAGCCCACATTATCTATTACCATCCTTAATATATTTTTGTATGTTTCAATATGATAAGATAATATCTCTTTTGTAATATTTGTGGGTAATACTATTATTTTTTGTAATAGAAATATTTGTAAATTGGGAAAATTAAAAAAAAAATAAGATTTTTATATTATCTTTTGTATTATTAATGTTTTATGTTATTATAATATTTAAAATATATTAAAATAAACCTAAAATTTCACCCCGGTTAATCCCCGAATTATTAGCGGTTTTTTTCAAAAATCGCTTATCGCTACCCGACCGAATGGTAAGCGAGAAACAAGATTTTGAACATAGATTGCAACTAACAGAATTATATATGTTAAATATATTTTGTTACTTCATAACTTACACATCTCTCACTATTTATGGAATTAAATCTTTCAATTATAATATATTTTGATAATATCTCTAAGTAAATTTCTCATATATAGGGATAAATATACAAGGATGCATTATGACTCCTTCAATAGTACAAAATTTTAAAATATTGGTTATGATTATTCAGTTCATATTTGTTTCCATTTGTAATTGATTTTGAAATAGCACCTACTTTAATTATTAAGAATTTGTTTCTGTTTGCAACATATATTTAACTATTATTATTTTTGTTTACTTCATGTAATATATATACATATCTATATTCTTATAAATACGACAGTAACACATACGCTCTCACTACACTATTTGATTTTTTGTTTGTGTTTTGAAAATTTCAATTGAAGTGTATCATCAAAGATGACTAAAGCCACTCTGCTTGCTATTTTTATGATCTTCATCATTCTAGGTTTGCTTTGCATTTCCCATTCTCTAAACATATTATAAAACTAATTCGTCAAAAATCAACTAACATGTATATGGATCTTCCCTTCAATTCAACATTTTGTTTGTTATTTTTATTACAAAGAAAGTATTATTAATATGTTTCAATTATTTATTAGGGATGGTGACAAAAGAGACGCAAGGACAAAAGATGTGTCGTGATCTTTTAATGAAAACAACATGTGAAACTAATGCATGTGCCAATCTGTGTACCCAAAAGTGGAAAGGAAGAGGCAATTGCATCCAGATGGAGAAGAAAGAAACGAATAGTTGTCTATGCATTTTCCCTTGCAAGATTTGATTATTTTTCTTTGTGATATATCATTAATGAAAACAGTAGTAATAATAATAATAATAATAATAACAATTATAATAATAATAATAATAATGAAATGAAAGAAAATTACAATATTTCCTAAATATATGCTATGTATTTTCTTATTTTACTGCTATTTAGGCATGTGTTCCCCGATTCAAAGGTCGATCAGTAGTAGCAAGTAGCAACGCTAACTGTTATGAAGCATGGATATAGAAACACTAGTTGTTTAAAGACAATATTAAAAAAAATTATTATATTGAATTTTTAAAAATACAAATTTAAAGGCTCAAGGCATAAAAGCTAAACAGAAATAAGTTGAATATAATATGAGTTTTTTTCAATGAGATTTTTTATTTAATTTAGCTATAAGAAGTCTAAATTTATAATCATGGTTCACTTCTTTACACGTTTTCAAGAATGATACAATACCTAAATTGTTTACAAAGTAGATAATTTGTCTGAATTTTAGTACATTCTCATGTCATAAAAAGTTTTTTTTATGTGCATTGATTATATATGAATTGGAAGAACACTACAAAAAATATTGTTTCACATAATTTATTTGCATTAGTTATAAATGATAAATTTTTGAATAGTTTACTAAAAGTTAAATATTTTTTTGAGTTAAACTAAAGTTACTAAAAACATCAATCAAATAAGTTTTTGAGTTCATATTTTGTGTCGATCATTTAAAAATTAAGTAATACACACTAAGTTCTCATTGTATAAGTTTTAGTAAATTAATGTTACAAAGGTAAATAACGGCATCAATTGCTATAATTGATATTAACACATATAGTTTATATCATCTTATCTATAATTATAGAGTTTTTCTCTCTACCTAGATATTCTATAATGTTCAAATCAGCATAAAAATATTAAATATTATTAAATAGATATCTATTCATATTTCTTTACATATTCTTCTATTTTAAACATAGTTAAAATTAAGAAAATACACAAAAATAAATAAGAAATATTATGTATGTGATAACTTGTATTAAAAGTGAAAGAAAATTATAATATAAAATTGATAGAAAGAAATTAAATCTTTTACTCAAAATAGTATATAGTTAGATTTATCTATATATATATATATTTTTTTTTTCTTTTTTTTGTAGAAGATATATCCTTAAAACTTTTATTATAATGTCTTAGCGAATTAAAAAAAATATATAGAATATACTTTAGTAAACCTAGTGGAAAGCTAGTGAAAAATTATATATATAACATTTTAAAAGTAAATAGAAGTCGAGTTATTATATGTAAATTTCATTAAAACAAAAAAGCTAATTTAAAAAAAAAATTGTGACATGACTTAAAAAACAATTCATATTTACAAAACTAAAATAATTTTTTTTTTTAATAATCATCATATTCAAACGCTAAAAAAATTTTTGTAGATATTTTTCCTGTGGATCTCATCTAATATGCTAAAAAACCTTTCACAAGGAAAGACAAAGTATTACTGACTGATATTTTGACATGAGCGTGGCGATTGTGGGTGAGTCGGGAACTTTGGACGGCAAGGTGCAAGATGCACATATGGAGGATGCTGGGGAGAAGGGGAGACCGCCGGGAGAGCCGCCTGATAAAACGGGGTCGTGAGCGCAACGGGTGATGGGAACTAACCTAGGGGGGAGGCCGGTACCGGAGGATTTGGTGGATGATGCGTTTATTGAGGCCAGGCTTTGCTTGGAGTTCCCGGATGGAGAGGATGGAGAACCAGTGATAACGATCGGCGACAAATGGGCTGTGGAAGAAGTGCATGATTGTTAGGGTTTTGGGGAGGACTGTGTCGATCGCGGCGATAAGCAGGAAACTCAGAGAGATGTGGAAACCTAGGGGAGCGATGTATGTTATGGACCTTCCTCGACAATTTTTCATGATTCGTTTTGAGTTAGAGGAGGAGTATATGGCAGCCTTGACGGGGGGACCTTGGAAAGCATTTGGTAGTTACTTAATGGTACAAGCCTGGTCGCCGGATTTTGATCCGTTGAAGAGCGAGATTGAGACGACACCGGTTTGGGTGCGACTGTTGAATATTCCGGTGAACTTCTATCACAAGGCTATCCTAATGGGTATTGCGAAAGGGCTTGGGAAACCGGTGAGGGTGGATGATACAACTCTAAATTTCGAACGAGCACGTTTTGCGAGGGTGTGTGTCGAGGTTAACTTGAAAAAACCTTTGAAGGGTACGGTTTTGGTGAATGGAGAGCGATACTTTGTGTCCTATGAAGGACTTACGAACATTTGTTCGTTGTGTAGTCTGTATGGGCACTTGGTACATTCATGTCCGAGGAAAGCACACAACCCAAGTCCCTTGGTGGTGACACAAACGACTCAGAGGAGTGTGAGTGGTCAGGGAGTCGCGCCGGTGGACGACGGGTTTACGCAGGTCCGGCGAGGAAGAAGATCGGAGCCAGAAGGGGTAAGGCAGGAGGGGACGAAGAATCTAGAACGGAGTGCGATTAAGGAAGGTGATTCATCGAATATTCTCCTTGCAAATAGATTTGGCAATCTTGATGTCAATATGGAATCTGCTGGAAATGGGGTAGTAGATACCACAAATGTGGGAGGGAGCGTAACAGAGGCAAGTAGGACCCGGGGATCAGCGGCGAATAAGGAAGATTTTGGAAATAAGGAGAATATGGATCCGTCACGTAAAGACCAAGGGGAGAAGAGTGGAGAACAAGTTAATGAGGTGGTGTTTAACTCTAAATCGGGTCGTGGGCTGAAAACAAAAAGACCGATCCAGAAAGGGAAGAAGGTTGGATCAGGTAAGAGTGTGGAGATGGGCCGGCCCAAACAACATACATTAATCAGGCCCACTAGAGGGTTAATTTTTGGCCTGGTTCATGGTAATGAAGCAATCGAGATGTCCGCGAATGGGAAACGTCTTCGGGTTGAACAGACGAGTCCGGGTCGATCGGGAGGATTCGTCGTGACGGAAAGTAGTGAGCTTGCGAAGAATGGAGCCCTGGTTGAACATCAACGAGCCGCTTCATTGGATGATCCGCTGGAGAAGATGGATGATAGTCACTTGGACGAACACGGCGTGTTGGATTTGGCATCGGAGGAGCCGATGGAGAAGAATGGCGCATAACGAGGTGCCCCGGTACTTCTACGATTAAACTACAAGTTTATAATGAATTGTCTTCTATGGAATTGTCGGGGGGCAAACAAACCTAACTTCAGGAGATCGCTCCGGTATATGGTGAAGAAGTGGTCGACGGAGATGTTGGCTATATTTGAAACGCATGCTAGTGGAGAGAGAGCAGGGCAGATTTGTCGCGGTTTGGGCTTTGAGAACTCGTTTATAGTTGATTTTGTAGGTCAAAGTGGTGGTTTGTGGTTACTCTGGAGACAGGAGATCGGGGATGTGGTGATTGTGAACTCAGCGGAGCAGTTTATCCACGCACGAGTGACGAAGGAGACGGAGGTACTACATCTTATTGTGGTGTATGCGGCACCAACAGTAAGTCGGAGGAGTGGGTTGTGGGCGCAGTTGAAGGAAGAGACAAGGTTAATCACTGATCCGGTTATCATTGGTGGGGATTTTAACACAATTGTCCGCTTAGATGAACGGAGTGGAGGGAATGGCAGGCTTTCTCCAGACTCACTGGCGTTTGGTGATTGGATAAACGAGCGATGATGTTGATTGATATGGGGTTTGGAGGCAATCAATTCACATGGAAAAGAGGTAGAGAAGAAAGGTTTTTCGTGGCGAAGAGGTTGGACCGGATTTTGTGTTGTGCGCATACAAGGTTGAAATGGCAGGAGGCAACGGTGACGCATTTACCGTTCTTCTCATCCGATCATTCAGCTATGTATTTGCAGTTGGCTCCTAAAGTAAATGGAAATGCGGGAAGAAGACCTTTCCGGTTCGAGGCAGCCTGGTTGAGTCATCCCAGTTTTAAGGAGCTTCTCGTGGCATCATGGGATGCACATATTGATACGAGAAGAGCACTTGGGAAGTTGGAGGTTGTCCTGCGAAAGTGGAATAGAGAGGTGTTTGGGGACGTGCAGAGACGGAAGGAAAGCTTAGTCAGGGAAATAAAAGAGGTTCAAGATGAGCTTGAGCACCGTCAATCAGATGCATTGATACAGAGGGAAGCTGAGCTAGTGCAAGAGTTTGACATTGTTCTCGAGCAGGAAGAAACGATCTGGTTCCAAAAATCTAGAGAGAAATGGGTAGCCCATGGAGATAGAAACACCACCTTCTTCCATGCTTCTACCATTGTACGCCGAAGAAGGAACAGAATCGAGATGCTTAAAAACGAGGAAGGCATATGGTTGTCTAGTACACCGGAGTTAGAGAAACTTGCGATAGACTACTTTCAGCGCTTGTATTCGATGGATGACGTAGATGAGGTTGTGGAAGCACTACCAATGGATGGGTTCACGGAGTTGAATAATGAAGATATCAGAGGCTTGGAGAAGACGTTCACAGAGGAAGAGATAGTTACAGCGGTCAGGTCTATGGGACGCTTCAAGGCACCGGGACCAGATGGGTATCAGCCGGTCTTTTACCAACAGTGTTGGATGGAAGTTGGCGACTCGGTCACGCGCTTCGTTCTTGAGTTTTTCCGCACAGGTGAGTTACCTCAAGACACGAATGATGCGATAGTCGTCTTACTAGCCAAAGTCGCGAGTCCGGAGAAGATACAGCAGTTCCGACCGATAAGTCTGTGCAATGTTCTATTCAAGATCATTACGAAGACAATGGTGGGGAGGATGAAGCGGGTCATGACGAAGTTGATTGGACCAGCACAATCGAGTTTCATACCAGGGAGACTGAGTACGGATAATGTGGTGATTGTACAAGAGGCGGTACACTCCATGAGGCAGAAGAAAGGTAAGAAAGGTTGGATGTTACTCAAATTGGATCTAGAAAAGGCGTATGATAGAATCCGTTGGGACTTTCTGGAGAACACTCTTCACGCAGCGAATCTTCCAGAGAAGTGGGTTAAATGGATCATGCAGTGTGTGTCTGGTCCCTCTATGAGTTTGTTGTGGAATGGAGAAAAAACTGAGTCTTTCAAGCCGCTCCGAGGGTTGCGTCAAGGAGATCCCCTGTCCCCGTATCTCTTTGTCATGTGTATGGAGAGGCTATGTCACTTAATAGAGCGGAGTATAGATGAGAAGGAGTGGAAACGAATCAGTCTATCACGAGGAGGGCCTAAGCTATCACACATATGCTTCGCGGATGACTTGATTCTATTTGCAGAGGCATCTGTGGGACAGATTCGAGTAATACGCCGGGTCCTTGAGAAATTCTGTAAAGCGTCGGGTCAGAAAGTAAGTCTAGACAAGTCCAAGATATTCTTCTCAGAGAACGTTTCCCGGGAGTTATGCAGTGCGATCAGTGCTGAGAGTGGCATTCAGGCGACAAGAGAGCTGGGGAGATATTTGGGAATGCCTATCCTTCAAAAGAGGATTAATAAGGAAACCTTCGGCTCTGTACTAGAACGAGTCTCATCGAAGTTAGCTAGTTGGAAGGGGAGGATGTTGAGTCTGGCAGGTCGGATTACGCTGACAAAAGCAGTGATTAGCTCAGTTCCCGTACATACAATGAGCTCCATTAAGCTACCAGAATCAATGGTAAAGAGCTTAGACAGAGTTTCCAGGGACTTTGTGTGGGGCTCTACGCTGGAGAAGAGGAAACAACATTTGGTTGGATGGGATAGGATTTGCTTACCAAAATCTGAAGGAGGCCTAGGAATCCGAAAATCTGGTGCTATGAACATGGCGTTAGTCGCGAAAGTGGGATGGAGAGTATTACACGACACTACGAGTCTTTGGGCACGAGTGCTCCGTGGTAAATACAAGATAGGGGATATCCGTGATGCGAGATGGACGGAAGTGAAAGGCACATGGTCCTCGACATGGCGAAGTATTGCTGCAGGGATACGATTGGTGATCAAACCGGCGCACGGATGGGTTGTCGGAGATGGAAGGGATATCAGATTCTGGACAGACAGGTGGCTACTTGGGGAGCCGTTGATTGACTCGGTAATTGCAGAGGTCCCGGAGGTATTTAAAAATATGACGCTGAGGGACTTATGGATAGATGGCACGGGTTGGGACTTACTGAGGATTGCGCCGTTTGTGACATTAGAAAAGCGTCTTGAAATGTCAGTGGTGGTGGTGAATACGATAACGGGCAGGAGAGATAGGTTATCATGGCCCGAGACAAGTGATGATCGTTTTACGGTGGCGTCTGTTTATAGATTCTTGACACGGGATGGGAGTTTCAAACCGGATATGGATCTGTTCTTCAAGAAGATTTGGCGAGTCTCAGCACCAGAGAGGATACGGGTCTTCCTGTGGCTAGTAGGGAACCAGGAGATTATGACGAACAAGGAGCGCTTTCGTCGCCACATTGGAGATACGGAAATTTGTCAGGTTTGTAAGAGTGGTGTGGAATCTATTATCCATGTACTTCGGGATTGTCCGGCGATGCAAGGGATATGGAGGCGCATTGTTCCACATGCGAACTTACAAACTTTCTTTGACATGTCGCTGTTTGAATGGCTATTTGTGAATATGAGCAACGACATTGAGGTGGCAGGAAGGGTCTGGTCCACGATGTTTTCTGTAGGTGTGTGGTGGGCCTGGAAATGGAGATGTGGTAACGTATTTGGAGAGACTATGCTTTGGAGAGACAAAGTAAAATTTGTCAAGGATTACGCGACAGAAGTGCAACGAAGCATGGTGGCGAGTAGCACGACTGGAGCTGTAAACAGGGAGGAGCGGATGATCTCGTGGATGCCTCCACTGGTCGGATGGACAAAGCTCAATACAGATGGAGCTTCTCATGGCAACCCAAGGTCAGCAACGGCTGGAGGTGTTCTTCGGGACGGGGAAGCAAAGTGGTGTGGTGGTTTCGCCCTCAACATTGGTCGATGCACTGCTCCTATGGCAGAGTTATGGGGTCTCTACTACGGTCTCTGTATCGCTTGGGAGAAAGTGATCGAGAGACTCAATGTGGAGGTGGACTCCTCAATGGTGGTGGGATTCATGAAGACAGGGATTTCTGATACACATCCATTGTCATTCCTGGTGCATTTGTGCCAAGGCTTACTTTCGAAGGACTGGGAGGTCCGTATTTCATATGTGTATAGGGAGGCTAATCGTCTAGCAGATGGATTAGCAAACTATGCCTTTTCTTTGTCTTTAGGTTTGCATACTTTTGATGTTGTTCCTCCGGACTTATTGTCGGTTATTCGAGAAGACGAGTTTGGACTCTCGCACTCACGGTACGTCCGTGTGTAAAACTTTTTTTTCTTTCTTAATAAATTTGGGAGCTTGCTCCCGATGTTTCACCAAAAAAAAAAAAAAAAAAAACATTTTTGTAAAAAGTCATACATATTTTTTTATAAAATGTTTCGAGTGCAATTGAGATTCAATACCATGTTTACAAATTCCACCGTCAAGTAAAACGTATGTTAGCCTAATAGAATTGAACAAACAGAAGTATGAAACATGATGGCTAATACAAAACTATCATAATTAAAATATAAATGAATATAAACAACTAAAAAGTTATATAAAAAAATATCGCAAAGTAAGGCTTTAATCCCTAGTTTTACTAATTAGACATCAATATTTAACAAAGAAAAAAACAAATCTAGAGAGGTACAGAGCCCAACTGCCCAAGACAATATATGGCTAACTGATAAAATAAATTCAGCTAGCATCCCTAACCACACTATAATAATAAACAGAATCCTAAATTCAAAATATTGGGGAATATGGTACCTTACTACGTATACTAAATCTGGTTGGTGATTAGACTTTGAGCACGAGATGGATGATGACACCGCACGTGAGGGGATAAGATCGTCGTATAGCTCCCAACTAGCCACTGATTCACCTTCACGTTCACCAGTCCTCTGGATTTAGTCGCCTGCACGACCTGTTTCTTGTCTTCTCCCCTTGGTGGAATGAATTAACTATTGTATGTTAGTTTTATATTTTTATTTCTTTCTTTCTATATTCCAGTATCGATTTTTATATGTTAGTTTTATATTTTTATGTTTGTAGATTTTTTTTTAACACTGGATTGACTAATCTGGATAAATTATTAGTAAATCGCATCTGCCGGGATTTGAAACCCAGACCTTTGGTGTAGAAGCATTAAATCCCTTCAACCACTAAACTAAAAGCCTTCCAATAATTCATGTTTATTGTAGCTTTAGTATCTTAATCGTCGCTTTTTTCGTTGAGGTTAAAAGTGAAATGTAGTTTTGGTTTTCTTCATTTTTGCGAGGATATATATCAATAACAATTTTAAAGATTTCGTTGTCCAAAAGAATGCAGGTGACGTAACCTACTTTCAGAGTATGTGCCTCACATTGCATATGTTCTAGAGACTGTTCAAAATCATATGCAATGTTTTTTTTTTTTTTTTTTTTTGTAAAAGAATCATATGCAATGTTGATGGTGAAGTATATTGACAAAACTGTTCGATTTTTCATTTGGTGGATTTTCTTACGTCCGAAAAATATCTACCCCGGCCCTTGACCCATCTCCACCTCTACTACATCGTGCATAAACATGATGCTTTACAACAATATGTATATTTTTTTATAAAGCCTTTACAACAATATTGGTGGTTTTAAATATTTTGTGTTCATATTTATGGTCGGGTATCTACTATATCATCAATGTCTCATCCTACATCCTATATTCTGCTGATACATATATATTTGATCACAACAGGATCGATATTTTTGAAATTAATATTTAATGAAATCTGAATGTTGTATAAAAAAGGTTTGAAAGAGTGACAGAAAACGACAGCTTATCGTAGTATATAGTACTCAGCGGATATTAATTAAATGACTCTCTATAACGCTATTCTAGGCTTTTCACATGTTTGCTGATTATGGAGCCTTTTTTTTGTTGTTAACTAAATTATGTTGCATACTTTCCACATAGTTTTCGAACATGCTAAAAGCTAGGTTTTTTGCACCAATTTGACCATGTCATAATATGGTAGACCTACGAGATTTTAAATGTTCCAACTTTAACGAGGACATGAGATAACTCAGTTCAAGCACTTGATCGCCATTCTCTTAGATTTACGGGGTCTTGAAACCAAAATGACAGAGGGCCAATCGATTCCATAAAAAAAAGTATAAATGATTGAAATCTTATTTGGGAGCATATATGCCTCAAGCCCTCAAAAGTAATGAAATGAGGCAGACACATCAATAAACAATTATAGTGTTTTTGTTCATCGATCTCACAATATATATATATGGTTTTTAACACCATGCGGAAAGTTACACATAATATGTTGGACCTACCTATACAGTGAACCACTTGTTCATAGAACTTTACTATGAATGCAAATGTTAACAGCGTAATAAATTTCTTATAAACTGACAAGTCGCATACACATTTTGAATTGCAGTATCAACATTGTTATAAAATGTAGATATCAAATACTTCCTCCGTTTCAAATTAGTTGTCGTTTTGGCAAAATGTATCTGCAAATATTTGGACGAACCTGGACGTGTTTTACATTCAGATACGTCCAACTATTTGCAGATACTGTCAAAACGACAATTAATTTGAAACGGAGGGAGTAATATATATCACAATTAATTTGAAATGAAGTGAGTAATATGTATCATCTTTTCAAAAGATTATATAATTAAGGTTGCTTTAATTAATACAGTTGTCTAGTCTAATCATGAAGTGTTAGATAATTGTGTTTCTACCTTTAAAGTGACAATGATTAATTGATTATGATTATGATCTAGTTTAATCTATATTCCGATGATACTCTCAGATATGTCAAAATCACTTGGAGAATACGTCAATAAAATTTTGTTATGTCGGTATTGATCCAAATTTGGGAAATTTTTAATTGGTCCTATCAATAAGGATAATTTTGGTAAGTTAATAAATGTCCAAATGCTTAATCCTATTATCTTGCGGATGAATTGATTGAGATGTTTGACCCAGCCACGTCAAAGCTCTCATCGTTAATGGCCACGTCATCATCTTCTGTTTCCTTGTCCCTTCCCAAAAGGCCGGTGCTCCTCCATCGTACGTTCTTCATTTCGCCAACACTATTCAAATAGAATCGACGGCTGAGATCTTCCGTTCTAGATCCTTCGAATTTTTACGAAACAACAGAGAAAAAGAAGAACGCAAATCTTATTTACTAATTTCCTTTTCTCCTGGGCTTTTTTTTAAGGCTCTTTAACCATGGTTAGTTTTTGACCCTTGGGTTAAGCGGTGGGGTGAGGTTAAATGTCTGTGTAACTGGCGAGAGAGATTGAGCTAAAGAGATAGAAACAGAGAAAAAAACAGCTTCAAGCGAGATTTACCTGAGTCGACTCGGAACGAGTTGATTTTGTTTTCTCTCTACTGGATTCGCTTCTTCCAAGTCTTCGTCTCCGTTTCACTCCGGTCGTTTCACAGATAGCTCATTAATTCGATATCCGATTTCTCGCCGCATCGCATCTCCGCATTTGTTTTCTCGCCGGCGCGTCATTTTCGCTTGTCGTCGAGTCTGGTGAGAGTCTTCTCTTGCTTCCGTGTTCATATGGATTGTGTTGCTCTCTTGAGAAAAATCAAATGGATTCTCGACGCTTTTATTTTTTATTTTTATTTTTATCATGATTTAATTTCTGCGCTTTGGATTTGAATTGATTCTTCAAATATTATATCAGTTTATGATTGTTTTTCGCCGATTAATCGAGAACGATTTTGACATTAGCTCAATGTTAATTTTAGCTTAGAGTTAGCAATGTTAATAATATTTTTGAATCTAGGAAGTTAGATATATTTATACACACACGTATGATGTTCTTGCACAAACGTCTTCGATGACATTCACTACACGGTGTATATATATTATAATACGGTTCCTCTGCAATTAATTTTGTGTGGAAGATTAGCCAAAATCCATAAGCTTTTGTTACTTCCATTTGTTAGTTTTAGTATGCGTCAATGATAAAATTCATATTGTTATTAAAATTCTTGACAAAGTTGATTTTTTTTATTATTTTTGGAGATCTATGCTGTTTTTTTTGAAGTTTTGGTTTTGTGTTATTACTCACTGTCGAGTCAATTCCTTTCTTTGCAGATTGTTACGCTGCTGTCATCTAGGCTTTAACTATGGTAGCTCGACGTGGAGTCTAATTTCATTATTTTAGCTTGAGGATCTGTTCGGTTGGTGGTCCTTTCTACTGCTTAAAAGAATTCTCTCATTCAGCTTTTGGTCTTGGATTTAGTCACCTGTCCCGGAAGGAGAAAGAAAGGAACAATCTTCCGCAGCCATCTGCAAGGCTGTGATTTGTCTGACTTGATCACCACACTCATGTCACGTAAGCTTGACAGTCCAATTCAGACTCAAATGGCAGTGGCACTTGTGAAGAGCCCCCTGAGCGGGGAATTCCGTGAGTTTAACAAGTTAGGAATGAAGACCCCTGTGGGTCGTAGGCGCGTTTTTGTGCAGACAGAGACTGGTTGTCTTCTCGGGTTGGAGTTGGATCGTAGCGACAACGCACACACGGTGAAAAGGAAGTTGCAGGTTGCACTTAACTTCCCTACTGAGGAAAGCTCGTTGACCTTTGGGGATTTGGTGCTTAAAAATGATCTCACATCCGTCAGGAGTGATTCTCCTCTTCTTCTAACTCGGAACAACTTTCACAGGAGTTCATCGACTCCATGTCTTTCTCCAATGACGGCTGATCTTCAGCAGCATAGAGATGAGAGTAGTAGTTCTATTGAAATTCTTGGGAACTCGGTTTGCTCCTCGTTTGTGAGGCAAATGGCGAAGGATATTAAAAAGGCATTGAAGAAGGGCATTGATCCAGTTGCTGTCCATAGCGGACTCGGAGGAGCTTACTTCTTCAAGAACAGCCGTGGTGAGTGTGTTGCTATTGTTAAACCAACTGATGAGGAGCCTTTTGCTCCGAATAACCCCAAAGGTTTTGTTGGTAAGGCGCTTGGACAGCCTGGTTTGAAACGTTCGGTGCGGGTTGGGGAAACAGGGTATAGAGAAGTCGCGGCTTATCTTCTTGATAAGGATGGTTTTGCAAATGTTCCTCCCACTGCTCTTGTGAAGATTACTCACTCGATCTTTAACGTCAACGATGGAGTGAAGGCGGGAAAGCGTATGGATAAGATGCTGGTGAGCAAGATTGCTTCCTTGCAGCAGTTCATGGCTCATGATTACGATGCTAGCGAGCATGGAACGTCCAGCTTCCCTGTTTCGGCAGTTCACCGTATAGGGATTCTTGATATCAGAATCTTGAATACGGACAGGCACTCAGGGAATCTTCTTGTTAGGAAGTTGGATGGTGTTGGAAGGTTTGGCCAAGTTGATTTAATTCCAATTGATCACGGTCTTAGCTTGCCTGAAACTCTAGAGGACCCTTACTTCGAGTGGATTCATTGGCCACAAGCATCGATCCCGTTTTCTGAAGACGAGCTGAAATACATAGCAAATCTTGATCCTTTTGAAGATTGTGCGATGCTGCGAAGGGAGCTTCCAATGGTACGAGAGGCCAGTCTCCGTGTTCTTGTTCTCTGCACAATTTTCCTCAAAGAAGCTGCTGCATCTGGCCTGTGTTTGGCTGAAATTGGTGAGATGATGACTAGGGAGGTTCGTCCTGGGGACGAGGAGCCTAGTGAGATTGAAGTGGTTTGTCTTGAGGCTATGAGTTTGATAGGAGAGAAGGAGGTCGAGTCCCCAAGATCATCAGACTCAGGCGGTGATGTTGAATTCCAGTTCGATTTAGATTGCGAGGAAGCGATGCTTGATAAACCAGCATTCACACTTGGACTCACTATTGGAAACGCTCGTGGTCATTTGTCAAAGGTCGAGGAAGACGAAGAAGAAGAAGAAGACAAAGAGGAGGAGGAAGAGAATGGAAGAGTTGATTCAGTGAAAATGCCGGCGGTTACCAAGCTTTCAATGTCTCTGAAGAACACTCTTCTTGGTGAGAAGAGTCAGAAGTATCAGAAACATCCAGGAGCTAGATCAGAGAGCGCATACGCATCATCTGGACACAGGAGTGCAGACGAACAGATACCATCAAGCACAAGCTTTGTGAAGCTGTCGGATATGAGCGAAGAGGAATGGGCGGTTTTTCTGGAGAAATATCAGGAGCTGCTTTACCCTGCATTTGCAAAGCGGAAGGAGATGACTTTAGGACATAAGCAGAGGTTGGGGACTTCGTGCCAGTTTTGAGATTTCAGAGACTGGAGGAGAAGAAGAAGGATCGTGTTTCTAAGGGCTTTGGTTAAGACTGGACTGGTGGAAGAAGATAGTGAAGAAGAGATTAAGTGGTATGGATTTTAGTGTAAATATTTGTTGGTTTCAGCTTTTAGTGTAGAGGAGATACGAGAGATTAAGAGAACTTAGGTATGCGTCTTTGAATTTGTTTCTTTCATTTTTTTAAAAACTTCTTAAATCCTCATGGCCTCGGTGGTTTCTGCTTTTAGTGTATCCTCTTTTGTTACATAAATAAGTAACTTGTAGATTGGTGACTATTAGTGGCCTGGCCTCTTCTTGCACTCATGTGATTATGTACCCATCCTTTAAAGGATCAAAAGCTTGTTTCCCACTGTTTGTCTTGTTAGTTTTTGAATCTGGACTTTTCTCATCCTTCTGCTTTTTATCTTCTTCATCTTCACCAGATTGCTTAGCTCTATATGATTCATCATCAGCTTCAAAATCCTACCAACTGATATACAATCAGCAAAACAGAAAACCCAAGAAACAAAACACACGCACAAAAAGAGTAGCGCAAAATCTTCACCTTCCCAGTTCTTTTCCTCTTCTTGGAAGATGTTTCCCCACATTTACCTCCACTAAATTGAGAATCCTCTGATCCACTAACGAACTTGATAGCTAGGATTCTTGTCACAACTACGAAGTAGAAAGGAATGAATCTTCTTGGTTATTTGAAGGAGCATTGGAAATTAAAGTATGTCGAGTTGATGAACGATCCATACCGAATAGTTTTGCTCTTATGAGAAGATGATTCCCCTAATCAAGACATAAGTCGGCTTTGTTGTAGAACTATATATGGAGCCTCGCATTCATTTCCTTCCATAAACAATTGCTTGAACCAACAACATACAAATTGTGTTTTATCTTCCCGTTTCTAGATGGCGACTTACACCAGAGAACAATTTCATCAATTGAAGCAGGGATAGCCAGATCCTGGTGAGCAAAGAGACTGCTCTCGAGTAGGCGCAGTTGATAAGAAGATGCTTCTTGGTTTCCGGAGATGATTCACACAGTAAACAGTTTGATGGAACGATGAGACCCCAAGAACTTAATCGATCTCTAGTACGATAAAGAAAAACACACAAAATGCATCTTCCTCATGCTCTTGTCGGTGGAGCTTGAGCAACAATCCTAATGGTTCAATTTTACTATCAGAAACACGAATAATACTTTGATGATGCTCTTCTTGCTGAACCATATAAAATGCAGCTAATGCACTATCAAGAGATAGAGGAGGTGTCATGCATAATATATTGGATTTCTTAGTACCAAACAGGGTAATTTCTCCAAAGTCGTACAGTCGTACTTTTGCTCATGAGATGGCTTCCCCATGCAGCCATTCACGACGATAACAGTGGAGATTTGTTCATATTCAGTAAGGCCATTTCACATGAACTTTGACTGGGTTACAAGTTGTATGCATGATGCATCGACCGCCATTTGGAGTTCATAGATTGGCGACTCGTTAATTTCTAAAGAAAAAATACTTCTTGTTTTTTTTTTTTACTAGAAGTTTTGGGCACGTAGAAAAAACTACTTTCAAGCTCCCCAACTAAATTGTAGACTGTGTTAGCACATGAAACGTTACTACGAAGTTTTAGAGCTCAGTTGTATTCAAAATGCATGCTACATGTAACATGTGGTATATTACATTTATTTACTAGTACTAAATCATCTCCATTTCTAAATTTAAATATTCTGACATGCCCTCTCGAAATGATAAATTCTTTTTGGTTCATTTATTTTAGACCAAAATCCCACTAGCGTTTGGTTGTATTTGTTTGAGCTTGTTGGGCTGTTATACCAAGCAAAACTTATGTATGTCAACTAATAACGATCGTCTCATTGCATCTCTTCAATTAGCTTTTGTTAACAACTCAAAATTACAACCACTACACCGAGAAATGGAGCTTTATCGACTGTCGTATTAGCAAATGCCAAATGGTCAAACATAGTTTCATCAAAGGGATATGGGATTTATCTTATCAGCAAATCATAAATTGTGTAGGCAGATGAGGACAGTTTTGAAGGAAACATCACAATTACACAAATATAGTAGTATGTATACTGTTTTTTTTTCTTTCACAAAATATTACGTATAGTCATAGAAGTGCAAACTATTCACAAAATACTATTTCTTTCAAAAGTATATATCTTTTTATATTGGACTGTTTGAGAATTAATTTGGTTGGTCAAAGTCACTATATATACTGTCAATGTTAGCGATATCAAATTAATAAAACTCCCCCATTCACTAAACTAGGTTTGAAGCCCCGCGCAAGTGTGGGGTTGTTTGCGATAGTTTTTTTGTTTAGTTTTATTTATATTTGATTTGAATTATGATGGTTTTATGTTAATTTTCATGTTTGTGTTATGTTTTGAATTAACCCAACCATTAACACTATAAAAATATGAACAATTTTTTTTTTATTAGAATGTTAACACCTCACTTTATCTCAAATTTTCTATTACTAAAATTTTAGCATGTTATAAATATTATGTTTGTTTACTTCTATTAGACTATAAACACGCATATGCATTTGACTCAACGTTAAAATTTGTAAACATAATGTAAATCGCATTTTCACCTAAAATAAGATAAAAAAATAATATGTATATTTTATACATATCTATTTTGTTGTGGTAACCTTATGACCATTCATTATTTTCTATTATGTTAATTGTGTAAATATAAATTTTATTTTGAAACAAACATATCATAATCCTTAAAAAATTCATGTTTTTCACTGCAGTTAAATTTACATATAAAACTTTTATTTATTTTTTCTTAGCTTTACTTATATTTAAAATATGAATAACTATAAAGAAATATGAATAGTTATGTATTTAATAAAAAAAAAATACAATTTAAGATGGATGTAAACACTCTAGATGGAAAGAGAACTCCCTAATTATATATAAGATCTGTGAACATATATAATTCGAAACTGTCTTGTACCCTCTGCTTTCTATTCTTATTGATGTGAATAAATCAATCCTGGCTGCATTGACATTTACAACATAGTACACAAGGATAACAAATTATATAAACTTTACGTAGGGAAACTAAGATATACAGATCTATCAAGTATAAGCTTTCAGTTTTCAATTTCCATAGGTAACTAAAAGTTAAACCAGTCTTTTTACTATGGTCGATGTTTGATCCAGGATCTGGCCAACTTTGACTTCAAATTTGTTTGATTTTACCAGTTGAGAAACTGATTCCAGATAATTTGGTATGAGTTGTTGTACAGTTTAAAAAGTACTAGAGTTTGACCCGCGCCTTGCACGGGGTGATATTTTCTCAATTTGATTTTATTAAAAGATGTCTATTTACATACAATTTTAGGAACATAGAGTGTTAGATGTCAATAAGACAATTAATGTCAATTTACATTAGACGAAATTTTGAGTGATGCATATTTTTTTAGCCTGGTTTGATTTTTGTCATCGTTTACAGTGTGGTAATCTAACATTTGCTTTAACAACAGTTTCTCCCTTTCCGAACCCACATATATATTAAATTTTAATACATTTAAAATAATTTTATATTTTGATAAATATAAAATGGCATATATATTTTATGTTTTTATCAATTTTAAATAACTAAAATAATTTAACTTATATGATAAGTTATTAGAATTTATTACGTTTAAAATTTTGATCAAACCAAAATATTAAAAAATACGATTTAATTATTTAATTCAATTAAAGAATCAAATTAAATCGAATAAAAGAAATTTTAAAGATTTCCAAACATGGTAAATTTTTCTTTCCTATTTGTGATTATGGTTGATCATTATTTGGATCCTATTTTATAATAGGTTTTTGAACTATTATCCCAAAATATAATCATGTGGGACATTTAACATTTTTAGAGATTTGCTTCATTTTTAAAAATTCAAACCATAGCATATGTAGAAAAAAACTAATTTTCTTTTTTTAAATATTTTGATGTGATGATATAATTTATTCTTGAAAGTAAAGCTAAACAAAAATGATAGATGAATAAATTAATTTTTAAACAATTAATATAATACAATTGAATAAAACTTTCCATATTTTACTGATTGATTGACTAATAAATAAATTTTCGTCATTACCAAATAAGGAAACTGAAAGAAAATAATTTTCATTAATAATTATTTTTCTGACTAAATTAATCATATATATTTCATTCTCTAACCAAATATGAATGGCATAACATGTAATTAGTCTAGTAATGTTTGTCTTAATTAAAACTAACCTTGAAAGTGAACCTGGTGTTGACACATCAGCATGGCATTTCTGTTAATAACACATGAGACAAAGGTTTATTTTATAGTGTTTTCTCTTTTAATATATTAGGGATTTATATATACTTTTACCCAATTCATTAAAAAATAACAGAGTTTATTAAATAGTTATTAATGGAAAAGTACAAAACACTCATATCTTAGAAGGGAAAACAACATCAAAAGCAACAACCCATAGTACAAATGCACATGAACTATAAGTACAAACGAGAGTACATTTCTTCTATACTGAAGTCGGGAAAAGGAAAACTTTTTAAATATGGATACGATGTCACTTATTAAATACAATCTTCTTTGAGACTTACTTCATCATGTATATAGGGTTAATATATTGGTGGAGAGCTATAGACGTAAGCAGGTGGCGGAGGAGACTTGTAAACATATGGAGGTGAGCTGTAGACATATGGTGGTGGTGAAGGAGACTTGTAAACATATGGAGGTGGTGGTGGAGAACTGTAAACATATGGTGGGGGTGGAGGAGAGCTATAGACATAGGGAGGTGGTGGTGGAGAGCTATAGACGTAGGGGGGTGGTGGAGGAGACTTGTATACATATGGAGGTGGTGGTGGAGAACTGTAGACATATGGCGGTGGTGGAGGAGAACTATAGACATAGGGTGGTGGTGGTGGAGAGCTATAGACGTAGGGAGGTGGTGGAGGA